AGCTGGCGGTTTTGAAGTAGACCTCGCGCACGTGGATGGTGACCATCAGTTTGTTGCTTCCCAGTCCTGGCACACTGTTCAGCAAGGTTGGTCGCGCGTGGAGCTCACTGTTGATTCCGGAGCCGGGTCTACTGCAATTCCGCCATGCATTGCGCCGAAAGAGCCTGTCCAAGTGAGTGAGACGAGCAAGCTTGGTCGGCAGTTTAAAACTGCAACTGGCCACACGGTTTCGGACCAAGGCTGTAAGAAGCTAAGGGCATTCACGGACTCTGGGGTAGCTGTTTCGCTTTCTTCCGCAGTGGCCGATATACACAAACCGCTGCTTGCTGTGTCGGATGTTTGTAGCAAAGGTGGCATCTGTCACTTCGAGGAAGGGAACAGCTACATCCAACCAAAGGGTTGTGGGAAGATCTGGATGGAAGAGACGAAGGGTCTTTACAAAGTTGGCGTGTGGCTGTCACCTTCCAGTGGCGGAGTCGCAAGCGTGGTTCCTTTAGCCCCCTTTAGTGAAGGTGGAGGGTCTGGATCTGGAGACTCTGCCCCTGTAGCGCCTGTGAGTGTAGGAGAGCACCAGGGTGTGCAAGGTGTTGTCGGTGTCGTTTCTGCTGAAGGGCAGGGTTTCCGGAGGCAGGTGGTGTCTTGGGGCACGACACTGTAAGTCCTCAAGACGACGAGCACGGAGATTCGGAGCATGCTGAAGCGCAAGCTGCTACAACTCCCAAATCTCCAGTTCTGCCCTCGGACTCGGAAGTCCGAGAGCATTGTCTCACTCATTTGCCTTTTCGTCCTTGGTGCCGCCATTGCATCCGGGGCAAAGCTCCAGCTTTGGCGCACAAAGAGCCTTCAAATACGGAGTACACCAAGCCGTTGGTGGCCATTGACTATTGCTTTTTGAGCAGCAGCGAGGGAAACGCGAGCGAAAGTCCTGTGATGGTTGTCAAATCCAAGCCCGACCTGGCTGTCTTTGCGCGCTTAGTTCCCTCAAAAGGCTGTGTGCATGAGTACAGTGTTCAAGCACTTGCTGACATTTTCCGTGTGCTAGGCTATCGCGAGTTTACACTCAAGACAGATGGCGAGCCTTCCTTGGTGGCATTAGCTCGTGCAGCAGTTGCCTTGCTTCCTGTTGAAGTCAAAGTTACCTTTGAGCACAGTCCCGTTGAAGAGAGCGAGGCCAACGGTTTTGTGGAGCGTGCCTGTAGAAGCGTGCAGGAACAAGCCCGCACATTGCTGAGTATGTTGCACGAACGTTTGCAGTGCGAGTTCCCGGCGAACCATGCCATTTTTCCTTGGTTAGTTCGGCATGCGTCGTGGTTGTTGCATCATTTTCACAGAACGGCATCTGGAAGGACTGCCTATCAGAACTTGAGAGGCAGACCCTGGCGAGAGCCAGTTTTTGAATTTGGTGCTGCAATAGTGTTTAAACTGAAAGCTGTAGCTGGCAAACTCGCGCCAAGATGGTCAGAGGGATGCTACCTTGGCACTTCCGACCTGACCACCGAACGATTTGTTTTGTGTTTTGAGACCATGAAAGTAGTCAAAGTGTGGAGCGTAAGAGCTTCACACGAGACTCAGTTGTGGCCCCACAAAGAGAAGCTTTTGTCCATGAGGGCTACACCGTGGGGGTTGAACGCCGAAGGCGGTGAAGCCCCGCAAGTTGTTGTTCCTGAAATGCCTCCACAAGGTCTGCCAGTGCCGTTCGTGGTTAATGCCCACCGTGCTCCCAGGAGGGCAGCCATCCGTATGTCTGACGCCTTAAAGTTCGGTTTCACTCCACTTTGCGATGGGTGTGATAAGTTAAGGCGTGGCCTCTATGGCAAGCATAGTGAGGAGTGTAGGGCCAGGTTTGAAGCAGCATGGAAAGCCAGCGGAGATGAAGAACTGGTTTCCAAAGTCACTTCTGCAGACGGAAGACGTGACAAATGGCTGGCCCGACAGGTGGAGAAGTATGACGAGGAACAGAAAGCCGTGAAGCGAGCCAGATTGGAGCAACAACCTGGTGATGTGGCAGTGGCAGCTGAGTCAAGTGCAGCAGTGGACTCTGCTCAGGAGGCAAGGTCCCCATCATCCAAACGGCCTGCCGAGCAGCCGCCTGAAGCCATGGATGAGAGACGGACTGCAGAACCTGAGAGCTTGGGTCCGGAAGCTCAGACAGCGATGACGGATTCTTTCGAGAGCATGCTGCAAGAGGCCATCCTGAGTCATCGGAGCGAAGTATTCTCAATGGATGCTGCGGTTCAGGAGCCCATTTGCGATGAACCCAGTTTGTGTGAACAGAGTCATAGCAAAGATTGCTGGGACGAGTACTTCGATGACGTCAGTGGCTTAGGACTCAACTCTCGCTTGGTAGAGATTGCGAAAAAGGAGGAGCTGCGCATAGCTGACGAGATGGGCTTGTGGACGCCTGTTCTGAGGTCAGAACTGCCAAGTGGGACCAAAGTCATACCTACAAGGTGGGTGCTGGTCAACAAAGGTGATTCCAAATCGCCCAGTTACCGCGCCAGGATTGTGGCGAAAGAAGTTAAGGGACACAAGCCATCTGAGGTTGGTTTCTATGCGTCGACGCCGCCAACAGAAAGCTTGCGAGCACTCATTGCTGTAGCCTCTACTAACCCGGAGTATGTCATGGATTTCGTTGATATTAGCCGTGCACATTGGTGCGCAGACGCCACCAGGTATGTTGTCGTAGAGCTGCCGCCCGAAATGGAAATGCCTGAACATGTCGCTGTTTTGAAGAAGAGTATGTATGGCACAAGAGATGCGGCCCACAACTGGGAGCAACAGTATACCAAGGTGCTTCTCTCACTTGGGTTTTTACAGGGGCGCGCATCCAGTTGCTTGTTTTATCATCCGCACAAAGACATTCGACTTGAAGTTCACGGTGATGACTTCGTGTCTGTGGCGAGAGCTCTAGACATCAAGTGGCTGCATGAGCGTTTTCGAGAAATGTGGAAGTGCAAGTTTTGCGCGACACTTTCAAGTCCAGGACAAAGTGTTCGAATCCTTGGCCGCTTGCTGTCTCGTGAGAATTCTGGCTACTCCCTAGAAGCGGATCCTCGTCACGCAGAGATCTTGATCAGCAGCTTGGGCCTGAAGAATGCCAAAGGCTTGAGCACGCCAGGCGTGAAGCTGCAACCCGAAGAGGAAGCAGAGCTGACGCAGAAGCGGCTCTCACCTGCAGATACCACTCTGTTCAGGTCTTGTGTCATGAGAGCAGCCTATATGTGTTCTGAAAGGCCTGACTGCCAGTACTGTGTGAAGGAACTCGCTCGCGAAATGTCATCCCCGACAGAAGCATCAATGAGAAGATTGCGCAGGCTTGGTCGTTACTTGATCTCGCATCGCCGTATGCTCTTGTGGTTCGAATGGCAAGACATGCCAAGAGACCTGGTTGCAGAGGTTGATGCTGATTTCGCAGGGTGTGGCAAGACTCGGAAATCCACTAGTGGTGGTGCCGTGTTTTTCGGAAGTAGCCCTTTGAGGAGCTACTCTTCGAACCAAGCGGTGATCGCCTTGTCAACTGGAGAATCCGAGTTTTACGGCATGCTGAAGGGATGCAGTCAAGCCATGGGTTTGAGAAGTCTCTTCGCAGATATCGGCGTTGAAGTCGGTATCCGATTGTGCACAGACAGCTCTGCCGGGAAGGCGTTGGCAGAAAAGAAGGGACTGGGCCGGGCGAAGCATCTGGAGACCCAGTATCTTTGGTTGCAGGACAGAGTAGCCAACAAAGATGTAAAAGTGTTTAAAATATGTACAGATGTGAACAGGGCTGACATGTTCACAAAGCATTTGCATGAAGCTCGCGCTTCTGCGTTGTTGTCGGCCATGAACTGTCGGTTCTCGACAGGCAAGCACTCACTTGCGTTGGCTGTGACTTGAAGCCACTGCTAGTGCCCCGCATGTGTTTTCGAAATTCACAAAGCAAGTAAGCCGTTTGAAGAGCCCTTGGGCCGCAGTAAGTGTGAGCCCAACATCTGTGATGTCAACTCTCGCCGGGCAACAATGTAACAAATTTGACTTGTAATGATTTGTAAAGTGCTTCTACTGAGCCGGGTGTGCTGAAGCTCGCCCGCGTGTAGACCACTTGGGCTCGGGAGGCATGTTGAAAACCCTCCCGTCTCAGGTACCTTAGCTGCACATGTTCTTCGTTGCCTCTTTTCCAGAATGAGAGTTTGGAGTTGACTTAATTAAATCTTGATTTGTAATGTGCATCCATGCAAACCTGCAGGGCTCAGATCGCGACTAAAAGTCCGCAACAGTTGTCCTTATTCTCCGCAGAAAGTTTTGGAAAGGAGGGGAGGAAGGAAAGAGGGGAGGGGAGGGATGAGAGAGCAAGAGATGGCAGACAGAGAGAGAGAGGGAGAGAGAGAGAGAGAGAGAGAGAGAGCGAGACAGAGCGAAGAAGAGAGAGAGAGAGGGAGATTAACAAAAGAAAAATCTTGAGAGGGAAGGAAAGGAGAGATAAACACATCGAGATGAAGTGGTGTTTTCCCTTTCCCCTTCCTTGGTGTTATATCAGGTAAACAAAAACAATACTAATAGGAAAAGGCTAAAAGCGGCTGAAACAACAATATGGTCATGGGAATATTTATCAACAAAAGAGTATATTATCGTCTTAATTGAAGCAACACACTTGAAGGCGCTCAGGGTTTGTCATTTCCAGCAGCTCCTGTAGTTAGCGTTATTTATGTTATTATTGATTTTTTTAAAGTAGTATATTTATCGCAAACACCAGACCCTTAGACGAGGGTTGAATGGAAAACGGAATGAGAGGTAGGTGGCGAAGCCCTAGGAAAATAAGAGATGTGATGCCAAACATGGGAGCCCTGAGCCGTGAACCGAACTAGCCCTAAGCCATAAATTTTGCCTTAAACCTAAACCCCACAAATTGTATGTGTGAATTGAACCGTTTAAATAGCAAACAAAAAGGAAGTGCCAAATAGACCCTAAAGGTCCATGCCACATAGTGGTATATGGTTATTCTCGCAGACCATCTTGGCCAGGCTTCATGCAGCCTTCAAACTCGGAGGCATCCGCGTCTTTCTCGCACACTTTATTGTTCACTCTTCCTCTGGCAATCTAAAACTCTGCCGAGTCTGAGCCGACCTCGTCGAATGGTCTCGAAATCATGATCTTTGGTTCGCATTTGCAGACTTGCATCCTTCCAGGCCCAGCCTGGCGTGGCAGCAATGTTGCGGGCATCTCAGGCTCAAGAGACATTGTGACATTGCCGTGACCTCTCGCAATGGTTTTGTAAGGGTTTGCTGTTGGGACGTGGCATTCGCATTGCAACTGCGCTGAGTTTGGCCCTCAGTGAAGAAGGGCGCTGGAAGGATGCTCTGCAACTTCGCAAGGAGATCACCTTCAGGCGGGGAGTTGGGAGTTGGCACATGCTTCGAGCCTGACAAGACTGACAAGACAATTCTGCGGAGGAGCCTGCAGCCTGATGTTGCGAGCTGTGGCTTGCTCATGCTGAAGCCTCGGGAACTCGAATAGCAGCTCGCCGTGCAGCCTGCAGCCCTGCTGCTCTGCCGTTACAGGATGCAGTGCGAGCAAGAAGGCTGGACAGGGATGCCATCTGCTTTCTACTGGTGTGTTGCAAGATGAGCTCACTCGAAAGGACTGGCCGGCCAAGAGGTCAACATGCTGCGGTCATTGTGCGATATTGCCTCTGGCCTGTGAGTGGACTGCTTGGCAGCTGGATGTTCGAGAGATTTCGGCTTTCACGCAAGCCGCAGACTCATTTTGTAGAATCGCAAGCCGTAGTGCCTAGCGCTGAGGGACACAGCATTCCTGACACGGATGTGGACCAAGAGCTGTCGCGCCGCGCACTTGGCAAGCTCGCGCAAAACAATTCCTTGCAGCTCTGCTCAAGTCACCTGTTTGCTTGCAGTTCACATGTATGCATGCACAATTCGCCTTATTATGGCAATCACCAAGACTTCAAAATGGGAGGCGCCACCGGGCTTTGCTCTGGACCCTAAAACCTAAGACAGAATCCGAGGGGAAATCATGATAAAGCAATTGATTTCTGACAGGGAACTTAGTCGACCCTGACTCAAGATTGCTTCGATTGGCATGCACGCTCTGCAAAAGCTTTAAAGTACTTCACTGGAGCTGCAAATTGCTGTGTGAATGTTCTGCAATCGCTTCTGCGAATGGGGGTTGTGAGCAGGAAGTATCACAGAGTAAGTGCAGAACTAGGATCGGTACATTGCAGATGGTTAGACGGTTCAGGCGCTCACGGAAAACTCACTCAAAAACGTCACAGACCGAATCGCAGCATGAATCGCGTAAATACATAGTTTGACCTTTCCCAGCAAGCCTAATCCCCGAGAAAAACCTAAACCTGAATTCGCCTTCAACCTCAACCCAATTACAGCCCCGAAACAAGTGTTCCAATCCAAAAAGCCGGGACGGGGCTGCTTAGTGCAAGGAATCTGCATTCCCAATTTCTCTCCAAATCAAGGAAACGCAGCTTACGCTTGTGCGCTCTATGCCGCCTGGCACTTAGCCACAGTGGTCGACTCGCTGCGTAGCACGGGATCTATGTTGAATCCACCCGGCAAGTTCTCGTTTACGCTCCTAGCCTCTGCCTCGGAAGGCCTCAGCACCATGGCGTCGCCCCAAGTCATCCCACGGTGCCTTCGAGAGCATTTGGTATGACACTAGCCATGGGGCACCCAGCAGATGTTTGCAGCTTCTAGACAGACGTTGCGCCGCTCTTGGACACTACTTCGACGTGCCGCTCATGAAGTATCCACGAGTGTGAGATGATAGAGCCGGCTGTTAATGAACCATTCAGATGTGGCATCCTCATGTGCCGGGCACCCCAGAATCGCCACGGTCGGTCATGAATCGCGTTTTTGTTGTGCAGCGACCGGCTCCTGAAGCTCGTGCAGAGCTGTGGTGCGTGATCCAGCGGTGCTCACCAAAAAAGAGACAACACAGAGGGTGAGTGTGCGAGTCAGTGTGAGTGTGTCCATGCCGGCGTCACCTGAATTCAGTTCTGACATGTTCACACAGAGTCCCGGTGAAATTGGCACTGCTCGTGACTTGGTTTTGTGACATTTTTCGCTGCAGCCGTGCTGGCTTGTTGGGATTCGCGTGGAGGCGCTTCTGTCATTTTCTGTCGCGCGCCTCACGGAGCGGCAGAGGCCGTTTGCACTGCCGCGCAAAATGGAGGCGACGTTGGTTATTCGGGGTATCTCAGATTTCCAAATCGTTAGACTAGGTTGTTACTCCAACTCAAGACCACAAAACATCATGTCAAGTTCTAGCGCGATGCGAGCTGAACAACCGCACAAGAGCAGCTGCTACAGTCAGGCGATGTCACGTGGTGTTGGCACTCATTTGCAGGTGCCTGCGGCAGTGAGGAAAAAGCCTCAGCCTAAGCCCTGGGGGGGGTTCAGGATGGTTCAGGATAGAACATGTCTCGGGAGCCAACTTGTTGTCTTTGCATTGCATTGGCGACTAGCAGTGGTCGGCATGACTTCTGCTGCCAGGACTGACGCTTTCTTCGACTTCGATGAGTTGGAGGCTAGCAAGGGGTAATCTCCTTGGGAGAACCGCATGGTTCCAGTGGATTGCGGTCATGTGTCAAGCAGCAGAGAAGTTGTGCAAAAGGGCGCAGGGCAGGTAGCAACGTGGCACCGCGTCGCAGGCATGCGGGCCAATTAAGCAAGGCGAGCTTCTCAGCGAAAAACGCCGGCCCAAGCCCCGGGTGCAGATGGAACAGAACATTTCATGATTCAACTTGTCTGTTGCCCGCATTGGCTGCCAACAGTTCCGATAGCATGACTTCGGATGCCAGGGACGACGCTCACTTAGACTTTGATGAGATGGAGGCTGGCACAGGGTAATGATTTCGGGAAGAGTGGGTCAATAGATGCAGGTGCGGTCCACGCAAAAGCTTCAGTTCGTCTGCTGGCCTGAACGGAAAACAAGCTTGAACTGTCTGCGAGGCTTGTGTGGGCCTACGACCGCACATAGGATTATGATAATGGGCTCATCCGCTAGACAGAACTCGAGGTGTGGCTATTTTGCAAGATTGCAAAACTTGGTCACACATAAGCTATCTGCTCGCGGCTGGATCCAGAAAAGCTAGTGTTCAAGGTTGCACCACCCCCTACTTCCAGTTTGCTCTGCTGCCTATGTACTCGAGACGTCACAGATGAAGCAAGGGTGGTTGCCACGTATGGTTACAGAAATGAGCTTGGGGAGCTGAGCTTCGTGGTGTTTGTGGCTTGCGGCAAGACCGATCAATCTCCTGAGGAACCTCTCCTAAACCTGACTTCGCCCTATGCTGGCCCTACACCCAGAACCTAAATTCTAAACCACTGAGCCTCAGGAAGCCAAGAAATCCGAAAGCCGAAGCTCGTGCAGGATGCGCGCCTGGCAGAAGGGCATAGCGCATGCTACGTCCAGTTCGTAGAATGTGATCGAAAGGAAAGGGATAGATGCGAACATGTGATTCAGGTTGGAACCTGGCCAACGAGTGGTCATCGAAGGCCGGGGCCTATACTTCCGTCGTGACAGCGCTGCCTTGCGCATCTTGCGCCGCTCGTTTTTGTTGCCGTGGCAAGGGCTGAAGACGCACAATGCATTCAACGGCCTCCACGGGATCATCGAGCTCTTCGACGAGGCCACAGGCCGTGGGGTCCTCAGCGCATCAGCTGAGCGCAGCTACCAGTAACAAGCGCAATCCAGCCCATGGGAGAAGGACCCAAGACCACATGCAGAGGTTACAACGTGCAGCTCGGATCCGATATTGCACAGACCGCAAAGATCAAGGGCGAGAACCTTCGAGCGCTGCTTGGAAGCAGTTTCGGCTCAGGCTTTATGCTGCACCTTGCTTAAGGTCTGCTCGGAGCAATGAATAACGAGGGCAGATCCTGCTGCCACTGGAGTCACTTGCATTTGAGCAACTGAGATCTGCTCTTTGTCCGCTTAGACTGTTGCCCAAATGTCAAGTCTGTCGGCTGAGGGTTTCCGCAAAGCTTGGAGTGAAGCAAATGTCACCAGACAAGACCTCGTGTGCACAGCTTGAAAGGCTGGAGTCGCGTGGAAAGGTGGCCAGCTCCGAGGCGGGTTGCCACGTATGGTTACAGAAATGAGCTTGGGGAGCTGATCTCCGCTGTGCTGGCGTGTGGGGTGTCTTTGACGTTACGGGGAAAATGCTCCGGAAAAGCCACTTTTCTCGAAAAGCCACTTTTTGCGAAAAGTAACTTTTCTCGGGGCGTTGCGCGCAGCGTCCCTGAAAAGCCACTTTTCTCGAAAAGCCACTTTTCTCGAAAAGCCACTTTTTGCGAAAAGTAACTTTTCTCGCGGCGTTGGAGCGTGCGGTGTCCGCGAAAAGCCACTTTTCTCGAAAGGCCACTTTCTGCGAAAAGTGACTTTTCTCGCGGAGTTGGAGCGTGTCCGCGGAAAGCCACTTTTCTCGAAAAGCCACTTCTTGAAAAGCCACTATTTGCGAAAAGTGAGGGTTTAGGGTTAAGGGTTTAGGGTTTCAGTAGGGTTTAGGGTTTAGGGTTAGTAGGGTTTCGGGTTAAGGGTTTCGACTCTCACACTCGCACAAGGCCGGCAAGGCAGGTTTAGGGTTTAGTGTTGAGGGTTGGAGCGCACGGTGTCCGCGAAAAGCCACTTTTCCCGAAAAGTCACTTTTCTTGAAAAGGCACCTTTTGCGAAAAGTGACTTTACTCATTGAAAGCCGGAAAAGGTAATGTGTCCGTTGCGTGTGGATTCAGTTTGTGCACCCACTTCTCTCGCCGGCGTGGACAGCTGCGCGATAGCCATACGCAGCACTTCCTTGTGGGGCTCTGTTCACAGGACTACTAAGTTAGCAATGTTAAGCTTAGAGATTCTAATTTATTGGGTTCGAGGCTTCAGGGGGCTCTGAGGTTAGTGAATCCCTAATCGTCTAAGATTTTCGAGAGCCTAATGCTCTTAATCTTCGACAGCGACTCTGTCAGGCTGTGAACCCCGCTACTAGAATTCCACAATCCCCCCAGCTACTATGACTATCAAGGCAGGTATAAATGCCGCCGTGGGGCCTTGCCGTGCCATAGCTCAGGGAAGCGGAAAAGGGAGGTGTAGAGGTATGTAGAGGTTCTCTTGGTTGCCTCAATGGTGGGCGCCGTGTCACTTAGTGCCGACGCGTTGCATGTTCTCGAGAAGCTACTTTTCCTGAAAAGCTACTTCTACCGAAAAGCCACCCGTTCGCGAAAAGCCACTCTTCGACAAACACTACTTGCATCGAAAAGCTGTGTTGGTTTTTGTTTGTAAATGTGCCTTTTCTCACGGCGTTGGGGCGCGCAGCATTCGCAACAACACGTCTCTGGACAAGCTACTTTCAGAAAAAGCGTTGCCTGTGGTGCATTCCGGAATGCCACTTTTCTGGAACAACACCTTTTTGAGTAAAGTGACTTTTCTCGCGGCGTGGGGGCGCACAGCGTCTTAGAAAACCCACTTTTCTCGAAAAGCCACTTTTTGCGAAAAACAACTTTTCTCGCGGCGTTGGAGCGCGCAGTGTCCGCGAAAAGCCACTTTTCTCGAAAGCCACTTTTTGCGAAAAGTAACTTTTCTCGCGGCGTTGGCGCGCGCAGCGTCCGCGGAAAGCCACTTTTCTCGAAAAGCCACTTTTTGCGAAAAGTAACTTTTCTCGGGGCGCTGGAGCGCGCGGTGTTTGGGAAAAGCCACTCTTCTCGAAAAGCCACTTCTCTCGAAAAGCCACTTTTCTCGAAAGGCAACTTTTCTGATCGGTTTTCCCGCTAACCTGGAAGACGCACCGTGTGACAGCTTAGGATCTCCGTGGTATTTGTGGCAAGACCGATCAATCTCCTGAGGAACCTCTCCTAAACCTGACTTCGCCCTATGCTGGCCCTACACCCAGAACCTAAATTCTAAACCACTGAGCCTCAGGAAGCCAAGAAATCCGAAAGCCGAAGCTCGTGCAGGATGCGCGCCTGGCAGAAGGGCATAGCGCATGCTACGTCCAGTTCGTAGAATGTGATCGAAAGGAAAGGGATAGATGCGAACATGTGATTCAGGTTGGAACCTGGCCAACGAGTGGTCATCGAAGGCCGGGGCCTATACTTCCGTCGTGACAGCGCTGCCTTGCGCATCTTGCGCCGCTCGTTTTTGTTGCCGTGGCAAGGGCTGAAGACGCACAATGCATTCAACGGCCTCCGCGGGATCATCGAGCTCTTCGACGAGGCCACAGGCCGTGGGGTCCTCAGCGCATCAGCTGAGCGCAGCTACCAGTAACAAGCGCAATCCAGCCCATGGGAGAAGGACCCAAGACCCCATGCAGAGGTTACAACGTGCAGCTCGGATCCGATATTGCACAGACCGCAAAGATCAAGGGCGAGAACCTTCGAGCGCTGCTTGGAAGCAGTTCTATCCAGAAACGCCATGCGGCCACGCGCCCGAAGAGTCAGATTTGCTGAGAGGCTGGTGCTGCAGGAGCCCAAAGCCGCAGTCTCAGGATTGCACAAAGAGCCTTGATGTCTCGAGCTTGGGCAAGCGCATCCGTCGAGTCTACGTGAAGCACGAAGCCGTAGCTCCCGCAGGGGGTTCGAAAAAGGGGTTTCGGGGGCCCCTGAGCAAGCACTTGCATTTGTGCTTCGTGAATCGAGCATCTTCTTCGGGAATGGTTGGCCTTGATGTGTGCATGCTACAAGCGCGAGGCGTCTCCGTTGGGAGAATGTGTCGATGCGTCCTGGATGTGGCCGCGTCGCATTCGTACATCCCAAACTGCTTCCTGGTTGGACATGACTTAACAGCCTCTGCAAGATGTATGTTTTCATTCTTAGTTCTGTCAGACCATGACGGTTGACGAGGCGAGACCAGCTGACACGTAATGATGCCAGACCCGTGCCGATGAGGCTACTGATGTTATCTTAAGCATCGACCACGAGCTTGATCAGACAGCGAGCAAGGCGTGGACTCAACACGAACCACCAGTTGCCAAGTCCAAAGCAATGCAGCAACCTGGCTTTGAAGGACCTGTCCGCTCGCCGTGGTACGTTCAAGGCATGTTTTTGTCGATTTATAAGACAGATCCAAATGAAAGCCATTAGTGGTAAGACGTTGCAAAAGCTTCTTCGGTGCAAAATAATAGCTCTTGGGACTTGGGTCATGTCATGTCCACCTCGGAGCTCCGCGCAGAACTTCATTCTCAAGTGGCGTCCGGACAAGTACCCCGATGATGAGGCTTTTGCTGGAAAGGTGGCTTGGCTCTTCATCAGTACGTCACCTGCAGACACAACGTGCAGTTTCACCCAGCTTTTCAGTTCTTAACCAAATTTCGACATCACAGACAGGTCTTCCGCTACCTGATGTCCCGACGTGATCGATATCTGGATCCGAGGCTGTGTTGACAACGCTCATTGCAGACTTTCTGTTGTGCCCTGTCACAGCTGAACTCTGCCATTCTGGTGTGCAATCTCTAGGGAGGCCGCGCCCTCCAAGGCTTCAACCAAGCATCTCACCTTGAAGCGCAACGTCCCTTCAAGATTCGGACTGGACTCAAGTTCACGAGCGTGAGCAGCCAAATTGGCTGCTCCCCAGATAGGAGATGCAAGAAGATGGATATGCCATGAAGGTCTAGCTTTTCCCCTTGGACACCCCGCAACGCAAGAATCCCAAGCCCTCGCCGACGCTTGTTGCGGATGCTCATTCTGGACCTAACTTGAACTGCATCACGTCGGGGTTTGTCCTTCTTCAGAGACGCCGGTTTGTTGTCGCCAGAGCCGGGCTCGAAGTTCAAAGTTATGACAGGGTTTGCGCTTTCCTCTCAAGCTTTTTCGGCCTGCTGGACTTGGGACCGCGATCTGCAGCAGTGCACTCCAGTGCACGCAATCTGCTGCGGCCGCCATGTCGCGCTGCCAAAGATTTGCATTCGAGTATGCTGAATTCAAGACATTCACCCGGGGTTTTCAGGTAAAGGACAGCCTGATGCCCATGTCGCAGCACCGGGTGGCATTGCGCTTGGGCTTGAAGATGCCGCTGGAGCACCTGCATCGCTGCCGTCCGGTGGGTCTGTTGCTCTTGCTGCTGAACATCCACTATCAGGTCCACCGTGTTGCTGATGATTTTGTGAAGGAGCAGTTAGAGCAGTGGACCTGGTGCAAAAAGGGTTGGGAAGACTGGTGCATGGTCGCTGGTGACCCGGAAAGCCAGTTGCTCGGCGATTCTCCTTCTGCGGATAGTTTCTTGCACTCCCTACCCACTCTCCCTGCATTGCAAGCTGCCTGCGAAGCTTATGTACTTACTTCTCTCTGTAACTACCGAAGAAGCAAAAACAGGCCGCCTTGCGAGGTGCCATAAGTAGCGTGAGAATGGCTGATGAACAAGTGTAATGCAACAGGTATCGCAAACGGGTGTTTGTCCAGGTTGCGAGCCCTGCCACCTCAGCCACCTGGCACCAACGGGAATGTCTCCAGCAACAAATCGGGCTCCCTGCCTTGGGAGGAAGGATTTCTGGGGCGGCCGCTCGGCCTTCGATTATTCTCGCCTGCTGGGGCTTCGTTTCTGAAAACCCACACTTTTGCAAGATTCAGTCAGTGCACAGGAGCTGAAGGGTTAATATTGGGTTCTGAACAGGTGTGTTCTTGCGAGATCTCAGATGTCCCCGCAAGTCTCGCAATCTTGCCACCGAACGCTCCCGCTCCCCTCCGCCAAACGACGGTTTTTGGTTTTCAAGGGGGGGGGACAGGGTTCCCTGGGAATGATCCCAAGGAGGGAATTTCTGGCGCTGGAAAGAGAGATCCTGGGTGCTACTTGGTTGTGGTTTATTTCGTTTGGTGGGTGCCTGCCTAGAATCTGTGCGGAGCTCGGGGACTTGGGTGTTCTTCAGAACCTGAAACTGGAGGCCATCTGGTCCAACCTCGAGATCTCAGCGTTCAAGCCATCTGCGGCGCTGCCACGGGTAGGTGCCATCCCCTGCGGCTCGCCCTGCAACCTCCTGGGCAGTGAACGGAAGGTGCATTCTCACAGGGGTAGCCTCGTAGCCGCATTTCCTACCTAGGATGACACGTCGGTCTTTTTTGCAAGCGCAAGGAACAACTGGGGGTAGGCATGCGTGTGTGGCTCTTGACCCTCTCCTCTTTTGAAGTCCTCTCGGGAAGCTCTTGTGATTGATTGAGGTGTCAGGCAGTCAGTCAGTCAGCATGAGTGCGTCTGTGCGTCTGGAGACTTGCTGAACACGCGGTTTCAGGAACTGCATCAGAGCAGGGGCCAGACTCTGCCCCAGGAAGACACTGTCAGTTTTTGACGAAGCAAACGTGGACGCACCTTTGTGTGCTGAGCAATGATGGTCAGACAAGCTTTGATAAGAGCACCGTTGTGCGGAGCAGGGTCGATGAGTGCGTAAGCTGCCCGACACAGATGCGAATTCGAGCCCTTTGACCGGACATGTGAAAGACATTTATCATTCTTTTTTCCCATTGCCTTCATCGGAAACTTTATGCTCTTTCTGAACTTTTGTAGTTGACTCTGCGCTCGAATCTCGATCTTCTCTCGAATCTCGATCAGCACCTCTGCATCTTCTGCATGTGCACTACCTGTTCTGCGTGAGCATGTGCATGAACTTAGACAAATCCAAACAAGCAGCAGGTATGCGAGTAAGTGGGTGAGCGTGAGTGTGTGTGTGTGTGTGGAAAATGCAGAGCATGGGGCATCACTGGCAGATTCTTGCATCGATTTTCCTTTGGAGCGGTGCGGTGGTAGCACATTTGCAACAGGTGTACTCTCAGTACGGCGCCGATGGTGTCTTGGAAGAGGCTTTCAGATGCATTGGGGTCACGACGAAAGTTTTTGTAGAGATTGGCACGCAGCAGGGTGTGCAGTGTAGCTCTCGCCACCTGCGAGTGGCTCATGGTTTCTTGGGTTACATGTTCGACGATAGCTATGCCGACGAGAGAATCGGCCTACAAAAGACCTTTATGGAGCCTTCTTTCGCAGCATCGCTTGTCAACTCGAGCCTTCGAGCAGGTGACAGGACACGAGGTGTCCCCAAAGTCTCGTCCTTTCAGTTGGACCTTCTGGCTATGGATACAGACGGCATGGACTATGTACTCTGGCGGTCGATGTGCTCAAAGATACGACCGCGTGTGCTTATGCTTGAAGCCGGGTGGCCCGCCGGGCCTCACTGGAAGGAGCACACACGCCTCTGCAAGCGCATCAGCAACCTTTGCCGTCGATGTGGATACGTACTGGTACATCAGGTGGTCCACGACATGATCTTTATTCGAAGAGACGTCCTGGAAGCCAGCAGGTATTGTAGGTCCTTCCGGCACGATGGAGATCTGGATTTCTTCGTGGGGCGTGAGAGGGCCAGAGAACGTGTTGCGAGTGCAGTGGGCGGCAGCTTCGGTGCCAATGGCTTTACCTTCGAGGCAATGGGTGTTGGTGCTGAGAGCTTGGAGCAATTCCTTCGTCAGAATGTGTGAGGACATGCGGGCTTTGCAGCCCACACCGAAGCTTGCAGGTGATTCGCATGCCGACTCTCCCAGCCGCACCGGGTGCCGAACGACGGCTTAGGCCCTCGGGGCCACTGCGGCCTTGCCATGCCGCGGGCCCCTGAACAACTTCCCAGCTCTGTCTGCTGTGTCGCGCCCACAGCCTGTGTGGCCTCCTTTTGCCTCACTGGCAAAGGTGCTTGTTCAGGCTCAAACGTCTGAGGCCAGCCGGCGACCATCCTCGTTCGTGACCGGGAGTCCGCCACCCTTGGGGCTCGCTCCGCTGTGCCTCATGGCCGGCTGCCTTGATGCTGCCGCGATAGCTGATGCAGCAGTCGCGCTTGCAAAAGATGGTTAGCTCCTGTTGTTGAACGCTCACTGTGATGTTCAATGCGACCCTAGACTAGATAGACTAAGCCGAAGGTTGGACAGCACATGCTAACACTTCTCCTTGCACCTTGAACAAGTCCGTGTGACCTTAACCTGGCAATCAAATGCAACAAAGCAGTGGCAACCGCCCCACCAATCTGCGCAACCCTAAACTTATCCAGCAAGTACTGGCAGCTTATGAAGTGAACTCCTTTGTGAAGGATCAGCCGAGTCAAGCGCACATGTCGGAAAGCCTGTTTTTGCTTGCGTGGCCAGCACAAAGAGCCAGTATGTCAAATATGCGGCAGGTACTGAGTACCCACCAATGAGTGCAAAATGGACTAGAGGCAGGTTCGCATAGCCCAGAAGAGTGAAGAGCGGAGCCAGGGGCGACTTTGCTGTTGGAACTATCTGGAACTGGGTTTTTCGGTGGTACGGCGATAGGGATCCACAGTTCCATGTCCAAGCTTCTGGTCCAGAGCCCACAGAGTCCAGTTGCCGGAGAGTTGTTGACACGACTACCACAAGCTCGAGCTCGACTCCGCTCGATTTCGCTAGGTTCCACTATTCCACTAGACGCCGATCTAGACTCTAGACCACCTCTTACGTGTCTTGCCACGGAGAAAAGCATAGACCTAGCATCATGGTGCGGCGTCGCTGATGTCCTCACCAGAGGGTGACGCGTCTGAAAGCTTGCCTAGTTTCGTCGATGCGTTCGACAACTGGGCAAAGCTGTTGCCAACTCAACTTGCAGTTTGTGGAGGTAGCGTGTCTTGGAGTTGGGATGAGTTGTGCAAGAAGTCACGTGTTGCAGAGAGGCACATTCTTGCAGAATGTTCCAAAAGCACTGGCAAAGCTGTCGATGTGGTTGCAATTCTGGCACACAGATCGCCACAATGGTTGGCTGCGACCATTGGGGTGATGCGTTGTAACTTGCCCTTTGTGTGGATGGGGGCAGGCGAACTTCCTCTGAAAGGTCGTTATGCCGAAAGACAGCGCAACGATCAGATCATGCAGGTGTTGCATCCTGAGTTGCTTCTGCTGGACGCAGCTGCTGCTCCGGAGGTCATTCCAGATTGGGAGCAGGTGTCCAGACCGCGTGTGCTGCCTCTAGAGAGCTTGCAGTCGGAGATTTGCGATGCTGTAGTGCAGCATGGAATAAGAACCGCGCAGCAAGCCTTATGCTATCAGCTCACAGGAGGCACAACGGGATCATCAAAGTGTGTACGCATCTCTCATGAGATGGCCTTGCATGAGGTAGCTGCCTACCCGAAGGCTTTCAAGACTCTGAGTTCCCAGGATCGCGTGTTGCAGCACACCCCAGTTTTATGGGCCGCCAGTGCCATTGGACAGATCAACATTGCAGTCAGCTTCGGGGCTTGCATATGCATCGCTGAGATGGATCAGGATTCCATATCCCGGAATGGTGCGACTGTTTTGGGGACGGTTCCATCGGCACTACGATCCATCAATCCACAAGCCGTTCCCACTGTGCGCTGTGTGTTTTGCTGGGGGGAGTCCATGTCGCCTGTGTTGGCTACGCAATGGAGATCGGAGAAGCGGCGTGTCATTGAGCTCCTCATCAGCACCGAGTATTGGCTAAGTCTGTACAGTGAGGGCACTATGTCCGTGGAGGGGAGGACCGTCTATTGCGCTGTGCCTGGTGCCGACATTGCTGTTCTTGAAAACGGTACGCTTTCCACAGACTGCAATGCAACTGGACAGCTATGTCTACGTGGACCTATGGTTACCACGAGGCAGAGCATGGCAAAGCTTGCGAAAGATACCGTGACAGCATCGATTTGCAGATGCGAGGTACCTCGGCCCGCATGCAGCTTCGACTGTCACACCACCGGATGCCAGTGACCCGCACCCAGCTGCTTCCATGATCTTGGTGGCGGCCTTGCTGGCTTCTTGGAGCGGAAATCTGTGTGACTGCAGGCAGCCTTCTTCAAGACTCAGGACGTCGTGGCACGCCAAGTACCGATGGCCAGTGCATGAAGAGCACAAACTCTTGGCGTGTGCCCGTGGCGTTGTCCGACTGAGGTCACGATAGTTCAGCAAAATCCATTGCGCTTGGAGTTCAGGGGTCGCAGCGATATGTTGATCAAGGCAAGTCTTCATCGTCCAAGCGCTCTCTGGATGTGAAATTGTGTCAGAGCAGGTGGGCGGGCAGTTTGTAGACCTCTCCGAAGCGGAGCTGCGCCCTGACCCCAGGCTCTCCCGTTGTGGCACTCCGAAGTTGCAGCACGTTTTCCAATTTAAGCCTGAACTCCATGTTTTTTGGCGCCCTAAATGCAAGTGCCTCGCATCATAGTGGGTAGCGAAAAACTTTGTACAGGAACCCGAACCCTGTCCGCCCATTGGTTTTTGCGAGTCCAGGTCTCAAGGCCAAGCTGCTGCCACCCCCGGAGCAGACCGAGTGCGAGTCTGATGTCTTTGCTGACGAGGAGCCTCTCCCGAGACCGAGCGGATTTGCATCGGGTTTCGGAGGTTCCGGATGTAGTGAGAGTCTGTGACAATGTCTTTGCCTGGTAGCTACGATGTAGTTCTAGTTTTGTTATGTGGTTATTATGCTGGTTCGGGGTCGAAGAAGCACCTGCCAGCACCCTTAGGACACTCCGCTCTTCAGCCCCCTGAGTCGATACTGATTTGTCTCGCTGGTTTCATATTTGCAACCTGCTAGCTTGACGCGGATGCGTCATAAGAGGACATGTGCCTGCCAACTTGCCTCTTCCGGGTTTGGCATGAAGAAGGTACATAGACTGATTGGTTTCGCAAGCTTGCTGGCGCAGAGGGAGAGGCAGTCCAGAAGCACCGCTGAACCCACGGTCAAGAGGCCACAAGCGAGACCCCTAACAGCCCCCAGAACGAAAAGTCAGAACTGACGAGGCCTGGCACAAGCACCAGCAATGCTGAAACACCAAAGAACCAGTTCTCCATCCACGTCGCCATGACAGGTGGCGGTTGTTCCACCAGCCGATTCTGGAAGCACAGTATCGGCGCACTCGGATTGCAGCTCTTGTAGATGTGCACCTTTGTGATGTTCTGGGAGTCCCAGTTGCCTTACAGCAACCATCAGGCATGTCTTCGTAGTGGTTCTCGACCACAGATGTAGCTCCGCACGCAGGAGCGAGTGCTTCGGGGAAAGGTTCGGTGGCTTGTTCTGCAGGATCCATAGTCGGGAAAAGCAGCTTAGACAGCTCAGGAGCACTGCAGATCAACGCAAAGCTTGCAGCTCACCAGCTCCTGGAACCCCCAAAAAATCTAACTCAGCAGCTTTTGGCATCGGTGAGACTAGAACTGACGAAGTCAACTTCGCCCTTTCAACGGCCGAGAATGGATGGGGAGATCTGGTTCAAGGAGGCCCCATCGTGGCGTGGTCACGAATCAACTAATCAGGAACGCTCTTTTAGAGATGTGTGCTGAATGCGCTTCTGCACCCAATCTCGGAGAGAAGATTGGGTGCAGGCCATGCATGCAGTGTCTGATGTTCCCGACATGATGTCGGAGTGGATTTGCGATTCTGCAGGATCTTGTCTTGTGCGCGAGCACTGATACCTTCTGGGGCAGCCTTGCACTTGCTTGGCAAACCCTTGCCCAAAGTTCGATGCTGAGTTCGAGCTGCACTGGGAGGTCTCCAAGTGGAACAGTGTACTCTGCGTGTGACGGCGGCTCTCAGATCTCTCAGGATCCAGTGTCGGGCAAAGTGGATCGACAGACTTTGCTGCGGGGCTGCCTTCTCAATTCTCCGCATCTGACTGGAGACATGACGAGTTCGGCTATGTTCAGGTTGTTCGCTGTAAGCCTGAGCAATCGCTGTGAGCAACCCGAGGCTTGGTCGGGGAGACCCGATCGAGGCCTGTTTGGACGGCGCTCCGTTCCAGGCGAATTCGGGCTGCCAAATCAAATCCCCAAGTGTCATCGCAAAGGTGGCAGAATCAACAGAAACTTGACGGTGGGTGTGACTCTGTGTGTGTGTGTGTGTGCGTGCGTACACGAGAGCTGTCTTCCTGCGAGTTTAGAGCGTTTGAGAGGTTGAGAATGCAGCCGGTTTGGTTGCTCGCTGTGGCCTTTGCGGGTGGCTTGAACCTCAACGCTTTGCCCGGATCCTGGGCACAGACCTCTGAAGCTCCTAAAATCCTGCATCCTGCATAGCAACAGTTCCTAGTAGGTGCAATAGCAGTCATGAGAGCAGATTGTAAAGCTGTGGGCTGTGGGGTTCGGGTTAAGCCGAGCTGCGAAGGATAGGCTGGCAGGCATCATTTTTGATGCTGCGGCACCGTCAGGCTCAGCTGGTTCATCTGGCGCAAGCCTCTGGGCAGGCCGCTCATCGGAGACCACTACGCTGTTGTTTGGTTTGGTCTCTTTATTGGTAGACGACAATCAGTTGTGGCCGGCCTTGGTTGTGCAGGCCAGGCGCCAAAAGCCTGTTGCAGGCATCTTTGCATGTGGCCTTGGCACCGGCCTTAGGGTGACACAGCTCAATAGATGTGGCGACATGCTGAGCTGGGCCTTTCAAGGCGCCTTATTTCTGGCTCTTGACGCTGTACATCCCGCAGCGAGCCTGCAGGTCGGCTTGGACCGATGCGCTTCCGAGCTTCTGTTGGCTTCTGTTGCCTTAGTGCGAGGAATTTCTTCAACAACATACCATTTGGACGTCTTGGAGCGCGCTAGCCTCAGGCTTCGCATGCGGTGATCTGGCGCGCGTTTGACAACAATGTTCGAGAACATCTTGCACCTACGTGACACAGCTTGCGCATCAGAACAAAGGGGTTGGGGCACTGGGTTGTCCAAGTTTGGGTCTTCCAGCACTGGTAGCTGGTAGCACCGAAAGTGCAATCAAAATCCTGCCGTCATCAGTGAATGGAAGCCACTCAGTTTGTCTGTGATTGCGGATGGCAGATTCTCCAGTCTGTCCTGGAAGCATGATGACAGTGCGTGCCGGTCTTTTGAACCTTTAAGGTTGTGCATTTGGTACCAGCTGATCCGCTCAGGGGATGCTCGCACCAGTCCCAGTTGCAGCCCTTGTGCTGTGAGAAGCATGTGTTCCTGCAGACACAAGTTCGACACTTAGCAGGTAACAGGTGCCAGGCGTCACACGCGGCAATCACACCCCTCGCGCGGGCGCACGAGCTCTTCATACTCATATGTTCTTGAGCTGAAGCCGTGCCGACTCCACAAGCTTGGTTTTGTCTTTGTGTTTGGAAGATGGAGACTGATGTGAACATTTATGTGATGAAGTCGGTGTCTGCGATTATTTGAAATCCTTATTCTGTGATCTCGTTGCCCAGTAGCAGAACTGGCTTGAGTCTTGAGCGCCTGTGAAGAATTGCACAGCGCGTAAAGACAAACCCGACAGAGCCTGCGCATCAAGCGCGTCAAGTAGATGCGTCCAGAGTCTCTGGCCATTGAGCCAAGATTTTCCATGGCTTCCCCGACATTCCAATGCAGAGATGTCCATCAGGTCTGCGATGGCTGTCTGGAGCCGCCTTCGCGGGTTGCACCGGTACGGGCATGGGACTGGCCATGAGGCCCGCTCTGCATCGCTTTGCCATATGAACGTGATAGAAAAACAAACCGTTGAACCAGCCGGACTTTGGAACTAAAATGAAGGCGCGGGCGCTTCCTTGCCTGGTGGCTGACCTTCTGGCTGGCCATCCCAGAGATTGCGGAGGCTCGTGCTGTGTGAGAGTGGAGAGACTGAGATACTCCTGGAGGGCTCCAGAAATCTCCAAAAAGGCCGAGTGTGGGTGGTGGCTGAAGATGAGCAACTGGCAAATGTACTTTGCCAGACTCCGAGCTGTTTTGTCGTGATCATGACTCATGTCAGCGGTGCTCCTCTCTCCAGTATCACAGAGGACACGCTGGTTTCATTCGTGTTGGAGGCGCGCAGCAGGCTTGGCGCGGAAGATGGCAGAAGCATGGTATAGTTGAGCAAGACGGTCTGTTATACCCAACCCAGAAGCCCAGAAGGATTCTTGCCAGGAGCACTGAGTTGTGTGAGAACATTGTGGAGGCAACCGCTTTGGCGAGCTTTAGAATCTTTTGACCGTTAAGTGATGTCCTGGCAGTTGCTTTGTTCACTTCCCCATACGGCGCGGGAGTGGAATGAGAGTGGCAGCCTCAGATCATGGGAGTGGGAGGTCTTTTGGCCTGTTTGGTCTTTTGGTCCTTTTGGTTGTTTCGATGCCTGCATACGATTCCATGGGCCGATGTTTGTTGAAAAGGCCCCGGAGAGAAAAACAAATTGGTGAGTCATCATCGGCTGCAACCGACTGCTTCCGAAAGCTTGAGGCTGGCGGAGTGGAAGTTTGCCATACGAGCCACCAGAGGAGCTTCAAGGTGTATGCCTGAGATCGCACTTGTCATGTGTCCGTGCACCATCACGTGATGAAGGTTTCCACAACCTCGGCGCTGAGCCGCCGCAGGTCGGAATGTGGGTGAAAGCGGAATACAGTGAAGTCAGGGAAAGATGTACATTCTGCCACCAGTCGGGCGCGTTAGCGGGGTGCGGTGCGGGGTGACTCCGCGTGACTGTCTTCCCGGCTGCTCCGTCTTTCCTCTTTGGCTACCGGTCCCTCCACATTTATTTTGTGTTTTTATTTGGGGCGGGGTGGGGGGTACGAGGCAGCCATTGACATTTTCGGACTTTTCTTGGGAGATGATGAAACATGAGAAAGTCAAGGGGCAGAGCTCTGCCTCCACCCAAAGACGCACCGGGTTTTTCGGCCACGCTCTTCGGGGCTTGCCTGGCATCTTCCTCAAGACCTGCCGGCAGCACGTCAGAGTTAAGGCAGTTAAGGGCTTTGGAAGTCGAAGCCCAAAAAGCAGACTAGTCAATCGTGCTAACTACGCCTGTGACACCGGCTCCCGGAGCTTGGCAACGCAGACAGTTTGCAGTGTACATGTAGCTGTACGGTTGCACTCTCGCACACAAACCTTCGACCCCACAAGCGTTTTGTCCATCCTCAGATGTGCAACTCACCAACAAGATGCGAGTCAGCCGGTGAAGCAAAGGCACAAAAGAGATGCAAGTGAGCCGGTGAAAAAGTACAAGTGGGACGAAGAACAGCTTCTGACAAGATGCAAGTGACTGAGAGCCCATGAGGGACTCCGGGTCTGGGGAGGCATTGCTTGGCCTGATGATCTAAACACGGGGCGGCGACGAGTTTCTCTCTTATCTTCATGGCACGAAGAGTACAGCAAGGAATGGTAACAAGTCGCCACATGTGTATGCTTGAAATGTGTGGTCCCCTTCGAAGGTGGCGGATGCATCTGAAGATTCGTTGGAGCCGGCCGAGCTAGCGCCAGCATTGAGCCTGGTTTGTCAGGCAAGAGCTTCCAACATCCGCCTCAGCCGATACTAACCGAGCACATGCCTTGTGGAAGGAGTGTGACGTAGAAGCTGACACGGCGCAAATGTCGCAAGTCGAGCACGACGGTGGAGGCACCATCTGGTGCTAGAGAGCAAAAGATCCCGCAACAATGTGTGCATCGCCCCACTCGCAGGGGAGGCAAGTCTTTTGCCGACCGAGTTGCCCCAAAGCCCGCCTGCTGAGGCGGGGGAAGGTGTGCATGCAGCTGCCCAAGGTGTTCGAAGATATGCTTAAGAGCAACATGTAATTAAGACAGTGGAGTTTCTTGTGTTGTTGTTGATAGCAGCAGCAGCAGGAGGAGGAGGAGAAGGAGGAGGAGGAGGAGGAGGAGGAGGAGGAGGAGGAGGAGGAGGAGGAGGAGGAGGAGGAGGAGGCGGAGGAGGAGGAGGAGGAGGGAGAGGAGGAGGAGGAGGAGGAGGAGGGGAGGAGGAGGAGGAGGAGGAGGAGGAGGAGGAGGAGGAGGAGGAGGAGGAGGAGGAGGAGGAGGAGGAGGAGGAGGAGGAGCAGGAGGAGCAGGAGCAGTAGGAGCAGCAGGAGCAGCAGGAGCAGCAGGAGCAGCAGGAGCAGCAGAGCAGGAGCAGCAGGAGAGCAGGAGGAGCAGGACGAGTAGGAGCAGTAGGAGCAGCAGGAGCAGCAGGAGAGCAGGAGCAGCAGGAGAGCAGGAGAGCAGGAGGTTGGGGAGATCGGGGCCAGGGTCGACTATTGCATCCCTTGTCCCGTGCTCCCCGGTTCTTTTCCTGATTTCCGCCATCATATTTCCCTACCTCGTACATGCTATCTGCTAGGACGCGGCAGAAGAAGCGGCAGCCCCTGGCAGTGGGTTGAATGCAGCAGCAAAGGCGGAATCGAAGTCGGAATGCAGCCATTCGGACAACGAGAGCAAGGAGGCCTTGGGAGAGAGCCTCTCACAAGCTGTAGAAGTGGCGGCCAGTTCGCCTTGCGACAGTGACTCGGAGAACGAGTCCTGGGCCTGTGTGGACTGCAAGTGTCCCCTGCCTTGGGGATCTGATTGGCGGCAGGAAGACACCTCGTTTTACTGCAAGGCCTGCTACAATGACTTCGATAACAGGTGGTGGGAGTTTCACACTCGCGACGTGTTGGACTCCGGCCCGGTGCCCGATGAGAGATTGCAGGAAACGCCAGATGCAGTGACTCCCGGGAGTCCCCGCGGGTCGGAGACACTCCACACTACATCTGTGGCCGGTACGGTGCTCGTCCAACTCTTGCAGCCTATGTTTAGCAATCTTCACAACGACAGTCGCCTGTCAGGCATTGACTCCTTGGCAGTCCTGACTCTTTGCCGTCAACTTCGTATGGCCATTCCCAACCTCGCTATCCGGCCTCAAGATGTTTTCCAGTGCGGTACAGTTCGGGATCTGCTGAGCATGGTTGAGAATGTTGAGAAGGACACGGGCGAGGCCGAACTCCAGATGCCGGAAGCTCTTGGAGATACGGGTGTTGGTCGGGCAATTTGGTTCGCGCCGGGGCAGGTGAAGAGCACCTGCAAGTGGCTCTACGGCTGCCGCGGATTGCTCGACGAGCGATGCTTCAAGCGAGCTGCTGCTCAGCTCATAGCTCGTCATGAAGGCTTAAGGGCAGAGTTTGAAGATGGGGCAGGCATGGAGATCCTCCGCTTCATGCGTGATGTTGTGCCTCTACATCTCATCTTATGGCAAGAGCTGGAGAAGAGTGGCCGACTTCTGCCGATGGTCCGAGGCTGCCGGAGGCTCATCTCGAAGGCTTTCAGGGCCTGCTGGCCTCGGTCTGTACCTCAACGCGTGACGGCCTCCTTCCTGGAGGATCGGATATGGGTGGTACGCTGCAAAACGTGGCGGGAGGTTGAGCAAGCCTCGCATCGACTACGGCAGGAGTGGGAGCCACCTTTCACCTTGGGGCTCTTCCTACTGGAGAAGCCTTCAGAGCAAGAGCGAGACATTCTGAATCCTGCAGAAGCTGGCAAGGGAGCTGGTAGCCCTGAGGAGAGATTCAAGCAGCCATTGCCTGCTAAGTCTAAGTGTATTGCAGCCAATGCTCAGGTCCAGGAGACAAGTTTCACTACACATATTTGTTTCGCTGCAGGACTGGGGTGCGCCGAGCAGCTTTCTGCAGTTCGTCGTCTCTCATGCCTACTCTGCCAGCTTCATGCAACAAGGTTTTCTGAAGCACATGGTGCAACTTTCCCGCTCTCGCTCAGGATGGCTACTGTAGCGTCCCCTTGGTTCAAGATTTCGCATCGCTTTACGCTCAAGAGGAGGTGGCGTTGCTCAGAGCGTAAGCGCACAGCGTGAGCTTACGACACTTCGTGTCAGGAAGTGCTTCTGGGAGCAAGTCAAAGCCGGGGCCTCAGATATCATGCTGTCGCATGCTGTCGTATGCTGTCATATGTCATGTGCAGTCCGGTGCATGCTGTGCCTCCCACAGAGAACAGAGGTGCGTTGCGCAAGGCAACCCAGGGCAGGTGCGGCCGATGTGTTGCGATGGTCAGTGGTACGCGAGCACGCTCCAGGTCAGAGTGGAATCACTTGGTCCCGCTTTCTTCCGGAGCTACCTTTGAGGCCGTCAGTCTCCAGGGCAATCTGCACAAAGTACTGCGAAGCAGAATGCGAGGGAAAAGGCGGCGGAAAGAGACAAATGAACAAACTCTGTCCCTTGGTGGCAGGTCCTGGAGTCAAGGCTTTTTGCGGCGATGGACTTCCGGCCATCTTGGAGTCACCCGGAGCCCCTGCTGAGAAGTTGAGATCCAGCTGCCCGCCTGCCGTCTGTGCTGTGAGTAAGAGCAGCACTAGCACAATCAACCCCCCAACTTATCGTGAACAGTTCGAGATGTCATGAACAGGTGCAAAAAGGTGCAGACTCCGCACTCAAAACTACAGGAGCAGCTCTCGTTGCGAGCAGCGATCTTTGACGAGACGCCGAAGAAGCAGCCGTGGGTCTACGACCACGAGGCTCCACGGAGGGCCCCAGCGAGTGCCGAAGCGAGCGGAGAGTGCGAATTTGGGCATGTGAGTGCATCTCTGAGTACGAGTACATTTCTGAGTACGTTTGAGAACATTTGAGTACGCATGAGACCCTTTGTGAGAACAAGCTGCCACAGGTTCTTGTGGAGGGGAAGGCGGTGGAAGCCCTCCATCGAAATGCCAAAGCGTGCGCCACCAGAAAGCAGCAGAGAGAGAGAGAGAGAGTCCCTTCTTCGACAAGCATTGGCCGTGCCGCTCTGATCGTCGCAGGTATGGGCTTCCGTTTGATGTGGTACTGCTCTCCATCGTGCTGGCGGCTAGCTTCAAAGCAACCTGGGCACTGGAGAAACTGAGGCAGGAGGCACTGTCTGCTGCAAACAATGTCTCCCTTACAGCCCAGCACAGGCTTTCAGGAGGGAGGAAGAAATCAAGACACTCCACCTGAAGGGTGAAGCCCTGAATTTTGCTACTCGTAGGCCTTTTGGGTCAAGGGCATCCTGCGAGATGGAGTGAACGTGGGCTCGGAAACGTGGCAGTCTGAAAAGTCATCGGTGTGGGCGTTTGACGCTTCCAAAAGAGCACGATGCATCGCCACGGATGCCCTTCAAGGATGCAAACGTCCCAACCATGGCAATGGTTTGTGTTCCTTTGCGAAAGCTTCCTCAGACAGAGGTGGTATTGTTGAAGGAGAAAACTGAGAAAGCTGTCAAACCACTCAGATCCCCGGCAATGCTGCCCAAGACCAGCTGGATTGAAGCCGAATGCTTGGCGAGGTCATTCTACAAAGGTGTATCGCCTCAGGACTCGTCGCTTGTAGACACAGGTAGCATTTCACACGATTGGCATGTCACTGCTGGTTTGCCTGGCAGATCCTTTTTGAGTAGATGCAAAACGGGTTCTTGCGAAACATCCTGGCAAGACGGCCCGCAGGATTTTGCGGCTTCTAAGACGGAGTTGTCCCTTCCCCTGACGCTGTATGCCCCTATGCCGATGCCTCGAAGTTTGGTGTGTGCAGTGAAGGAGAGGGAAAGGCTATTGCTTGTTTGGATTCAGGCGAGACGGAAGCCTGAACGATGCCATGGTTGGCCTCTTCAGTGATTGGAGGGTGCAATGCCTCAGCCAACCAGCATGCCAAGTGCATGGCTTGAATTCCCAGCAATGTAGATAAGGACTTGACAGTGGCCTGCAGTTCGTCGGTGAGCTTGCCGCTGCCTCGTTCAGTGATGTGCTAGCTGCTAGTTATCACGAGCCCATTGAAGGTCGGGCGTCTCATGCTCAAAAGGAGGTTCGAAAAAGCTATAAAAAGCTACGTGCAGTAGAATGTGGTTCGAGCCCGAGGTTGGGATTTTGCTTGGAGGTTGCAGATCTCATACGCTTCCGGAGGCAAGAGCTGTCGTGGGCATGAGCGCATGAGCGCAGACTGTGCATGGAAGACTGTGGAAGAATGTCTTGAATCCCAGGTGGGAAATGTTTGATCCGGTTCAGAATGGCAACAACATCTTGGTGAACATCCTTCCCCTCGATGAGCAGGACAGCTCTCGTTGCGGCTTTTGTGTTCTCCGATCTCAGCGGCTCAGTGTTCGAAGAGTTCGAAGAGCCTGGTTCGAAGGCACGCGGCCAGCAGCATTTCAAGCAGACCCGGGCCCATGAGCAGGGACCTCAAGCCAACACATGCCACATGCAAAGAGCCAGTGGTTCTTTTTGGCTTGGCTTCAAGCTGCATCGTCCTATGACACACGTAGGTATGGTGGCATGCGTCACGCAGCAGCTGATCGTCGAAGGACTCCAGCTTGAGCTTTGAGGCTTTGCTAATCGTTGCAGACCTTTGAGCCTAGGGCTTTCAGAGCTCCGCATCGCCCGATGCGGATAACGTTGGAACAAGAGGCCGGGCGGGCTCGCCAAGCAGGCTTTGCCGTGTTTGTCCATGTGCCATGTGCCTTGCCCATGTGCCTTGCCCATGTGCCCATTGCCCATGTGCTTTGCCCTTGTGATGCTCACCTGTCCGCTGGTGCATTTGTCGGTGCAGGCTCCTGACGCATGGCGCGGCCAGCATGTTTGACAGAATATTGACAATAAAAAGTTCCGTTATTCCAATACACGCATGACTGGGCGGGGCTTGTTGGCTTTGGCGATGTTTGGGGTCCTTCATGCGGATGTGGTCGCGGCATGGCCGGCATGGTAGCGAACTCAATGACTCCCTTCGACAGAGCCTGCGCCTGTAACCTTCAGCCGCTGAGCTGAATCACCCAAAGCAGAGAACATGCTTTTCATGGCTTCATTCATTGATAGCAGGTGGATCAACCTCAACATCAACGCCGAGAATTTCTCGACCTCATGGTGCCGCTCGTTTGTAAAGAACTTGAAGGAGTGCGTGCAGGCCTGGCGTGTGTGTGGTCAGCTTTTTGATCGGCGAAAGGGCTTCCGAGCGGCACGGTGCTGTGGACGGCTTGTCGAGTCCCTTTTTGCAAGCAGGACTTGCAGTGCCAGCCGCTGCGGCCTGTGCTAGTTGCAGGCACGCTTGCCCGACATTAGTGAGTCAGAAAGTATGCAAGTAAAAATGCAAGTCGAAAGAGATGTTGGAAGCTGTGGCGCTCGGCAGGGTGAAGTCGTCCCGGTTTCATGTGCCTGCAGCTGAAAGCAGCTGAATGCAGCTTTGCATCGTGGAGCGCAGAGATGTTGGGTGCATCGGTGGTGAGCCAGGGCGACTTGATGCCGAGGGGAACGGCACCGTTCAGGAGACTGTCAGGCTTCGGAACATTCGGCAGGCGACGAGGCTGTGGCATTGGTGGCGGCTCTTTGCGGACTGCCGGACCAGTCGGAATGGCACAAGGAAGCCAGTGGAAGGAAGCTAGCGTTGGTGCGTGTGTAAAAACTGAAGTTTCGCGCCGGGCGTCCTCTTGTTCTTTGGCATTACATGGAGCGCCATGGAGTCTGTCAAGGTGATGCTTCTCAAGTGTTTGTTGTGTTTTGCTGTGCTGCAGCAGGAAGCTCAATGGCTGTCTCCCCTGTCACACACATTGGAAGTGAACCCTAGGGAGCTGAGTGATCTGAGTGCCATATAGTGCCATCCGATCGGTGTGTAAGTTGTTGGAAGCCCTGCTGCCCAAAGAGAAGCCATGCACCATGTCAACGTCGTGGAGCGACCCAGTCTCGGTCGCTGTTTGGAAGCATCCATGAAAGTATCTGCCGGTGAGATCCTGGTTCTCGAGGCTCCCCTATTTGTGTCAGCTCCGGTTGACGACATGGGTCGGCTTGCCGAACAACTTTTCAAAACAGCCTTTGCAAAGCCCTCAGATCTTCCGCTCGTCACACAACTTTTCATATCGATTTTGGCAGAGATTGTGAAGGGACACAAAGCTTCGGTTCTCTCGCGGCTTTCGCAACTTCGGGGGCATCCGGAGCAGTGGCGCCAGACGGTAGGCCAGCTCCATGAATCACTGAGGGAAGAGCATGTGAGCAAGGTGGAGCATGATGAGCTTCTGGACCTGTACTCCAAGCTTGCAGCAAATGCACATGAAACGGATGACAAGCGAGCTGCCATCTATTCAATGGGAAGCCTAGCAGAGCACAGCTGCCGACCCTCAGCGTTCAAACATGTGCACGGAGATGCGCATGAACTGATGATCCGGGCTCTGACTGATTTGGAAATGGGAGACGTTGTGTCACTGGCGTATATACCAGAGTACTACCCTACTTGGCATCGCCAAGAGCTCCTGCGGAGTTTCAACTTTCAATGCCACTGTCCACGCTGCGCGGGGGAGGAAGCGGAGGTTGCGTGTGCTTTCGTCTGTCCAGACTGTGCTTCCCCTTGCTGCCCTCCGCGGCCCTGTCTGTCTCGTGGAGATTTCGAAGCCCTCGTCTGCGAAGAATGTGGGTGTCGAGTCGAAGATGCGGAGCAACTGCAGGCTTTCCGAGATGCAGAGCTTTGCGAGCGGCTTTGCGAAAGCTGCACTCCACACCTCCATCCCTACCACTTCAAAATCTTCCAGATGTACCTCGGCAACCTGCAGATGGTTTCGCCAGAACAGCGCCTGGATATTTTGGAGCAGCTGGAAGACGCGCACGGGCGCCTTGGCAACAGAGTCCATCCCCTTCACGCAAAGTTCGAGGAGCTGGCGGCCCGGTCCTTGCAGGCCCTTAGCTTGGGCACAGGCAATGCAGAGGCTAGTGCAGAGGCTCGTGCAGAGGCTGTGAGTGCGGCGCGCGCGTCCTGGGAGCGTGCTGCAGCGCTTTATGCGCTGACCCATGGGGAGGAGGCTGAACAGAGCCGGCACTGTCAGCAACAGGCGGCGATGCTCGACGGCCCGGCTCCCGCACTTCCAGAGAGCTCTGAGTAGCACTGGGGCACGTTGCGACGATGGCGACGATGGCGACCAGCCCCAGACGAACGTGGTTCGAAGAGAGCTTCGCAACATAATCTTCGACGGGAAGTGGCCAGTCGCTGGAGGACTTGACCTGTTGGCACCGCCAGCCCCACATGACCGGAGTGCGGGTGATGTGCCTGCATCTTCCTCCCTGGCTCCAGTTCGATCTCATCACCCATCAGTTTCCCATGACCCCCTCCACGAGCGGCGACGAAGACCATACTAAGACCCAAGACCGAGGACAGCGGCCAAATCTGCACGGACCCTCGTGTCCTTTCAAACAAATCCTCTGTCTGCCCAGAAATTTGGCTTCGGAACCACCAAGCCATTCTCCGGCAGGAGCTCTGCCGCAATGTGACAGCCAAGACTTGAAGGCCTGGGTTTCTGGGTTCTAGCAATGATTGAAGGATAATAAGGGCTCAATGTCGGGAATTTCTAGTCCCCAGCGTCAAGCCCTGGTTATGCTTGCTGCTGGAAACAGAAATCGTTCCATCAACCCCTGAGTAGGCATCATTCCGAGACAAGGTCTTCCCCTGCTACAGTCATTTTCGGATGCGGATGGTAGGCTTTGGTAAAGACGTCCACGGTCCATCCAGACAGGATTCGGCGGCTGGCGAGACGTTCCGTGTCGAGGCAGGTTCGTGTTGCCTCGCTGCTTCTTTTTCTGCTGCCGCTGCTTCTGCTGCTGCGGCTCCTGCCACAGCTGCTGTTGTGACATGTTGTGGCGGCGTGAAGAGGGTGTCTCGAGTGAAAGAGGCCTCCTCCCAGCCATTGTCCCACCGCAGCTGTTTTGGCTGCAGCTGATGACTCCGCATAGCAGGCCCCTTCCAGCTGTCGTCTGGCCTTGCTCTCAATGTCTGAAACGATGTGCTGTGGCCTCTGGGGTTCGATGGGCATGGACCAATAAGAATCATTAAGACGCGGTGTTGAGTGGAGGCCAGAGAGGTGCTCGAGGCGCCCTGAAGTTGCTTGGGTGCCTCAGCCTTTGATGAATATGTTTGCATGTCTTCGTCTATGTATGCACGAAGACTAGAATGCGGTGAGTTGCACCTCAGGAATGTTATGGAGTGCCGTCCTCTTCAGTGTCTTGAACTTTCTCCTGGTTCCAGCCAGAGTTTTCGATCTTTTGGCTGCAGGGATGGAGCCCTGTAACCCTATGATGCCGTTGGCCCAGGCTCTATACCCTTCTATCGTTCCATAGATGAAGGGAGTGCCTCGAAGCCTGAGAAGGTACCGGGCTAAAGTTGGGATGTTCCACCCGTCTCTTTCAGCATCAGCTTCAGTGAGTTAGAACCATAAGTTGCAACCAAAGCTGTGCATGGAATGACTAGCCGGACCTGGCCGGCGGATTGGGACGGTATTGGTCTCGTAATATGTTCAAACCAAGTGGAAGATGAAGATATAGTCAATGGTCCACATGAATTGTTCACCATTACATTAGCGGCAGAATTCAATCCATGAGTTTATCTCGTTTCTGCCGGGTGTACTTAGGATAGCGAGAGGACGCTGGGAGCTGAGATGTTCGCGAGTTGTACGATCGTAGAATCCTATAGCAGAATTTAGCAGATATTCGGGTGGGGTTTGGTTGCCAGGCTGGGCTTCTCATCAGTCACTGCTAGCTCTTCAGCTGCAACAGTCACGAGGGTCCAGAGAGTCGCCAGAGAGTCTGATTCTTGAGTTTGAGTCACATGCCGCTAAAACAAAAGCCTGAGCGATGTGTCCGAACGTGAGGTGTTTCTGAGACTCTCGGCTGCCTTTGTTTTGGACCTCTTTGGTAGGCGCTCCAGCAACGGAATTTGGGTTTGCATGTCTTTGTCAAAACCGTCAAAGCCAAGGGATGTGGCAGACCCGTGGAGACGAGGCTCCTTGGGAAGAAGGTTCACAGAATATTTCAGAGTCCGTGAAAATGTTTGAGAGAACGAGCAGAATGCTAGCAGAGCGATCGACTCCCGCAAAGGGGAGATGCCAAGGCGCTCAGAGGGTGGACGGCGACGACTGCGCGCTTGTACAGAAAATCGGAGTGGCTTGGCCGGGGTCGGTTCGTGTCCGTGTTGAGAGGCGCTTGAGAACCCAGATGAGTCATGGCAAAAAAACCTAGTTGAGCAGATCCCAAACCTAGTTGGGCAGGTTCGAATGTGAGAAAGATGCACACTGCCGAGGAGATGTACTACAACTGCGCGACCTATTACATTGCGGATGATCTCACATCATCTTCTTGCCGTCAGCCTTGCATCAACAACCCAGATCGCTCGGCCCCTTGCGAGTCGTCAGTTTTGATCAGCCTTCCCTCATGCAGAGTACATTGCGCAGAAACTGCTGGCAACGCTTTCTTTCGCTGCAAAGGTCCGGCCCAGTGCATCGCCAGCCAAACCAAGACATGCTGTAGCGACAGTGACCAGTGTTCACGTCACAACTGCTGTACATAGCTTCGCAGCACTGCGGCAGCATGCGGCAGCACGGGCGGAACAAAATCCTGCTGAAGCAAGGTCTTTTCCGTGAAGCGCGCCATTGCATCGCCATTGCAATGAGAGCTGTGAGTATGCAGGCAAATGCGGAGCGGCTGATGTCTTCGCCTTGCCCGGACATCTTTCACAGAGAGATGTCGCCGCCAAGTGCCAAAGCTGAGAAGGAAAATCATGCTGCACAGAATATTTTTGCAGTGTGAGACGTGCTCCAGCCCACCGTTCGCAACTCTCACGAGCTTTGTTTTTGCCGCAGCAGCCAGTTGCAAATTTCCATGATGTGTAAAGTATAGATGCCCTTGCGATGCCTCGCTGACACGCCACATCTAAAAAAACGGATAGATTGCAGGCTGGCGGCAGTGATGCACGTAGATAGACGATGAGAGCAGGCACTCAAATTCTTACATCCCAGCATCAACCAGCCCTCCTCACAGACAAGCAGCCCTCCTCACAGATTCCCTCCACGGGTGTGCAGCTCCCTGTTGGGCCGGTGGCGCTGGCCTCTCAAAGCTATCGGCACTTGGCGGTGTCCAAGCATGGCGGACGCCAGCCGGCCTCGGGAAATCCGCGTGGGTGCTGTGAGCAAGGCGATTCTAGAGCAGTCGTCTATGGACTTGACCAACCTTCGCATTGGGAAGCAGCGCCTGGTTTCCAAGAAGAAGAGGATGAGCAAGCTGAAGAAGACAATTCTGGAGGACCGCGAGTTCCGACAAGATGGGGTAGAGCCCTCGGAGTCACAGTCCTTGCCGAGCCGATTGAGTGCGGATGCTCCGGCCTTCATTCCCGCCGAGTGGCTGAGGCCTGAGGGAACCGAAGGAACCGAAGGAACCGAGGGAACCGAAGGTCCAGATCGATCTGCCTTTGAAAGCCAGCCTGCGCCGGTTTCAAATCCTGCTGCGGCTGGGCCACAGATTGACAAAGCTCCTCTCCCTGCGGGCCCCGTGGCCCCCGCGATCTGCACGACCCCCGCGGTCTCCACGGCCCCCACGGCCTCTGCTCTAGGTTCTCTAGGCTTTGCTTCGAGTGGAACGTGCGACGCCGATCAGCCCGGTGAGCCAGTGCTCGGGCTGGCGGGTCTCGCCGCCGCGCTGGAAGACTTCAATTCAGGTTCCGACGATGCAACCCCCGAGGAGCCGGAGCCCATGTCTATCAGCGAGACACTGGAGCGCTTGCGCAGCGTGCAGGAGAAGAGTCAAGCACCCAAGGAGACACCGAAGCCCGCGGCCAACCTGGAGGTCCGACATTACGTTCACCAGGAGCTAAGCGATGAACTGGACGAGAAGGTCAAGTTTATCCTCTCCGAGCTTGTGCGATTCCAAGAGCGAGCAAAAGAACAGAATGCCATGAAGTACGCGAAGCTCAAGCGATACTGTGTGGGGTTGCGAGAAGCTAAGCGAGCCATCACAAGAAGCAAGTGCAAGGGCCTCATTGTGGCACCCAACCTGGAAGTCTCTACAGCTGAGGGAGGCCTTGACGATACTGTGGAGGATGTCATTGAAATGGCACGCGAACATGAGGTGCCAGTTGTCTTCGCTCTGAGTCGCAATAGGATCGGCAAAGCAATGGGGAAGAATATTCGCCTGAGCATTGTGGCACTTCACAGCGTCGACGGAGTGCACCAGCAGTTCAAGGAAGTTGTCAAGATTGCCGAAGAGCAGCATCCATAGCTTTTCGCTGCGCTATGCTGTTCTGATGGATCGCTGCAGCTCGGTTCTTTTGCCCAGGCTGCGGCGGCGGTGGGTGTATGCCTTGGACAGATGATACTGGTGATATTGATGATATAGAGTTGATATGCCAGCACCCTTAGCAGCGCTAGTTCTGGTCTTGGAATGCTTTTGTCGCTTTTAGGTCCTGAGGCAGATGGCTCATGCAACGAGTGAGTACGCAGCGCCCCCGTTCGAGAAGTAGTCGCAGCAGTAGCTGAGATGCAACGATGTCCAATGTCCCACGATATACCGCGAGCAGAGCTTGCTGAGGCTGAAGAAGTCCAGAAGCGTGCCGAAGAGTGCGTCCAGCGAACTTATGTCGCATCTTTCGCAGCGCTGCGATCATTGTCGATGTCGCTGTCAGGAAAGCTGCACGCGACGCAGCTAGAAGAGCGGAGAAGGAAGATGGTCTAAGATGGTTGAGAATGTTCGTTTTTCCAGTATGCTCAGAAGGCTACGGCCGCGACACTTCTGGACAGGAACGCCTTGCTGAAGAGAAAGCAGCAGAAGAGCTGCGTCGCCGGGAAGCATCCAAAGCGGCGAAGGCTGCACGGGCGGAGGCCACAACATCCGCAAATCTCACACATGATGTGGCAATATGTGGCATGTATGACATGTATGAATGCACATCACAATGTCACCTTGCCATCATCAAAGCGCTCACCAGGCGAAAGCGCGGAAAGTTGCTGAACAGCAGGAACAAGCCGAGACCGCCTCTTAGATTCTCAGATCTTGGTTTTTTTGTTGCTGACATACCCGGACATTGCTTTAGAGCGCCTTTGCTCCATGGCCGTGGGTAGTCCACAACTGCATTGCAGTGGGCTTACATGAAGTTTGACCGGAAAGCCACGGGAGCGAGGGACCCCCCTCAAAAGTGTGAGAGTGGTCTGAATCAAAATCTGCACTTGGTCAGCATGACGACAAAGTAGTGCAAGCTCCACCAACCTCAGGCGTCGCCGGGTGGAGAAGGAGGCTCTGGCGAAAGAGCGCGAGGACATCGTGGTCTGTTCTCGGCAGCCGTCAGTATTGCTTAAAGCCACGAACCTTGTGCGGCTCACGAGTATACGGTGGCCCGAGGAAGAAAAGAAAAAGGAGGACGCCAAAGCGGAGGCCGGGTTGTGAGCCTGGCTCAGGTATGGACACGATCTGCAACATGCTTATCATTACAGCTTCGTGGGGGGTCTGAAGGAAGAGCGAGTGGCCGAGCGCATCGCGGAGGAGGACCCGGATTGCTGCGCGAAGCGGGTATGCAACAGTTTAACATGGGGGTCAAACATCCTGGTTGGACCTGGCCAGGAAAGAAAGCGCAAGGAGGAAGAAGCTGCAGGGAGCTCAGAACAATCCCTCCACTGCTTCTGTGCTGTGATCCTGACTGCCCTGGGTCGAACGTGAGACGTGAGGCCAAAGAAGCCGAGCGTCTGCGAAGAGTCGCTGAGCGACGGGCCGAGGAGGACTGCCTTGGATCACTTCCCCTGCATGGAAGCCATGGCTTCCCTGATTCCCTGATTTGTTTTTTGCTTGTTCCTCAGTTCCTCTCTGCAGATTCGCTCCTCACGAACTTCGCCGCACTTCGTGTTGTGCTTCGTGTTGTGCCGTGAGAGGAGCGCCAGAGGAAGATGGCCGAGGCCAGCAAGGCCAAGGCCAAAGCCAAGGCGCGTCCGTCTGTGCGTCTGTGCCCTTCTACCCATACTTCATCATACTTCTGCATTTTTTTTAAATATTCTACAGATTCTACACACATTCTCATCCGTTCTCCGCATCTCTCCGCCTTTGAGTTCGTTTGTCCGGACGCCCGCTCTTTCTTCGTGAGGCAGCCAGCGGGCCACCGGAAGAGGACCGGTTCGTGATGGTGCCCCTGTCTTGCTCGGGTCAGTTTCTTCCTTTCATTCCGGATTCATTTTCGGATTGGAGAACTACGTAACTATGTCCGCAGCATGACGTGAGCTTGCCGCGAACATGCCGCGAGCGTGCCAAGATGACCTCAGGATTCAGATGCCGAATCATCTGGATCCGACCTGCCACTGGGGTTCAACAGCACGGCGCCTGGGTCACTTTGTACCAGACGCTATCTTTCGTGTCACATCGAGAAGCCTTCCAGAGATTGTGTGGCAGCTGCGCCGTGAAGCGTTGTGAATCGAAACTTCGCTGTGCTTCGCTCTGTGCTTGGCTCTGTGCCTCGCTGCTTGCCTTGCCACACATCCCGATGGCCAAGGCAACTTGTTCTAGGCGGCGAGCCTGGCGTTGCGGCCAGTGGTGGCCCGCGCTTCCTCGATCTGAGGTTGAGAGTAGTGTAGAGAAGCAATGCCACACTGGGTTCACGCTACAAGCATGTTATAGACTTGTACCCACAGTAACTCCCCAGATAGGAGTCTGCGTCTGGCAGCACGCAGCTGCAATGTGATGGGATATCCATGCATGTGGCACTGCGCTCTGGTTGTACATATGCGCTCTCACCAGACTTGCTAAGCAAACGTAGGATAAGAAGTGTGCATGGTGATAGATGTTGGCAGATGTCGGTTGACGCCAGGATGCGCAAGCCCCTCCAGCCCAGCACCCCCTCTGACCACTTCCACAGAGACTCTGTGGAAAGCCTCTTCCGAATACGGTGCGGCTCGTTATGTCGGCTCTTGCAAGAGTGTGAGGATACCGCTGCGACGGTGCCGCTTGACGGTGTCCCACTCCATCCAGCTGAGATGCTAGTTGTGGAGTAACTTGGCAGTGCGGGGCATTTCAGATGGTGGGCGGCACGCGACACTCTCAAACAAACAAATCCTCAGCTGAGCAACTTAGTCCCAGAGCCACCAAATTGCAACAAGCCATAGCATGCCCCTGTCGCTGGACATCGAATGTGGCATGGTCTGAGGCTCAGATGGCTCAGGCACCTGAAAGCAACTTTGTGTGTCAATCACATCAATCGAGCCCGGCATTTTGCAGAGGCCATTTCGCGCGCACAGCGGTGCGAGCGGGAGCTGTGCTTTCCTTCGCTGGGGCGCGGCTCGTCACCTCCAGGCCGGTTGGGGCACGCACTCCACACCAGTGAGCAGAGTCAGAGGGCCACAGGTAAGAGCATTAAGTCGGGTTATGTTGAATTGTCAATTGTCACGAGTCAGGACCCTCATGTCGGCCACAAAGGGGTTGCTGGGTGTTGCTGGCTTGAGACGCTCTGAGATGGCCCTGCTTAGGAAATGTTTCCAAGGGGGGGGGGGGGCGCTGCGTCAGTTACCGATGGTTTCGTGGAAACATTTTTGGCGGTCGGAATTGTTACCAGGAGTTGCAACATTTTATTTTGTGTGTCTTGCCCACACAAAGACCTACACATACATCCTTTAGTTCTCTGTCTCTGTCATGTCTTTTGTATGTTACACGGATTGTGGGGTAGGTTTGCATGTTTTTCCCACATGCCCGGCGGTAACTTTTCGGGGTCCCCCTTTAAGGCAAGATCTCTGAGCATCATGCTGCCCATGTTCAGTGTAGCTTTGCCCAGGAAGCGGCGGGGAGTTGTCGCTGCCGGCAATTATGCAGAGCATTTACCCACTTTGAAGGAGAAGCTTGGAAGCACTTCACACCCCGGGTTTACAGGGGGGGGGGGGGCGGGGCGGTAGCGAAACGAGAGCAGATTGTACCTTCATGTGACCTTGCTCACCCACCAAAACTATACCAAAACTCTTCCACCAGTGTTCTCAGGTTGCGGCAGTACCGGATACAGACCGAGGCGCGACTTTGCAGACTCAAGAAGCTTGGAGAACTCTGTCCGAAGCACCCAATCAGGATGGAGAGACGACGCTACATGTCTGGGAAGGGAGCCACATATTTTCGGATGGTCTGCGCCTCATGTTCACCTGGTGTCATGTTCGTTTGCTGCAAGGGTTAGGCGTCAACATGAGCAAGCCCCTCTGAAGCCCCAAGCCTGCAGAATCTACCGAGGGTGTGGAGTTCGCAAGTGGCCTGCTGTCCATGCCTTGGGCAGCCAGCACCTGTCGGACAAAAGGCGCATAGAAATGAGACGAAAAATGGTCAAGCCGTCAATCCTCTCGAGGCTGATGACCTGCTTTCCTACATCAGCCACAATGGAAGACCGCGACACCTGCAGGTGATGCAGGCGTGATGCCTCCTGTCGTTCGTGAAGAGCAAAGAAGGTTGTGACAAGGTTTCTTAGGATCATCTCAACAGTCTTAACAGGCTCCCTCAGATTCTCTCAGAGACTCAGGACTCGGACTCGAGTGTCTGGAGCGGTCAGCGTGTGCTCGAGTTGAGATCTCAGTCTCAGTGCATCCGTTGACCACAAATCTTTACATCGCTTGAGCAATCGCTACTTGAAAATCCTGGCCTTGCGGCCTTTGGCAGCCGCTGGGGCCATCTGCGTCCGGCTGCGACGGGGCTTGTAGAGAGAGGGTCCCTAGGCCCTAGGCCTAGTAGATCCTATCAGATGCGAGAGCCATGCAAAGCTTGCCGCCTCAGGGAAGACATATAACGCACAGCAGAGGCAGCAGAGGGAAGTGTCCCGCGGCTGGCACAGCAGTGCCAAGATCAGAATCGAATCGTTTTTCAGCTACTGCTGGCCGCAATCGCAGATACTGGCTCCATTGCCTTGGCTTCAGTGCAGGCTGTTTGCGCAGAGTTCGCAAGCGGAATCTCTGCAGCCGCCAAAGGTGCAAGTCAGAGAAGCTGGAAGATTTGTGTGCGTGGCTGAAGCAGATTGGGGTGCAGGGCGTGGATGGTCTTCGGCTGGGTGCCAGTACGAAGGTGAACGGGGGTCTGGCTGCTTTTGCCACAAAGGACTTTGCGCCAGGTGAGGTTGTTTGCTTTGTACCGGAGCAGGGCATTTTGGCTGGCGTGCGGCAGCAAGGTTTGCCGAAGGAGGCATGCTTGGCAAGGGCGCTCCTCCGTGAAAAAGAGCTTAAATCCGAGTCGTTCTTTGCACCGTACATCAACTGCTTGCCAACAGCCCAAGAGCTTCCATCAATTCATCCATACTTCTGGCCGCCTGAGCTGGAGATGGAGAACTTGATGGCTGGCAGCGTCCACGGCCAGCGTGTCGCCAAAGAGATTCTTGCTGAAGGCCGACGCCGTGAAAGCCTGAACCACATCCTGCTAAACCTTAGATCCCCGAACCACTGCTGTGCCAGTCCACACACACACACACCCTAGCAGCCTACTTGAAAGAAGCAATCTGCATTATGTCGCCCATTAGAAGGGGGGCTCTTTGAGTTAAGCAGCTTAATGCCTTTAAGGGCATTGGCAAAACGGAGTTCTGGCGCACAAATGGTAAAGATCCATGTCGAGTCAGTACAATGGAGGCTGGAGCTCGGGCGCACCAATAAAAGGGCCAGCATGCCATGGCCTAAATTTACTCCATCCCCTCTTTCCACTTCGCTGCGCTTTGCTTCGCTTTGTGCTGTTTGCCTCAGGCCGTGAAAACGTGGACTGTTTGGTCCGCACCGGCATCTCCGAGCAGGATGCGAGATGGGCCCTTGCCATCGTGGACTCCAGGGCTTTCACTTTTCAGCCCGACTCCCCCGAGGAGCAGCTGGCCTTAGTACCGCTAGTGGATATCCTGAACACCACCAGTCTCTTCAAGGACGGCGTGCAGCTCTGGCAGTGCTCCTTCGAGCCTCATGGCACGGTCAAGGAGGGAGCACTGTTGCTTGCTGAGGGCCCGGTCAAAGAAGGTGAGGAGCTCCTTCACCTCTACGGCCCGAATTCAAGCGCAACGCTCTGGATGGTTTACGGCTTCCTCGAAAATGGAGGAGGAGAGAAAGAGAATGTGGAGAACCTCTTTGAAATCTGCGGTCTTGAAGTCGATGTGCCTGCCATCCTCGTCGATGACCCACCGGAGCTGAAGTCTTCGAAGCTGGAGGCCTTGAGTCGAGGGGATCTCCCTGTGCTGCCCTCAGCTGTCCCAAGAGCTGCCCCCAGGGAGCTGCCCCAAATTGTGATCGGTCTCAAGAGCCTTTGTTCGAAGAGCCCCATTGGCGAGTTTTTTTCTTCATGAAACATGCCGAGGAACGCCTGGTGCTTGAGTTGCCCAGCGATGCTCAGCTTGGGGGAAAGATGATGCCGCTTGCCAGGCTGCTCTCATGCCGCTTGCCTGGCCGTGATCCTTTTTGTTGATGTTTTCTGGGTAAGCATTCAAAAGCAGTGAGCTGGAGGCCAGAGCCAGGAGGAGGTGAATCGGTTCGCAGGCTCTTTGAACCTCACAGTTCCTGATCTTCAGGCTGATCATGACAAAGCATCAGAACGGGGCGGGGCAACTTGGCAGTTGACAATTTCTTGTGAGCAACATAGAGCAGCGTTGCGGAGGTGGACCTGCAGCGTGAACTCCTTGCACGGCGGCTGGTGGTGCAATGGCTTCGCAAGGCTGCCTCCTTTGATTTCTTGCGTCTTCCCCTCCTTCTGATTCCTTCCCTCCTCATATCCCTTCTCGGTTCTCCGACTCGCTCCTTCTCTCTGTCCACTCTCTTTTTTGACTCTGCCTCGCTTCTCCTCCCCACCTTAATATTTCTTCCGCCTTGGCGAGCCGAGCCACGCCGTCTCGTAAACTCGCAATGCGAAGTCAAAGAGTCAAAGAGTCAAAGAGGCCTTGCAGGACTCCTTCGATGTTTCCGCTGTGCCGCTGCCGGAGTCGGAGACTTCGCAAATGGCGGAGCTGCAAAGGAGCTCAGCTTAGCTCACGAAGAGTTCTGTGGAAGAGTTCTGTTCAGCCGCTTCAGCAATTTATCTCCAGGACGGCAAAGCAGCTGGTTGCAAACGAGCGGCCGGTCTTGGAGCTGGAGCTGCTGGCCTCGGAGAGGTGCGAAACATCTTGCGAAACCTGAAATCCTCCTCGAAATTGCTCCTGGCTCGAGATTCTGATTCCGAGGTTCTGCGCGGGGGCAGAGGCTGCGCTGGATGCTGGCGGTGCCTCTCTGCAGAGCTTCGTCTCGGAGCAGTGGGACGACGAGACGGGGTGGATGGGCGCTGGCTAAAAATAGCGCAAGCGAAGAGGATGCCAGGGAAGGGCCTTAAAGCTGCTTAAGCTGCTTAAGCTGCTTTAAGCTTATCAGCTTTGAGCTTTGCAGGAGAGCCTTGTGTTGAACTTTCTTGAGTCTGTCGAACTTCTTGGGCTGTCCATCGCGGCCCGTAAGGTTGGGGTCAGGCTGCGGCTTCCTGACGCTGAGCTTGGCCTGCTGTGGCGCCCAGGACGGTTCCGCAGCTCCTTTCAACGAATGCTATACGGCTATACACCACGCTAATCACATGAGACGTGACAAAGCCTAATCTATATAGAGAACCCATAATTGTCCATCCTTAGATCTGTCATAGGTTTCTCATTCGTAGTCTTTTGAGACACTTATGCAGAATACGAAATTACGTACTTAAATACGGGAAAACAAGTGCAGCGATGATTCAAAAAATCACTCAAAAAAAATTATATATATATATATATATATGTAGATTTAGATATAGATATATACACCTACAAACACTTGTGCTTCTTGGAAGGTCACTGCCGTCGATAGCAGCCGGAGCCCTCGTAGTGGCGCAGTGGGGGCAATGTGGGACAAATCGGCGTGCGACCGAGATCCAGCCGCCCTTGCTCTTTGCGCCGCCAGCGTTTCGAAAGCGGAGGCAGATGGCAGGCCTGGAGAGTGCTTGAAATTGTTCATGCGCTCCTGAGTCGGTGTTCTTGCTCTCAATCTGCTGCCGTGACGTGTTGCGGCCTGTGCCACTTTCGAGTCGTGCTCATTCTTTGGCTTGACGTTTTGGCGGGCGGATCTCACTCAAGGCTGACCGTGAGGCTGCAGTCATTCAGCCATATGGTCCGATGCGCTTGAGGTATCTTGAGGTTATGCTTCCGGTCTGGTGGCAGAATTTGGCACGACTCCTTGCAGCCACACTCTGAACGGTCTTGACGAGGGCGATGGACAGACGCAGCATCAACCAGATGCGAGGGTGTACTGTCGTGGGGTTGCGCAGCACAGCTTCAACCCAAGCTGATATGTGCACTGCGAGACTTCGAGCATCCGGCGCCAGAAAGGAAAACAGAGCGTTGCTTGTAGTTGAACCACGCACCTTACACGGCATGCCTGTTACCTGGGTTTTGTCGCCTTCGGCGGTGGATGAGGTGGGTGAGTGGGGAAGGGGGGATAAGAACGTCATTCATATGTGCCCATTACAGTGTTTTTGCCTCTCCTCTACAGCATAAGGATGTGGAACAAGACACGCTATCACAAGCGCCTTTGGCGAACATGCTCGAACCACTGGTATTAACAGTGTTTTTGCTTCTTTGCAGAACGTACTTTTGACGTTTATGGGGAACAAGACACGTGTCACGAGCGTGCATACCTTTGGCGAACATGACCGGCATTGCGGAAATTTTGCCTCCTTGTACAACATTCTGTAACATTCTGCACAAGGATTTCTGACTTTTCTGGCACAAGACAATGGAAACTTCGTTGTCTTTTCACCTCCTGATAGTGCCCCGGAAGTCCCTCAAGTAGTATCAAACTCGACACTCCTTCAAATCCACTGTAGATACACAGCAGGCACAGATCTCCCCGCGATTGAATGGCCTGCAATCTCCCGTGATTCATCCCGCTTTCGCACCCCTGTCTTGCCGAGTCGAAACTCGCAGTCTCCAAGCTTCAGTGTCTTATCTTTCTTCGCCAGTCAAGTTCCATGTTGCCAAGGTCGGCTTTGTCAAAACGGGTGTTGGAAGACTGGAAGACCTGTAAATCAGGCGCTTGGTCCCGTGCGGTTTCTGGCTGTGTCGGCCGCGCATGCCTTCCTTGTTGTCAGGCTCTGGCTCGCCTTGGCACCGGCAGGCCGGAATGAATTTCTGGAAATTAGCTTCGAGCTTGTTTGGATTTTGCAGATGACCGTCAAGACCAAGGATTACCCTGGCGATCTAGTTCATTTTGCAATTGGTGCAAGGTTTCTGTTTTGCTTAGACATTCACCGTGTATGTGCGCCGAAGATGGCCTTGATGGCTTTTGCATCGATGTGTGCTTGACTCATGTTTGCGAACAGCTAGATGCTATACTTGCTGCAGCATGAGGATTGTGGATGCAAGACCACTGACGAGCAGCACAATGCAGAACACAGGTGCTACTGCCATGCCGAGGCAGGTGCTTTCGCAGCAATGGACGACGGCCGGAACCCCGACCAGGCTCTGTGGGTGCAGTACGAGTCCGCGTCCAAGAAGGCCCTGGGATGGGCACCATGAGCTAAACCTAAGCTAAACCTAAGCTAAGCTTAAGTCAAACCTAAGTGAAACCTACGTCAAACCTGAGTCAAACCTGAGTTCAACTTAAGATAAACATAAGTTAAGCCTTAGCTAGACCTGGAGACCCTCTCCGCGGGATGGGCAGCGCCCTGACTAGGTGCCCGTGAACGGGTGTTTGGATGTTGGTCGCTGGCTCCGAGATGTGAAGGCGGCTTTTGTGCCGGGTCTCGAGAAAGTTTCCGTTGCACGCTTGGAGCTGTACGCTCATCGGGGAAGTGGCAGCCCTCAAGAGCTTGGTGCCGACAATTTGGAGTTGTTGACCAGTGGCAAGAAGCTCTCAAAGCTAATATCTCTGGGACGAGGTTTACAACAGGATGATGCATTTCATCTCAGGATAAAGAGGGATTGCAAAGGCAGGAAGACGGAAGCAGACGCTTGGGGTGGAGACACTGACCTCGCATTCGCTGCCGAAGCAGCTGCATCTGCGGCACGTTTGCAGACTGATGTCGTTCTTTCGAAAGGGAGTGATGGCCATGCAGGATACTGGTGTGAAGCGTGCAAGGCGCATTGTTGTTCTGCGACGGCATGGAAGCAGCATTATGGCAGCAAGCAGCATCAGCGCCTTCGAGGCCGAGGCCCTGTAAAGTGTGTTGGGGGTGAGGCCTGCCCAGAGGATGCGAATCCCTGGTCGAGGGGTATGGCAGCGCTGGCACAATTTCCTCTTCGCCGCGGGGGCACGCTGGATGTGTCCACAAAGTTCTTTGATTTGGCGGACTCTCAGAAGGCGCTTCTGAGACTGCATCTTGACTGCAATCTGAAAGGAAAGGAAAGTCCCATTTGTAAAATGTACATTTTTGCACCGTCACAGGTTCGTGATGCGATTGTGCATCTTGGGTAGCTCGCAGTTGTGCCGATGTAAGCAGTCTTGCAGGTGCTGCAGGTTTGCTGCATGCCTCACTCTCCATCCCCCCACGCACCTCGAACATGTTTTCTAAGGGCATGTAACGAGTCGCAATACAGTTTTTCAGGTATCTTGCTAGCAGCTTCAACGGCGAGAAGGAGCTTCTCAAAGCCTTCGACGTTCTGTTGGAGAACTCGGCTGATCATCTGCGAATCAAAGAGTTATTTGAGACGATCGAAATTTGGAAGAAGGTGGTTTCGCACCTGCAGCGCTGCAACGCCATGCGGAAAGCGCGCGGTGTGGCGGCTATCGCTCGGATCTACGACGTAGGAAGCGGGCATGGGCTGCTGGCTGTCCTCTTGGCATACCGTTTCCCGAGCACAGAAGTTGTCGCTGTAGACCTGGAGAAGCGAGCAGGCTTCGAGCGCTACGTAGACGCCGTGAACAGCTTTGGCTCCTGTGTAGGTAGCAACACGACTTGCCTCTCCAACCTCTCATTTGTGATCAGCAGTTTTGAGGATTTTGAAGGTTTGAGACAAAACGCCTCTACAACCAGTGGTCTCAGCACCTCTACCGGTGGTCTTGCTTATGTTTGTGTACACGGCTGCAACGAGTTGAACTTTGCAGTGCTCCGACGCGCCACAGAGAAACTCGCTGCTTGGCTTGTTGTGCCATGCTGCATACGGGATGGCCTTACAGACATCTCCGTGCGATGCGGTGGCAAAGATGGTGGAGAGGTAGGAGACGATTCCCGACACGCAATCATGTGCGGCATCGCAGCTGCGCAGCACAAGGCAGTTGCAATAGTGGCTGTCGACCGTCGCATCACCAATCGCCACCTGATCATTGAAGGGGATGCATCAGCATAAAGGCATGCAGTGCCTCGCAACATCGACGACAACCAGAGCCTTCCGGCAAAAGGCTACCCGCTGCTTACCGGCGAAGTGCTACCTGCTGCCCAACTCTCTTGATCGGCAAGAAGTGGAGGTGAAGCTTCCTGGCGCACGTGCTGCACACATACTGGATGGCATTGGCATGCCGAAACTGCTCGCAGTTAAAATCCAGTTCGGTCGACCTTGACATGCTAGCTGGACCGTTGTGAACGCTTTGCACGCCCTTGAAGTGCTGCACCTGCAGGCTGGCCACGGCTGGCCCTTTGAGATGCACGCCGCTTGGAGAATGCGGAGGCATTTTCGGGTGGATGTAATGTGGTCCCATGTCATGTGTTTCATGTTGGGCTACACTTCGACGCCGGGCAGTGTGACCTGGAGCATGGATTCGACAGTACCCGGCAGAGAAGGCACCTTACCTTGCTTCATTGAGCAGCAGGAGGAAATCGGTTCAAGAAGGTTCGGGGCGGGGTGTAGCATGTTGCATGTGGCACGGAGTTCCTTTTTACACTACACTCAGCGGCTGTTTTACTTGTGCTGTTTCCCAGCCAATGGTGCTCATTGCGCTCAGGGACCTTTTCGTGCAGACACTTTTCCATCTTGGCAGTTTATTAGCGCTTTCAAATCTTGCTCTGAAGCTTCTGCAAGGCCGTGGTCCCGGATGTGCTCCGTGCTTGGCATCGTGACCGGGGAAGGCCCAGGGCCCTCGGGCCTCTGGAAGTCTCCTTTCAATTTTCTTTCGTGGAATGTCAGGACCACCACTTTGGCTGCTTCAGCTCGGCTATGCCATCTACGCACCTTCTGCATTCTGATGCTGCGGGGGTCTGAGTAATTCCCAATTCCCACGTGGTACCGGTAGGTGGTGCATGTGCTGTTCCTTTTGCTTGACATGCCCTGCTCGTGTGACAACATGGCTTGCTTTGCGCTCGCGACAACTGCGCAGCTACCAGCCATAGCAATTCTCCACCTACCCAGCACGACAAACTTTATTTTGCCAGATCTAGCTGTGGGGGTCTGTGTCATATTCCTGAGGCGGGTGGGCCGGGTGGGCGGATCATCCAGGGACAGGCTTTTTGTTGGAGGTTTTTCGGGCTCCGGCAACGGGTATTACAAGTGCCCTTCATGAGGCATGGAGGTGCCCGAGCTGGTGTTGGTTTGCCGCACCACAATACTTCCACCAAAGCCCAGGGGGCGCCAGCAATGGAAAGGGCGGGACGGTTGTCAAGTGTGCGCACAATGCCGACTGCTCCCAAAGATGTGCACAGCGCGAAGGCGATCCCAATCCAGACAATGTTCGGTGCCCCGCTTGCGGACACACGTGGATGACATTCTTTGATGATGATTTCTTCAACTGTGTGCAGTGTGGACGGATCCGCTTCGAATGCGTGCACTGCAGACGATCGGATGCAAACAGAAGCTATTGCAGGTATTGCCTGTCAGGATGTTATGACAAGACAATACCTGTCACAGTCCTCGTGCAGCGGGATTTGCGATGTCTCCGATGTAAGTGCATGACGCTCGCTGGTGTGGACATCTTGGCGACAAGCCTGGCAGAGGACAGTAACACATGAATCCGAATGAGTCACCTTTGACAGCAGTGCCCCTCAAGTCTCGAAGTCTCAAACATCTGACAGAGGACGCCACCGTCGGCCTTCTGCGACCTGAAGTGATTGAAGCCGCCATGGCCGCCGCAGGATGCAAGCGCGGCGAAGACGGCGGCTTTTACCCAGAGATCCAACTTCGTGAGTGGGAGAGATGGCACGGCACGCACAGCATTGTCAGGCCCAGGCATGCTGCGAGGGAACCATCAGTTCAGGTGATTTTAGTAGGCGCCGATGGAGCAGTCCTGCTTGATGCTGCCTTGCTCGTCACCCTCGCCGGCTGAGGTGTCGGCTTGGGCCAAAACAAGCGATTTCAAAGCAAGTAGACTGCTCTGCCCATGTCCCCATGCCGGATGTACAGATCTCCTAAAATTCTGACTGAAGCCTGGCCTTGCCGATGTTGTGGCATGTGTTTTTTCGTGTTAAATTAGTTCAAGCCCGTGGTTGTTGCAGACTGGACACAGCATGATACAGTAGGTTGCAGTAGCTTTTAGCGGCTAGTGCATGCCAGAGACTAAACAAAGATGTGGCGGTGTGTGTTTGTGTGATGTAAGCCTGTGTTAGCCTGTGCGGCTGTTGGCAATAAGAAGAAAGCCAGGCACTTAGCTGTGGGCTATGAGGTCGGAGTTCAGTTTTGTCCGGTATTTTGATGATCGACATGTGCCAGAGCGGGAAATAGCGAGAAACTTGCAGGTGCGAGCCTTGTGGATGCACAATGCTAGGCAAACCTGCAATTTTCATTCGGTACGCGGTTGAGTTATGTGTCATGCGCCCAAGATGCTCGAGTTCGCAAAGCATGGTCCGCAGAATGGTAGCTCTAGCTTAGTTTGAATTTGTTGTGAACGAAGATGAGAAGCCTGCACATGTCAGGCCACTCGGTGTGGCAAATATCTCAGAAAGGTGCCAGCATGTGGAGATGCTGTCCATCCATCTCCAGGGATGCAGACGTAGGTGTCGATGCTGGATCTGGCGGTGCATTCAGCGATGGATGCAGTTGCATGAAAAACATCCCAAGCTATGGGTATTATGGAGCGCTCTCCTCGCTTTCATTGGTGTCCTGGTGGATCCAATGATCACGAGGTCCTGATGTGCAACACGTGTATGCGAAGAATGGGGGGGGGGTTCGGTTTTGAGGCTAGGAGGCTTATGAGGTGGCCCATGAGGTGGCTACGGTCACCTGGTGCTCTTCAAGAGCCATGGACATTGTGGGTCCCAACGCAGATCACTGCTGTCTTGATGTATTCCAAAGCCCGATACGAACGAGTTCAATGACCTGATGGATGCCGTTGCTGGTGTTTGCCCTCAGCCTTTGTCTAGAGGAAGTGTATGACGACTGGCCTGATCGGACTACCCCAGGACTGCGATCCTACAAACACAACCCATTCTCTCTGATGCTCAGCACAACAGAAGTGTGCGGATATTCATGCTTGGGGGTGATGATGTTCAAGAGGTTGGCTTCATGGTGAGCCTCATCTCCTCGCTCCTATCAAGGATCTTGTCGAACGCTCTGTGTTCCTCCTGCCAAATATCCTTGCTTAACGGAGTCACAGCCGTTCTCTTTTTAGTGGCTCACCCTGCTGCCCTGAAAAATCCTGAAATGCAAAGCTTACTTGAATGCTCGGCCTGGCTACTCTTCTCGAAAAGTCATGTCATGTTCCCGGAAGCTTTATGTTTGTGCGTGGCGCGCCTTCTGTGCCAGGCAAAATGGTCGGCTTGCCTCACACATACTCACACGGATCACAAGCTTAAGCGACTCAACGCCCCAAACGTCTTTGTGAGGTTTTGGATCTAAGCTTTCGTGTCTTGCCGCAGGTTCAAGTCAGGAGGCAAAGTGTTTCTCCGGCGTGTGGCTCTGAGATGATGACACCACTGCAAGCCGAGCCCGAAACATTATGTAATGCCGAAGGCATGGACTGGACCGATGCTGATTCGTGCGCTCAATTGCTGGAGGCCAATCGGGTTTCAAGGATGACTGCAGCTGCTTGCAGTTGGTCGCAGCTTGTTCAGTTGCCCTGCGTCATCTTCTCTGCGTTTCTGCAGCTCTCGTGGCTCAACGGATGGCCCTCAGACCTCACACAGCCAACGCCGTTTAGCTTCAAGCTCCTGTTCCGCCATGAGCTTTGTGGGGTTGGACGAGAATGGGGCCACCTCCATCCGGGCAGACCCTCGGCGAAGCAACATATGTTGTCTTCCCTTTCAAATTAGAGATTCACTCACTCCAGCATATCACGAGCTAGAGCACCGACCTCGCTCGCACACTATGTGAGGCGATGAAGCTTCGGATCCCGCGGATCAACGAGGTGTCACATTTCCGGGAGGCACTTCTGTTCGAGAAAGCTCTGCGCCAACAACCTTCCCTGAGTTTTGAAATTTGGTCCCCACAGATGCCTCTGGTCTTCGAAGTCCCGCTCCCCGGAACTCCAGGCCCGGAGGCTTCTGCAGGAGCTCGGAGGCTGCGAGGCGCTCCGCGAGGAGCTCGTGAATGCAGGCTTCGTGGATGGTGACTCAGGAGCTGAATCCACCTGTGCCAAACTGCCAAACCCGGGCAGAAGTTACAGTACTCAGTTGTCGAGTAGTAGTCGCTCCCACGACTTGCAGTTCATTCGTTCATATGGCATCTCTCTCTCTCTCTCTTCTATTTTCTCTCTTTCTCCATCGAGACAGGGTTCTCTAATCATCGAAAGAATGCAACATGTACTGTAATATCTGTCTATATAAATACGTGTGTATACACATGCTCACATGGCGTACGTTGAAGGGAGCCTGCCTTTCTTGTTGCATGCTAGGAGAGCTGACCAGCGGGCAGAGCCCCTTCAACGTCTTCGTCCGTGTTGCAAAAGGGCTCGGGACCTTACTCTCTAAACTCTGGCATTGCTTGGTAGAGAGCCTCTGCAGCATCCACAGAGGCTGCTGAAGCAAGCAAATATGGAACCAGAACAGGAGGCCCTGGGAAGGTTTCAGTCGCGACTCGGACGCAACCACTGCGCACAAATGCCTCGCATTCTGACATGGGACATGAAGTAGGAGGGAGTCCAACGAATGCCAGGAAGTTCACTATTTGCTGCAATCGGGCTGAGAATGACTTGCACTGGGAGTCTCGGCGGCGATGGCGGTTTTGAAACCGTGAGACCAACTTGACTTTGGCATGTCGGGTACGGTAGCGGTTGTTGTTCCTTTCCGTGCAGGATTCTGACGACCCCCAGTGGGTCAAACGGGCTTCGATGTCCAGGCGACACAGATTTCTCACAACAAAGGACGAGACTTTGACGAGGGACTCGCGCGTAGCGGCGTAGAGAAGTGAAGCATCCTCTTCATTTGAGACAGCACAGGACTTGCACTGGCAGTGGTGCATGCCTTAGTGATGATAAAGCAAGAAGCGTAGGAGGTGGTGAAGAATTTGCCCTTTGTAAGATGTCAATGGGCAGTGTAATCGCGAAATGAGGTTCAACCCTCTCGTGTTCGGAATGGTGTCCGAAATTGGTGAAGGCTGTGACGTTCGCCAAGCACTTGAGGAATTGGAAGAGATGAAGTCTGCCGCGCTTACCTATGCTAAGAATAGCCCGGGCTGGCCCAAAGATCCGACAGACATTGGTCTGTATGTGAACATCTTCGGCCACAATAATGTCAATTCGCTTTTCATCCACATTCTTGACCTGACTGTCACTGGACCAAGCTTTGCTGTTTCTTGGCTTTCAGAGGGGAGTGCATATGGTTTCCCGTTCGAACCTTACCATCTTATTGTCGGAGCATGCCTCCTAGAATGCCCGCAGGCCTTGGTGGAGCTTGCGGTGCCGTTTCATGCATGACATGTTGCACATGCCTGCCGTAGTATGGGATTCATTCCGAAGCTTCGAGCCAGCCAAGCGGTCATCTGGGCCAAACATGGCATTGCCATAAGCTTGCATCGAGGCGCTGTAGCAACCTGACAGGAGGGACAAGTCACAGTTCAAGATGGTAACAGCTAAGGCGCAGACCTACAAAAATTGTCTCTTGCATCGAAGCAACTGCTCTTTGCGGTCTTTGCAGGCTTTTTGCAGGCATATGTCTAGCAAGAGTCAAGACTCCATTAGCCAGCCAGCGAAGGTCCCTTGGATGCTGTGCTCAAAGTTCTTCAAGAGGAAGCCCAGGACACCAAGATGCCACGAATCATAAGCACCGCGGGTGAACGCAAAGCCCGTTCCAGCCTCTTCGAACTAAGCGGCGGATTTCGGGGAACTGGTGGCGCTACAAGCTTGAAGGAAGAGCTGGTGGAACGTGTCCCAGTGCTCTGCGATGCTGGCAGCTTCCGTGAAGTTCGGCGTATCTTTCGCGAGGACTATGGGGGCTGCAAGGCTCTAAAGCCTGAGCTCGCAAATGCCGGCTTTATCGATGTCTCTACAGGCTTACTGACTACTGGAACGAAGCCTTTCAACCTCTTTGCGCGCATAGCCGCCGGGGAAATGGAGCAGCCAGGTGAGGAACTGAGTCGCTTGATGCGTGCATTATAGGAATGCCAGAGCCGAGGATGCCAGATCATGGCATAAGTGCGGCATATGTATGCATAAGGCAGAAGTATGCATAAGGCAGAAGTCTTGTGATTTGAAAATCTGTGATGTGGCACAGGCATGATGGAGGAGCAAGTTGCGCTGCAAGGCTTCTCGAGTTCCGTCTGTGTCTGCCGCAACAAGCCAGAGAATGATGCACACTGGGATTCAGATGCAGAAGAGTGGATTGGCAAGGCTTCCATGTCGGCGAGACATCGGTTCCTTACTACAAAAGACTTGAGATGGACATATTTCAATGCCCTAACTTTGGGTATGAACGATGCAGGAGATGCAGATGTCGCGAGCTTGAGTGCAGCAATTCAGCTGGTTGAAGACTTGAAGGCCGCCGCCATGGCGTATGTGACAGATATGCAGGGATGGTCTGACAAGGTTGGGCTTTACTTCCACGTCTTTGGCCACAACTCGGTGAACTCACTCCATTTGCATGTCGTAGACATGAGCTCCGTTGGGCCAACCTTTCACAAGCTGAGCTACAAAAACTGCTCTCTCAACGCTGTCCTCAAGGTGCTGCGAGAAGAACTTGCTGCTGCCAAGGCAGCGGAGTCCTCGCAGCATCCCAAAGACTTGCTGGCAAAGGCGGCGACCATCGAGGAGCCAGATGTCATCCAAGAGCTCAACGTTGGCGGCGCCGTGGTCGCTGTCTCCCTGGCAACTCTTCGCCGAGCTCCACCAAACTCTTTTCTCAGCGTGATGGTCGAGAACCTGGACAGTCCCACGCTCGTTCGTGATGCCTGGTTCGCAAGAGCATGTCTCACAGCTATGTGTTGCGAATTGGAACATCATTTTTGATCTGGGATCATGAAAAGAAGGGACAACCAGTGACAAAGTGACAACCACTAGGGGCTTGAAGCGTGTGTTAAGGACAGCCGGGGCCGCATCTTCCTGGACTTCCCACCAGCTCCTTTCAATCAAATTCTCAACCACCTGCGCATGCAGCACTTGCAGCCGGACTCCGCTCAAGTCCTACAGCACCTTCTCTCCAAATAGCTGCTACGACGTGCTACGACGTGCGACGATTTGCTAGGGATGGCCTGACTGGTCGCACATTGCATCTAAGGAGTGCAGACGAGGACTGCATCGCTGCTCTGCATTCTGCGCTGTGTCTCTGTGCATGCCGCATGCTCTCTCAACTGTCCCGCTCTGTCCCCCAGAAGGACACGCGACTGCTGGGCAAGTCGCTGGGTTTTGCAGTGCAGCAGCCTTCATCGAACTACTTCTTGCTTGGTTCGGTCCCTAGTTGTGCAGATACAGGTTCATCATGGGTTCGAGCAGACCCCTCCTGTGTTGCATGCTTCTGCAGTATATGGGCCAATCGAGCACCAAACAAACTTGTAGCGCGCCGCACCAGTGACGTCTTGCATGCCCTCAGTGGATGCCGACACGGCCTGGCAAGATCCTGCAAGGGAATCGAAAGGCTCTCAGAGCAAGAAGGAGACATGGGACAAGCATTGATCGAGCCAGGGAGCGGCTTCGCCCAGGAACTGAAGTTGACTATACTCCGTGGATGTGTGTGGAGCAAATTGGAGCAACGATTCCACGTTCTGACGATGTGCTTTTGCCATCTTTGGCCCACAATGGATTCTGGAGAGATCCAGCCGTCAAGGGTTTCCGCGACGAGACCCATGGACATGATGACCGAAGACCTGTGTCCTCGAAAGTCTTCTATGCAGATCTTCCAGAAGGCATGAACCTGGATGAGAAGGTGGAGGACGGCACGCAAGATCAGGACGCCGTGATGGAAATGGTGCCCACGCACGCTGATGATGCTTACGAACTTATTTGAGTGTACAGTTGCTCCGGTGCTCAGCCATCAAGTGGCCATCGGATCTTTCAGCCTGTTTGGGGCTCAGGGTCGAGTTTAGTTCGTAGAACCGTGGAACGTGCTCAAAGAAGAAGTGCTTCCGAGCTGTCATTGGAAAAGGATTTCAAAAACACACTTAGAAACATGACATTCTTCCGCTGAGATTCGCTGCAAAGGTGCTGCCGTGGCGGTTGCAGCTCTTTGCCTCGTCCTCTCGAAGAGGACATGACGGCTCTCCGTACACCGCTTCGTCGACTCCGCCTTCAACTCCGACTGCAACTCCCTCGGAACCATCCAAAAAAGGTTCTGCAGTGCAAAAAGAAGAGCAGAAAGTTCCGCAGAACAGTCGATTGGGCACTGCAGAGCACTTTGCCTCGAGCCGCATTTGCTCCATGAAAGCTCTGGTCTCCATGGTGGCCTTGGTCTCCCAGCTCCTTGATCCCCTGGTGCTCGGATTGCTCGAAGCCGAGACGCATGGTGACAAAAGAAGCAAAAAGGGTGAGCAAGAAGGCATGCAAGGGTTGCCTTTTGCCGTGAGCATATCTTTTCACAGCATGTCGTAGCATTTCATCGCCTTTCAGCCCGTATCCCGTGTCATAGATCCGACCATCCGGGCGCTGCACAGGAGAGTGGCCCCTTCGACTTGGTGATTGCCGCAGACTGTGTGCTGGTGTCCCCGCCTTGTGTTGATTGATAGGTCTGTTGCCGCTAGTGCCTGTTTTGTTAGCAACATTCTTGCAATTATCATGATTCTCACCTGTCGACTGCTTGCGTTTGCTGCGTGGAGTGTGTGCGAACGAGGCGCTGCCACCGTTCGGTGCCCGGTTCCTTCTTCGGAAGAATCTGGAGACATGTTTCCTCGTGAATGCTTTGCGACCCGGCTGTCGTTGCTGCAGGTGCGGTCCTATGTGGTCGGAAGCCCAGCGTTGTGCAGTTGTTGATCTGAGTTTCAAAGACTGTTCTGAGGCGGGCGGTGGGCGCTACTGCCTACCCGCCTGATGCGCTGCCCGAAGCCCAGACCTTTCAAGACGCCGCGGAGCCATACCCGTACCCTGTAAGCACTTGTACTTGCACGCCGTCCGCACTGGGGACTGTAACTGTAACCCGCACACCTGCTGCCATCCTTACGCAGGTTAGAAGCTACTCGACGATTCAGCGGTGAACGAACGCAGGCGACCAGCAGTTGGCAAGGTAGGTCGCACCTAAGCAGCAGCCGAAATCGCATGTCAGACTTGCTTTTTTGCAGCGCTGGCTCCAGACCAGATTCCAGGTAGATGGGACAGCTTGATCAAAGTAGTCTGGAGCGCCACTGAACCAAAGCCTACCCAGTGGGAGAACATGCATTTGCTCAAGAATGGCAGCACAAATCTCGGCAACAGTGTACTGATCGTCATGGAATACCTCAAAGCTCCGAACCCTGTACCCTATAGAGTCTCCGACACGTCAATGCTGGGATGGCTGGCAAGTAGGCCAAAGCATGGCCTCGAGACGTGGAGTGCAGCCCTGAGTCTTCTCGGTTTCGTGTAGTGTTCAGAGGGTCTAGGGTTTGGGAGACATGGGGCTGATGAGGGGTCGTTTAGGGTTTAGGGCGTATAGGGTTTAGGCAATGTTGTATGCACCGTCCGTGTCCAGAGAGCCACCGGCAGCAGGAAACTGCTGAGGCCAGGCTCATTGCCTCCAGTTTCCAGCGGCACGTTTCGAAGGCACCGAATGCATAGTTGGGGGGGTATTCTAAATTCGAGCCCCTTTTTGGGCTCCATTCTTTGAAGTTAAGGGTTGTTGAGATTATTCAATTCAAAGCTCGTTGCGAGCAATAACTCAGCTGTGCAGGTTCCCAGACCTGCAGCTGCTTGGCACGGAGGCTCTGAGACAGGGAGGGCCTCCAGGATTCTGCACAGGAAGTCTCGTTAACGCCTTGAGCGACCTCGAGCCAACAAGTATTCGTACTTTTTGATGATTTGTATCATGCGGCAAGAATTGATGTTGTGATCATAACAAATTAGCACGGTGTTGAATGAAGGCCAAGTATGATGGGTAGATGAGTTTTCCATTGCGGGTGTTGTGATTGAAATGGCAAGGCCAGCTCAGACTCGCTACCAGCAGTACAGGGAGCGTGGTAGCCTCAGTGAACGTTTGCGGGCTTTTCGTTTTTAGGGCTAGGCCTCAACACTGGTGTGAGACTTCTGTTACCTCACATACGTAGATGAACGTGCTCAACTTCATGACAAGGACTCTGCCTCACCGCCCGTCTGCAACGAAAGGCCCTGCGTTTGTTGTGACTGGTTGCCATTTTAGCATGCACTTAGATGGCTGTGTTCTTGACGCAAGACCCAGACTTCGGAAAGGTATTCAGTTAGAAACTGAGAAGACTGAACTGGGCTAGATAGTTTGGAAATGGGCTGTGACACAAGAGCGTGAGTCTGAATTTGCTGTTGCTTTCATTTCTGTGCTGTTACTGATGTCCCCTTTCGTTAACAAGGCAAGGACCGAAGCTGGCGGGTTTTGGTTTCGGGAGGGGGAACGAAGGAACGAACGCCAAATGAGGAAGTCCCAAACGTGTTGTGCTTGTACACAGGAAGGCAGATGAGGCGCGAGCAGGCTGGCTGTAGTCCACATTCCTGCTATCAGAATCGCAGCGACGGGAGAATTGCATCCGTGCGTAGGCTCAAGCCGCGCACTGTGCGGCCCTTCGACCACCTATGAGGCTTTGTCCATTCATTTAGTCGGGACTGGCTGAACTGCTTGTACATGATTTTAGTCTCGTGGGGTGAGTGTTGCGTCAGGGGCAATCCGAAGAAGAAGTATCATCGCTTCTGCAGAAGATGAGCTCGTGTTGCGGTCTGAAAGTCTCGGGACGATCTTCGACTAAGGTACCACGCTTGATGTTTTTTCTACACCTGCTCAGGTGTCGGGGCATTCCTGCGGAGCACGTTTGTCAAGGGACGCCCTGCAGAGGACAGCTATTGTGGCAGTTTTCGTGGCTGGTGCGCGTGCGATGAGCAGCTGCAAAAGATGTAAATGGCGATGCTGCCATGCAACACCCTAGGATTTGGCGCAGAAGTACGAGATTGGGGAGGAGTTAGGCAAGCTCAGACAAAGAACCATGCAAGATTTCCAGAAATAATGCGCGAAAGAGTGCGCGGTACATTGCAAACTGGCACAGTGTGCGCAGGTGCGGGAGCCACCGCGACTGTCTACCGAGCTCTCAACTCAAACATGCGGCATGACAGGTTGTTCTCTTGAGCCGCAGGGAAACCGATGATTCTGGATGTTCCGTGTATCTTTGCGCCAGTGAAAGAGTTTCATTCAAGACCAGGCAGTGTTTTTGGAAGTACCTGCGGCGCATGATGGTCACCTTCGGGAGGCCAATGTAGTTCTGGAAGAAATCAAGCCAAGGCCAAAAACAAGCGCACCGGTGCCTGACTCAGATCGCATGTGCAGTTTCAGAGGGAGCCCCCGCCCCCAAAGCTCTTCAAAAACTGGGATGTTCGGATGCGTTCGTGCCTATCATGGCCCATCCAATGACCTTCTCTGCTCTTGCCATTTTTCCGAATGGGAGGCCAATGCGTCGCGCTCAAGGCAATGTGCAAGACATCAGCTCAGCTGCCATGATACATGATGGGTAAACTACGGTGGCCCACTTCGTTAGACTCGTTGCGTTCACCGGATGTCTCCACTGCCTTATGCGCAACTAGTTGCTGTTGCCCAGGGACAAGATCCAGGACGAGACCATGCTGCGCAACGAAATCAGCATTCACAAGGCCGGGAGCTTTGCGAGATTTCTCTGGCGGACATCGCAGCCAAGTGGAAGCATGTGCTACGAACCGACAAAAGAAAGCCAACACGGTTGGCCAGCAGAAATCAACGGTACACTATCTGATGTGAGTCTGGGAAGAAAGTAGAGCGTGAGTTGCCATGTGGTGGACATGACATGCGATATTTTGGGCGTGACATCCGTGACGTGCAGGTCAGGGACCAGGGGAAGGGCGAAGCACGAGATCAAGCAATGGTTATATGTATATTGAATAATATTGCAGATGATATTATAATATATTGTACTCCATTATATTATGTTATATCGTCAGTTACGCTCACTGCCCAGAAGGGCCCAAAAACACTCTTTGCCCAGTGGTGAAACTTCCGGGCAGGAAGGCCTTGTGCTCTTATGCCACCTTTTTTGACCACATCAGACAGACACGAAAGGCACCTGGCCCTGGCATGACACAAGCCCGACTGTGAAGTACAGAAAATTGAGAGCTTGTGATCGTCATGCAAGAAAGGGCGGCGTCCTAAGGAGCAATGTGGACGGATTTTGAGCCCTGGGTTTCGCTGGAAAGGTCACGGACCATCCCAATATCTTGCGCTTGCTGGAGATCTTCGAAGATGTCTGGACCTTGGAGTGCCCTGAAAAGATGTGAAGCCAGGCTGTTCAAAGAGTAACGACTTCGACGATCAAACCTAAAGCCTAAAGCCTAAACCCTAAACCCTAAACCTGGTTAGCCTAAACCCTAAACCCTAAACCCTCAACCCTAACTAAACTTTATGTCTTTTCAGGACAAGAATCTCTTCCTCGTCACAGAGCTTTGTGGCGCTGGCGATCTGTGGAGGCTCCTTTGTGACCCAGGATGTGTGGCGATTTTAGGGTTTAGGGTTTGGGGGTTTAGGTGCACAGAAGGGCACGTCACATCAGGCTTCTTCAAGCAAACCAGGATGAGTTCAGCGTGATGGCCCCGGAATCCATCTACATTTTGACTGCTGACTGGGTTCCAAGCTAGGCTTCCCCTTACAGACGCCCCCTCCCTCAGGGAATTCCTGATTCAAAGGGCACTAAGTGACCCTAGTCTAGAACAAACGCCGCATGTAGATGCAGCTTGTACATGCAGGATGCTCGCGTTGTTCTTGCTCAGGCATCCATGATCTCGGAAGAAGAAGCTATCGAGTAGCTTGACGGAAGAATTTGTGGGTGTAGTGAGCCACTTTGCAGAGCAGTCTCGCCGAAAGAGTTTTCCGCCCGATACATGTGACCATATTCCAACACCATGAGGATTCTCAAGCAGGTGCTCAACAGTGTGGCCACGCTCACAGATTTCTTGCGTTCTGACTTCGCCTTTTCTTGGCGGAGGCCCTTAATATGGCGCTTCAAAGTCGGGTTAACAAACCTGCAAAGCCCTCAACGGATTCTAAGGGATACCTGCACTCGCGCGGAATCGTCCACCGTGACCTCAAACCAGGCGCGGGGGCGGAAGGTTACTTGTCCCGGTAGCCATTTTGCAACCCTTCGGGGGGTTAAGTGGATTTTAAGGGTGCTTTGCAGGATGTGTCTGGGCATGTTCATCGAGGGTTCTTGGGGATTTTCTGAGACCAAACGTTCCAAGATTTGCGGAGTCCCTGAGGCAACTTCCTCTGCTGTGCTCCAGATTCTGATGCCGTAGACCAGTCCGGGACCTTGGACCTTGATCTTTTGTTGCTTTTTTCAGAATCTTGCTTGGGGACTGTTAAAGATGAAGACACCAGGAAGAACTTGGCTGGGAAGATCCGAATCATCAAGCTTGCCGACTTCGGGGTCTCTTCCTGTTGCCATGTGAAGTCCTGTGCCGAGCGGTCGTGATGTTTTTTCCATGATGGCTGCACCGCCCTGCCCTTCAATCAAGGCACCGCCTAACGCGCAAGTGTGGCACGGACGGTTTCATGGCACCCGAGATTCTGAGACATCAGCCTTACGACGAGAAGGACTGTGATGCATTCTCTTGGCTTAAACCCATTTGGTGCATGGTGGCGAGGCCGATATCTTTTCCGTTGGCTGTATCTTGCGGCTGGGCTGCATACATCTGCAGTTGCTAGCATATTTGGCTGTCAAGGGGTTGCTTCCCTTGGAAGGCATTGGCTGCTGACGGGTCATCCACCCAAACCGCGCGAGGCCCTACCCAATTTCCCAGTTCTGCCATGTTCTGTCCGCCCAGTGCTCATGGAGAGCTGAGTACTGGTACATCAGTAGTAGACCTCACTTTGCTGTATCTGCTCGTGGTTCTAAACGATAATTACAGATTATAAATTACTGAAGGAGGTTCTATAGCTTTGTTGTAGTCCCTGCCAGGATGGAAGCTACGTGATGAGCAAGATCCGCCTGAACTTCGTCTCAGATGAGGCCTGGAGAGCTGAGCGTGGCATGCCCAGCTGTGTGTGCAGCTCCTCAAGGCGAGGGCGCTGCTGGAGCTTCTTACGAGGCGCAACAGCTACCTCAAATATCCTCAAATCTAAATCTCAATGCTCAACGTCCACGTGGAGCGTGAGACTTTTTGTCGTAGAGGCCTGAGCCAAAGGACAGGCCTTCTGCGGAGGAGGCGGGCGGGGGACAATGGCAGACCGGCAGCCTGGGTGAGGTCTCCTTGACTTGTCCACTCTGCAGAGTGTAAGGTGCTGCGGTCTCCGATGCTTCAAGGCTCTGCTCGACGGCTCAGAGCTCGCTCCGTGCGAATGGATGCCCAGCTCCTGGACCAGATGCAGGAGCCTCAGATGAACGACCTGTTGGTCGGAATGACAAGTAGCGAGCGATCGACGCAGCCGCTGAGATCGCTCGATCTTTGAGAAAGGAGTTCTTGTGAAAGTCCCACCAACTCCACCCTGTGGTGTTTGGTGTAAACCTCGATTTCGACCACGAGCAGCCCGAGGATCGAGGAACGACACGCGCGCACGTACGATGCTTGCTGGACTCAAAGCATAAAAGAGTTCTCCGACTTGCTTGGACATTCTGCCATAGCGACCGGCTGTCTAGCTGCTAGACGGCCGAACCGCCCGAAAGTTCTCGACGAGGGCTCTCCTCAGAACTTGTGTGCGCGAGGATTGGGCGTATGTTTAGGATAGGCAGGCTCTGGGTGCATGCGTGATTCTTTGTCAGACATGAGCCGCGCAAGCCAAGCTTTCCAAACATGGCACCTTTCGAAGATCAAGCCGATTTCAGAGATTTCTCCCACTGAAAGTGTCCATCTCGAGTGTGCATCCACCAAAGCACATTTCAGACGTTCACCCGCTGCTTCGACTCCATGAGCTGAGATGTTTCAAAAAGTGTGAGTGCTCTGATGTGATCAAAGATGCATAGAGTTACATGAACTTGCAATGCAAGTTTCCTAAATCGGAAAGGGTTTTGGCAAGCAGTCGATTTTGGGATGCCACACTTGTCGAGCTGCTCAGTGCAAGACTCCACGACTCCTAGCTGTGAAGGTCAATGTCGGTTTCGTTTGAACTGGTCGACGAGTTGCATTCTTGACTGGAAGGTTGTAGTCAGCCTGATGCAAAGGAAATATCTGATATAAAAGAGCTTTGTCAAAGAGACAAGACACGTGTTGAAATATGAGAAGAAGTGCGTGAGATCTTCTGGCGTGCCTATCAATGGCGGGCAGTGCTTCAAATATGACCGTCACCGATGTGTTTTTGGTAAGCAAAGGTATGCATACGGGTCTTTCCCCTTGCTGAAGAAGGCAGGAGATGCACTTGGGACGATGTTCCTCAACCCACGCGTGCATGTCTCGAGCCAAGAGTAGGAGTATGGTTACGATCTTTTTATCATGCGTCATGTTAGGCTGCCATCGTTGCTATGGCTGGGAGCCCGACTGAAAATCTGTAGGGCCTGTAGGGCTGCAGGGCAACCTTCGGAGAGCCATCGTGCAAGGTCACGCGGGCAGAATCTGATGCAGACTTTGCTCCCAGCATAGAACGCTTCATGACACGTCCTCAGGGAGCATCGGACAAGCACTCAGAGTGCAGCGTGTGCGTTTGGTGTCTCAGGTCTCTGGACCGGAACCTTACAAGTGGCATCGACACAGTGTGAGCCTGACGGGCCTACATAACGTTTTGACAGATGCCCGGGCGCTTCTTTTGCTCCACCACACAAGCACAGCTATGTCGGCTTTTTTCGTTTCCGCTCTTCAGGAGGACATCTATGGTGCATTGAGTGAGGAGATGCCCTTCGGCTTATGTTACGATGAGTCGACTAAGCTGATGAAGTTAAAAGCAATGAAACGTGCCATGCTGCGGAGTCTTTGAAGTGCCCGTTGTTGTGCAGCCTTGCCGAGGCTGGATGACATGCGAAAAATGGTACGCAAGTCCATTGCAGGGGCAGGGGGCACAGCTTGACGAAGACTGGCTGATCTGTGCCGGATACTGTGACAGTTGTTGGCGCCTATCGGCCATTCAACAGGTCTTTGACCGGCAGCAAGGGCTGGAAGAACCCAGCTAATCCTGTCTGGGTGGCGTTGACAACCATGACAATGAAAGCCCAAGAGATCCCGGCCCTAGAGCGGCGAAACCCAACTTGGCCCAAAAAAACTATTGAACTCGCAGACTGTGCGGGGTTGCAATGCGTGCCCCACGAACGCACTAAGGGGCCACTAATTGTTGACGGGTCCCCAAGAGTCGAAGCCACTCCGCCGGCCGTCCCGACAGAGAGAGGCTCGGAAATTTCCGGTAATTGAGGTCCCCAGCTCTTGACTTAGTACTACGGAGGCGATGTATTCAAAAACGCCACTCTTGAAGAAACCTTCAAAACGTGCTGCGCGAGCAAGCACGCGCACAACGGCGGGCGCAAGAGTGCGCAAGTGCAATACTAACGTATCGATCTATGTAAAGCGATCTAAATGAGAACGGCGTTGCACACCTGCGCAAGACTGGCGAAAGAAACGCGCAAGGGCGGCTCAAGCCGTGCGTCGCTGTGGAAAGCATGGGCCCAGATGCTGGCGTGAGCGAGCTTCCTAATGTTTGCTCAAATCCTGCCTGAAACTTCAGCCCGAAACCAAGCCCTTTCAATGCTGCCAGTGTGGTCATCTTTTAATACTCTAGGGTTTAAGGTTCAGGTATAGGGTTTAGGAATTACAGGGTTTAGGGTTCAGTTTTTTAGGGTTTACAAGGTATGCAAAAACTGGTGCGCGCGCAAGAAGCGCGCAAGAATGCGTAAGGGCAGGCGCAAGGGGCATTAAAATGGTCGCTCGTCGGAACAAGAATATTGATCAGCCCCCCATTGTTTTTTTTAAAGGCACACCCGAAGACTTTTGACTAGCGGATCTCCCCCACTCCTGGGAGAAAACAACAACAAAACCAAGCAGTCGCGAAGATCGCGAGATCTTGAGAATAGAGCCCGGCAAGGGGGCCAACTCTCAAACAAAGCGGGCTTGGGGTCGGCACTATCAGGATACATTGGGATTGAGCTCATTCTTGGAACGCAGGAGAAAGAAAGACCGATTTGTGCCAATCAGTGCCACCAGTGGGGAGGGGGGGCAGTTGAGGAGGGTTGCATGGAGGAGGGGGAAAATCAGTTTAGCGCACTCTCAAGACCAGCGGCCATGTCCTCGACAAACTCCGGTGCAGGAAACTGTAAGGCGTCGGAGGGGGAGATCCCGCCTCTCGCGCCGTGGCAGCACATTCCCAAAGTGTGGAAAAAACGTGAGCTGGTGCGAGCTGGTGCGGAGCTTGCAAGGCCACAAGCTTCTTCAAGGCGCGACACTGAAGTTGTTGTTCATGACCAAGCAACTGGCATCGATCTGCTAGGCAGCCGCTGGAATGTGTCATGAAGAAGTTCCAGACGGTGGGCTGCAAGCATGCTTGCTGCATAGTGCTATGACTGCAGCTTTGCACAAGCAGCTTTGAGGCTTGTCAATGCCATGCCATTTCAGGAGCTTCGAGAGGACGTCGCACGTCTCGTCAACAAGGAGCGGCACTGAATTATGTCTCAAAGCGTTGCAGCTCACCAGACCTTGAGGCAGCTTCATAGGCAAGAGACCTGCTGTTCCTCACCTTCAAGCATGAGCTCCCCTACTGTAGTTTTTTATAGTCAAGCATGGAATAACAGGTGCAAATCATCTCAAAATACCGTGGAGTGCACCATGCCTTGTTGAACATCTGCATTGCTCATGACTTTTCGTCATTGCAGCGAACTCTCCGGCACACGAGGATGTGCGCAATAGAACTTTCTAGCCAGGTGGCACCGTTTTTTTTGCTGCATCGCTTGAATCTGCAGGGTGATTTTGAGCTTCAGTCAGGTTGATGCGACTGGCACAGGGTGTGCAGCCTTAGCCAGCTGTTGCTGCGAAGCAACACAGTCTTTCATGTGCTGAATGGCTGAGGCATATCAGCTATTCTGAATGGCTGGCAGCGACGGCAGATCCGGCTGCCTGAGTTGAAGTGGCAATCTCACGCCATCACAGAGAATTGAAACGCTCATTGTGAGGCCTGGTACACGGACCCTTTGCACATCAGTGCGGCATTCAGGTCTGCAGCCGAGAAGAACATACCGAACATACCACGATGACCCGTGTAGGCGTTGATTTTCCAGGCTCTTCGACTTCGATGGTGACGGCATGATAAGCGAGGAGGATCTCAAGTGCGTGATTCCCGATGCCCCTTCGATGCATAGCTGAGGCTGCACAGCTCAACACTGCTAAGAGTCAGATTCTCAGAAGCATCTCTCCAAGGTTTTCGAGAAGTTGACCGTCAAGGCTGTCCTTCAAGAGTCGCAGCTGAGCGCGAAGCAGACTTCTTGGATCAACGAGGCCCCGTGATCACCTGCCATGTTTGCGCGCGACAGATTTGTAGTTTTTTTCTGGTCAAGGAGTGCTTTTCACTGCTCATTCGCACTCAGCTACCTGGCTGTGCTGGGCAAGCCAGAAATGCTGGTGCAAAATTCGGACATGCCGGGCTGGGCACTTGTCCCACACGGTCGCGGTGTCTAAGGAACGCGTCGGTCTTCACGCTGCAGCGGATCTGTGATGGGCTAGAGGATCCAGTTGCCGCAGCTCATGCTCCAAATGTCTCTTGATCTCGGATGATCTCGCTGGTTTTTAGGCCGACAACACAGGATTTGATCGGCCTCCAGTTCGAGCAGTTGGGAGGATGTGTCTTGCTGAACAGCTGAGCGACTAACCCACGGCAATTTCTGTGTTTCCCACAGTTTCGTTCCTCACAGCTCCCATGCCATTTTCTTGCACTATCCGGGCTAATTAGACAGCTTTTAACACTGCTTGCCTAGCGAGAGCCCGTTAGACTTTCCAACTTTGCAGAAGGCAAATGTTTGAATGATTCTTTGAATGCCCTGCAACGATAATGACTTCCACTGCGGATGCGCACGTGGCTACAGCAAAGAAAGAGCGTGGTATGCGTCATGTCACATTGGACATGCCCGCTCGGAACGCTGGCTCTAGGCGCCTCTGCGGAGCAGAGCAGCGACATGCAGCGACTGCCGCGGCGCAGGGGGGGTTGGGCTCAAGGCACTCAAGGCTTTGGCCCCGTCCCTTGAGAACAGCACACCGCAATGCAGTCCCTCCCGCTTCTCCTGGCGCTGGCGGCCTCCACCGCGCTGGCGCCGGGGCCTCGAAGAGGCTCCGAAGAGAAAGGGCAGGGGCGCAGGTGACATCCCGTGACGGGCCTCAGGAGAACCGCGTCCGGTAGGGGTCGCGTAATCGTGTTGGCCCTTGCACCGCCGACTTGCCAACATGTCCAACTGCCGAGGTCGGATGTGACCCCTGTCCAGAAGGTTGTCCAGCTGCTGGAGAACATGAAGGAGAAGGGCACAAAGGAGATGCAGGAGGAGCAGGTCCAGTACACAAAGTTCAAGCAGTTCTGCGACATGACGTTGGCGGAGAAGGAGGCGGCCATCGGTACCGCAGCCGACAAGATCGAGACCCTGGAGGCAGACATCGAGAAGGCCGCCTCGGAGGCGGAGCGTCTGAGCAAGGAGATGGCTGAGCACGCCGCAGACGTCGAGGCTGCCACAGCAGAGAAGGAGAAGGCCACCGCCGTGCGTGAGAAAGGTAGGGCGGACTTCCAGATGACCCTGCAGGACTACAGTGAGTCCATCGACGCCATTGGCAGGGCTCTGAAGGCCCTGAAGGAGGAGGACAAGAAGACGGCCAAGACGGCCCTTCTCCAGCTCTCTGATGCCAAGCTCCTGCCTGAAGAGGCGAGGAGTGTACTCATGCAGGGCCCGGCACCCAAGACGTACGAGTTCCAGTCCGGGGGCGTGATCACCATGCTCGAGGGCCTGCAGGACAAGTTCGTGGACGAGCGTATCAGCTTGGAGAAGGAGGAGCAGAAGAAGCGGCATTCTTATGAGATGCTGGTGCAGAGCCTGAAGGCCCAGTTGGCACAGTCCAAGAAGGAGCAGGGGGAGAAGGCCCAGTTCAAGGCCAAGCAGCTACAGAGCAAGGCCTCATCCGAGGGCGACTTGGATGAGACCAAGGTGGAGAAGCAGTCCGACGAGAAGTACTCCGTGGACCTGAAGGCCACCTGCAGCAAGAAGGCCGCGGCCTTTCAGGAGCGCCAGAAGCTGCGGCAGGAGGAGATCGAGGCCATCGAGAAGGCCAAGGGCATCATCGCTGGTGGTGCGGTGGCCGGCAGTGCGGAGAAGCACTTGCCCAGCCTCCTGGCCACCCCGATGGCCGCGTCCGGCCTCTCCACGGCGCTGGCCTTCCTGCGCTCAGAGCGGGAGCCGCGGGCTGAGCGGGCTGAGCGGGTGGCGCGGTTCCTGCAGCAGCGCGCCGCCGCGCTCAACAGCCGGGTGCTCTCCGCCATGGCCGGCCGGGCTGCCGCGGATCCCATCGCCAAGGTGCGGACCATGATCGAGCAGCTGATCACCAAGATGCAGGCGCAGGCCAACGAGGAGGCAACCAAGAACGGCTGGTGCAACGCTGAGCTCGCATCCAACAAGGCCACACGGGAGGAGAAGACCGACGCCGTGGACGAGCTGTCCTCAGACGCGGACGAGCTCTCCACCGCCATCGGCAAGCTCGACGAGGAGGTGGCAACGCTGGCCAAGCAGGTGGCGGAGCTCGATGCCGACATGTCCAAGGCGACGGAGATGCGAGAGCAGGAGAGCAGCAAGAACGCTGCCACCGTCAAGGATGCCAAGGAGGCGCAGGCTGCCGTGGCCCAGGCGCTGCTGGTGCTCCGCGACTTCTACAAGAAGGCGGCCGGTGCCACGTCCCTGCTGCAGGCGCAGGATGCCCAGGCAGCCCAGGCAGGCCAGAGAAGCCTGTCGCATCTGTCGCGGACAGCCGCGGAGCCGGAGGTCTTCGGCGACGAGCCCTACACCGGCATGGGCGGCGAGAGCGGCGGCGTGATCTCCATGCTGGAGGTCATCGAGAGCGACTTCGCGCGGCTGCAGGCGGAGACGGAGGCCGCAGAGGAGGCGGGCAAGAAAGAGTACCAAGAGTTCATGGAGGACTCGAAGGTGGACAAGGCCACCAAGGTCCGGACGTCGGAGCACAAGGTGACCAAGAAGCAGGCCAAGGCCCAGGAGCTCACTTCCGTGCGCGCCGACTTGCAGGGCACGCAGAAGGAGCTGGACGCCGCAAACGCCTACTTCGAGAAGCTGAAGCCCGACTGCCTCGACACCGGCGCCTCCTACGCCGAGCGCCAGGCGCAGCGCAAGCAGGAGGTGCAGGACCTCCAGGAGGCCCTCGAGATGCTCGAGAAGGTCTGAGAGGGGCGCCTGCAAGAAGGTTCGGAGAGCCCTGCCATGCCAGTGCCGCCACACTTGGCCAAAGTGCCTGAGTCTGTGTGCAGATTGCATCTTGGACGAAAAAGTGCGGACAGTGACGGATGTGACGGGATATCACCGATGCTGTGAGCTTAGAGGCCGTGCCTAAAGCCTTCAACAGGTGGTGATTGCTGTGACTGATCGAGCGGGCGATGTGGCCGCGACAGCAAGGGAGCTGCTGGTCAGGGCCCACCGTGCTGGTTTTTGTTGCGCAGGTGTCTAACTCCTCTCAGCTTGCCGTACCCCCCAGGCACTACCCCCAAGCATAAGCAGGCTCGTTGGGCTGTAGTACCGCTTGCTCTTCTCATCTTTTCTCTTCTGTTCTCGTCTCGGAGTCTCTTCTCTTCTTTTCTCATCTTGTTTTCTCTCCTCTTTCCTCCTCTTTCCTCCTCTCCTCTGTCTTCCTCCTTCATCTCTCACCGCTCGCCTCTCGCCTCTCTGCTCTCTCTTTCTCTCTTTTTTCTCTTTCTCTCTTTCTCTGGCTCGTGCTGTCTGGAGCGCTTTACACGTTCCAGTTGGACTCTTTATGAGCCGAAAGGAGGGTAGCTCGTTTTGCTAGTCAGTTGTTCCTGGAGCATGTATCTAGAATGAAACGCTTCGATTGCACCCTCCAGCGACAAGCTCTGCATCAGCACTTGTAACTGCTGAGCTGCCCCAACATTGCCGAACTCCTGTACCGCATGCACCGTGAGAGGGGTAAGGGCAGACAGATGGTGCTGTGCAGTGTAGACATGGCAAAGCTTGTGGTGGATAGCTTTCGCTGCTGACTGGCCAGCATGGGCACCTGGAGATCTTGGAGCTTCCGGCCGACTATCCGAGAGGCTATGGCCTTCCTGAATAACGCTTTCACCCCTTCCTTCTCAGGTGGTTCGTTCTTTTGCTTGATGCCCCCTTTCCTGCATTATGCAAGTCCAGGGCAAGACAATGGCTTGACCAATCCTGCACCAGTTGAACAAGTTGCTGATGTGGAATCCCCGACAATTTCGACCGCTCCTGACCTCTGCAGGTTCCTGTCCCGTCACCGCGTGCAACTCAGTTGCATCCATCTAGGCGGCAATCCTCGCCTCAAAGTAGCTGAGGTTTTTCATTTCAGATGGTGCTCCCACGACGAGGGATTGGCGGGACCTGAACTGCGCACTGGAGAGCAGAGACCAGCGAAGCAAAAAACATTTGCGAGGTGGTAAGAATGGTGGACTGCACATGATTGGATGAGCGCGTTGCACTTCGTTGCGCTCAGCAGTTACACTTAGTTGCAAATCCAGCAAGATTGGAGAGATGGCCGCGCAGCAAGGAGTTTTGGGCTCAATTGACTTGTGCTCGAAGTCCTTCGGCACATCTGCCACAATGAAGAGCCGCATCCTGACAGCTCTCAGCGACAACGGCCATCTGGTCATTAGGATCACTGCTGGAGTATGGAACCACTATCGTCTAGCAGAGCGGCACACAGCTATCGCCGAGGTGTCGCGTTGAAGGTCGCCTGTTTGACGCTGGCTGTCGCCAGTGCGCAGCAGCCTCGGAGCCCCCAGGCCACTTTTCGTGCAGGCCGAAAGATTCGAAGTCTGAGGTCGCAGGTCACACCGGTTCAGAAGGTGGTCAGCCTCATGGAGACTTGAATGCTGATTTGAGCCACAGGCGTTTCTCTCCGTCAAGCAAAGTCGTCTACGGGCATATTCGTAATCAGGCACTCGCTGTTTTTTTATCGCAGAATGATAAGGTGACGGCCCACAAGGCGAGAACTGTGAGCATTTCCTGAAAATCCCGCGTTCTTGCAGAGACTCGCTGCGTAGCCTTGTTTGGTTAGAAGTCCAACATCGACGGAAAAATGAGAAATGAAGAGCTGTCCCCAAAGTGCCTAAAGCGATAACGAAGCGATAGAGAGAAAGGTCGAAGAAGTAGCCATGGTCAAGCCGTGGTCCTTTTGACTTGTCTCCATAGTTCCAACAAGATGGCTTCACATATAGGGCTTAGGTTTAACAAGAGGGCTTAGACATTCGATTTCGGGTTTAGGGCTTAGGGTTTAGGGTTTCGGGTTTCTATGCAATAGTCTCAAAACCCTGCAGACCGATAAGGTGACTGTTGTTGTGTGCTCATTTCTTATGTCTTATGCAGTGTGCGTGTTATGTTTATCCGTGTCGCTTTCACCATGCTGGATGGGAGTTGGTCGTACATAGCAGCCCTACACCAAGTGGCACAAATCCTGTGATCCCGAGCCAAGGAGGAGATGGTGCAGAAGGGCAAGTCAGAGATCGAGGCTGAGAAGACTCAGCACTTCGGCGCCAACTGAAGTCTACGCAAAAAAATGAGGAGAGTGAGTGTTGCGCAAGTCACAAGTCACGAAAGATAGCCTCTGAGAGAGCTAGCAGAGTTATGTAGAAAAGAGTGCGGTAGCATCCGGGAGGGTTGGGGGGTTGTGCACACCGTCCTGCTTGCGATTGTCAGTCCGAGTGCAGCTTTGAGTCAACCCAGCGGGGCAGGGCGAGGAAACCAGGGTTCCGGAATCCTGTGTTGACGGTCGTGGGGGCATCTGCTTGTTAAACGGTTTGTGAACAGTCTTGGCGGGAACACCAGAAACACCATCCTTCAACCAGGATGATGCGCCCAAGGCCTGAATCTAAGCCTATTCGGCTTTCTGCTGGTGTCCTGGGCCTGCCTGCACTAATATTGGGGCCTTCCATGGGGCCCTCTGTGCAAATTATTATGGGCCCCTTTGCGCCTTTACGCTTATAAAACATAGTGAAGAGAGTGAGCTCATCGGCTTTTCAAGCGCCTTACGAACGAAGTAAAACAACGAGCGAATGAAAGCAACAGAAAAGTGAGCAAAAGAGCCTAATTACAGGGAGCTTGTGAGCGCGTGGATTAGTATTATTGCGTACAGCAGCCAAGGGCCCATTATGATGGTATCAGGGTTCCGTCCCAGTCCCCCACCCCCCCAGGTCTCCCTCGGGGTTTGCATTCCAGGTTTGCCGAGTACGTCAAGTTCTGTGTCCTGGCCTCAGGCTCGAGGGTCAAGAGGCTCAAGGCCGAACATGCAGGATTCGACATGTTTCTCCTGGTCTACGGAACTCGGGGTTGCTCTCGGCGTAGGAACTGCCGGCCACACTGAATGCAGAGTTGTTAAGCCTGTTCTGCAGGGTTGTCCAGTGCAATCTCTGTGCCGAGGAAGATACCACGGCAGAGAAGAAAACTGCAATCGAAGATGCTGATGAGCGAATCTCAGGCCTGACCGCATCCATTGACAAGGCCGACCAATGGTGACTTTGAAGTCAGTTTCTTCCAGTGCAATGGTGACGGCCCCAAAGCAGGCTTCATCGGATGTGGACCAGCTGACCACAGAGATTGCCGAGCTCGATAGCATCATTGCCTCCACCAGCGCGGCCGGGGTCCTCGAAGTTCCCAGTGATCTGCAACTTGTCGGTTGTGCGCATTCCCTTCTGGGCGCGCTGAGCATGCAGGAAAAGGCGAATGCCACGGCCATTCGTAAGAAGGAGGCGCGCCTTGCAAGAGTTTGTTCGCCGTGCAGCTGAACAATCCTAACCTCCATCGGAGTGAGTGGTTTGAGTTTCTTTCTCTTCCGTTGGTGCAGAAGCTATCATCTCCATCGGGGCGATTGGAGCTCTTTGTACGAGACAAGTCCTAGCAGTCTCACTAGCCAGGAATGATGTCGACAAGAGGATAGCCGTAAGGTGCCATCGAAAGGAGTGAGTTCCCGACCAAACTAGCCTCGCGGACATCTTGTCATCCAGCAACAATGAAATGCAACAACAAGATGTGTAAGGCGACCAGTTGGATCAAATGCCACACTCTCACAGACCTCCCTGGTGCCCTCTGTGCGCAGCAGCTTCACCAGGCCGCAGATTTCTCGGCCGCCCTCACTGACTATGTCGCTGCTTGCCTGCCAGTGGTGGGAGCAGTTCCCAGGGATCAATGATCTGGGCGCTGTCGCGTGTGGCACTAGCAAAAGGCACGTCGTGTGGGAGCACACTGAGGATTCCATCACTGCCATGGGCAAGGCTTTGACGGCTCTGAAGGAGTTTACGCCAAGTTCGTTACGAGAGACACAAGAACCACCGCTGTCGGCTTGGAGGTTTACAGGTCAGCTTCACGAAACCTAGCCAAGCGAATCGCCGCCATACCCAACCACAGATCAGCGTTTGTGCAGAACTGTCGCAGGCTGTTTTCGCTTTCTTGCAAAAAGCCGACTGGATAAGCCACAGACAATGGGTTCCGGACATGTTCAGCACAGAACTCCCAGCGTCTCAAGCGAGGGAAGAGGGAGCCTATAGTTTTGCTCTTGCTGTCGTGTTTGTGATGCTTGCGAGACTCCACTGTGCAGGAGCAGCCTAAGACCCGTCCGCAGACCACTTCGCTGCTGCAGATGTCGGATCTCTACCGGGCAAAAGGGCCACTCGCCCATCCATGACAGCGTTGAAAGTGTCTTCAGGTCAGAAACAAGCGTGTTCATGTTTAGAGATCCTACGCTGGCCCAAGGAACTTGAGCCCCTCAGAGGCTTCCAAGTACCTGGATGCCTTCCTGACCGGTCACGCCACGGGGCACGCACTCAGAGAAGATGAACATGAAACAGCTGCAAAAGTAGTTTCATGTAGGATTCTTGTAGCCCCAGTAGATGGAGGCAGAGGAATGTCTGAGAATACGATCCAGATCCTATGTGGTCCCTTGCAAAACAGTCTTGCGCATGCAAAACGAAAAGACGAGGTGCTACACGAGTAGATGGCGAGTGTCGATAGTGGCAGGGGCCCTCTGTACAACAGCCGTGAACTCCGAGGCAAGCAAGTCTGAGTCTCTGCTGGCTGAAACGTCGGAACCTGAAGCAGCCTGTGCCTCGAAATTTCCATTCCAAAGTTCTTCGACGGTTCGTGTTTGTGTGTGTGTGTGTGTGCGCGCGCGCGTGGGTGGTTCTTCGAGCTGGCCTTGAGGCTGGATACGAGTTTCAATCTAATGGTGTCATTTCTATGCTCGAGAAGCTCGAGAGCCAGTTCAAGGAGGACGGAAATGTGGGAGACGCCCATGCCATGGCATCTTGAGCAGCAACATGCAAAGTGACAATAGGGACGTAGAGCAACTGGAGGTTGTCATGTTGCGCATGTTGTGCGACGTTGCGCGACGTTGTGCGACGTTGTGCGACGTTGTGTGACGTTGTGTGCCCAAAGTGCACAGGAGAAGGAGGACCTGAAGGCTGAGGAGCAAAAGAAGAAGAACGCTTTCAAGAGCCTGGTCACCGGCCTTGACTCTGAAAACACGGATGCCAGCAAGAGCAAGGAGAGCAAGTTAGGAGAGAAGGGAAGCATCTCAGAGCAGAAGGCGAAGGATGAAGCAGAGTTGGCGGACACCAGCGCCACAAGGAAGGAGGATGCCAAGTACAAGAAGGATCTTGAGATGAGCTGGGGGGAGCGGACTGCAGAGTTCAAGAGTCGCCAGAAGCTTCGTGCGGAGGAGCTGGAGGCCCTTGGCAAAGCCATCGAAATCATCTCGGGTGATGCGGTGACGGGCAGCGCTGGGAAGCACCTGCCCAGCCTCTTGCAAGGCACCGCCATGGCCATCGTGAGCGCCAATCGCTCGCGCGACTCGCGCATGCTTCGCACCCCAAGCTTCCGCAAAGTTGCGGACTTCTTGCAGGAGAAAGCCGCCGCTTTGCACAGCCAGGAGCTTGCCGCCCTGGCCATGCGGGTTCAAGCCGACCCTATCGACAAAGTCAAGGAGATGATCGAGAACATGATCACGCGAATGGAGAAAGATGCTGCTGCAGAGGCCACGAAGAAGGCGTGGTGCCAGGAGGAGCTCGCCGAGAATAAGGAGGCCCGCGAAGCAAAGGACGACGAGATTGAGGGCCTGCAGGCGGATGAGGCCAAGTTGCAGTCGTCGCTTGAGCAGCTTGCTTTGGACCTGGCAGAGCTTGACAAGCAGGTCAAGGACATGAATGCTGCCATGACCAAAGCAACTGGCATCCGCCAGAAAGAGAAGGAGGAGAACACTGTTGCCATCAAGGATGCCAAAGCTGCCCAGACGGCAGTCGCGGAAGCCCTGAGCGTTCTGAACGAGTTCTATGCCAAGGCTGGGCAAGCGACAGCTTTCACGCAGGTGACGGCAGGTCCACAGCCTTTTGAGAAGCCCTACACGGGCATGGGTGCCGAGAGTGGCGGGGTGCTGGGCATGATCGAAGTGATCCAATCTGATTTCGCCCGGCTGGAGGCCGAGACGACTGCAGCTGAGCAGTCAGCTGCCAAGGAGTACGAGTCCTTCATGGATGACTCCAAGCTTGACCTGGCTTCTAAAGAGAAGGACATCTCGCACAAATCATCCAGGAAAGACTCCGAGACGCAGGCCTTGGCTTCCGTTCAAACCGACTTGGCAAACGTGAAGAAGGCGTCGCACGGTGTCTGTGTGGCTTGTGGGGATTTGTGGGCCTGGCTTGCCTTTCGGATTTGGAGAGGGTGGCTGGGGTTTGGGTTCTGGATGGTTCTGGGTTGTTTTGTGTAGTTCTTGGTGTTACCCACACGCAGTCGTATCTCATGCCCCTTGTCAGCACCTTGGCATAGCTTAAGCCAGCAAGTGTTGACACAGCTTGCCCGTGAAGGAGCTGGATGCCGTCATGAAGACCTATGACGAGCTGAAGCCGCAGTGTGCTGATGCCAGCGCTTCCTACGAAGAGCGCAAGGCGAAGCGCGACGCCGAAATCAAGTCCCTGGAGCAGGCCATGGATGCGCTGAACATCGCCCGCTAGAATCTGTTATGCAAGGCATGTTAAAGCACTGCAGACTTGAACAGTGCTTGGACAGTCTGAGCGCGACTCGAGCAAAATGTGCGGGGGGTGAAAGCGCCGTGCCACCATCCTGCTGGGTCCGCTGCCGTGCTCACTCGGAATGCTGGTGCCCGATAAGTGCCGAGCAGAGCAGCGACATGCAGCGACTGCCGCGGCGCAGGGGGGGTTGGGCTCAAGGCACTCAAGGCTTTGGCCCCGTCCCTTGAGAACAGCACACCGCAATGCAGTCCCTCCCGCTTCTCCTGGCGCTGGCGGCCTCCACCGCGCTGGCGCCGGGGCCTCGAAGAGGCTCCGAAGAGGAGGGGCAGGGGCGCAGGTGACATCCCGTGACGGGCCTCAGGAGGACTGTGTCCGGTAGGGGTCTACTTGCCAACATGTCCAACTGCCGAGGTCGGATGTGACCCCTGTCCAGAAGGTTGTCCAGCTGCTGGAGAACATGAAGGAGAAGGGCACAAAGGAGATGCAGGAGGAGCAGGTCCAGTACACAAAGTTCAAGCAGTTCTGCGACATGACGTTGGCGGAGAAGGAGGCGGCCATCGGTACCGCCGCCGACAAGATCGAGACCCTGGAGGCAGACATCGAGAAGGCCGCCTCGGAGGCGGAGCGTCTGAGCAAGGAGATGGCTGAGCACGCCGCAGACGTCGAGGCTGCCACAGCAGAGAAGGAGAAGGCCACCGCCGTGCGTGAGAAAGGTAGGGCGGACTTCCAGATGACCCTGCAGGACTACAGTGAGTCCATCGACGCCATTGGCAGGGCTCTGAAGGCCCTAAAGGAGGAGGACAAGAAGACGGCCAAGACGGCACTTCTCCAGCTCTCTGATGCCAAGCTCCTGCCTGAGGAGGCGAGGAGTGCACTCATGCAGGGCCCGGCACCCAAGACGTACGAGTTCCAGTCCGGGGGCGTGATCACCATGCTCGAGGGCCTGCAGGACAAGTTCGTGGACGAGCGCATCAGCTTGGAGAAGGAGGAGCAGAAGAAGCGGCATTCTTATGAGATGCTGGTGCAGAGCCTGAAGGCCCAGTTGGCACAGTCCAAGAAGGAGCAGGGGGAGAAGGCCCAGTTCAAGGCCAAGCTGCTACAGAGCAAGGCCTCATCCGACGGCGACTTGGATGAGACCAAGGTGGAGAAGCAGTCCGACGAGAAGTACTCCGTGGACCTGAAGGCCACCTGCAGCAAGAAGGCCGCGGCCTTTCAGGAGCGCCAGAAGCTGCGGCAGGAGGAGATCGAGGCCATCGAGAAGGCCAAGGGCATCATCGCTGGTGGTGCGGTGGCCGGCAGTGCGGAGAAGCACTTGCCCAGCCTCCTGGCCACCCCGATGGCCGCGTCCGGCCTCTCCACGGCGCTGGCCTTCCTGCGCTCAGAGCGGGAGCCGCGGGCTGAGCGGGCTGAGCGGGTTGCGCGGTTCCTGCAGCAGCGCGCCGCCGCGCTCAATAGCCGGGTGCTCTCCGCCATGGCCGGCCGGGCTGCTGCGGATCCCATCGCCAAGGTGCGGACCATGATCGAGCAGCTGATCACCAAGATGCAGGCGCAGGCCAACGAGGAGGCAACCAAGAACGGCTGGTGCAACGCTGAGCTCGCATCCAACAAGGCCACACGGGAGGAGAAGACCGACGCCGTGGACGAGCTGTCCTCAGACGCGGACGAGCTCTCCACCGCCATCGGCAAGCTCGACGAGGAGGTGGCAACGCTGGCCAAGCAGGTGGCGGAGCTCGATGCCGACATGTCCAAGGCGACGGAGATGCGAGAGCAGGAGAGCAGCAAGAACGCTGCCACCGTCAAGGATGCCAAGGAGGCGCAGGCTGCCGTGGCCCAGGCGCTGCTGGTGCTCCGCGACTTCTACAAGAAGGCGGCCGGTGCCACGTCCCTGCTGCAGGCGCAGGATGCCCAGGCAGCCCAGGCAGGCCAGAGAAGCCTGTCGCATCTGTCGCGGACAGCCGCGGAGCCGGAGGTCTTCGGCGACGAGCCCTACACCGGCATGGGCGGCGAGAGCGGCGGCGTGATCTCCATGCTGGAGGTCATCGAGAGCGACTTCGCGCGGCTGCAGGCGGAGACGGAGGCCGCAGAGGAGGCGGGCAAGAAAGAGTACCAAGAGTTCATGGAGGACTCGAAGGTGGACAAGGCCACCAAGGTCCGGACGTCGGAGCACAAGGTGACCAAGAAGCAGGCCAAGGCCCAGGAGCTCACTGCCGTGCGCGCCGACTTGCAGGGCACGCAGAAGGAGCTGGACGCCGCAAACGCCTACTTCGAGAAGCTGAAGCCCGACTGCCTCGACACCGGCGCCTCCTACGCCGAGCGCCAGGCGCAGCGCAAGCAGGAGGTGCAGGACCTCCAGGAGGCCCTTGAGATGCTCGAGAAGGTCTGAGAGGGGGGGGGCGCTTGCAGGGAGCATGGTTGGCTTCTCATGCCAATCCCCGTTTACGCTGAAGTCAAAGACACTGCAGCCACCGAAAAAGCAGCTGAACTGTCGGCCTCTCAACATCTGTCAACATGTCCGAATGGATGTCTCTTGAGCCAGCAGAGAATCGCGTGACTTTCTTGTGCTGTTGTGAGACCACCTGGTTTGTCAATCCCAGCCCGGCCAAACACCTTGCGATCCAATCTTAAAAGGACAATCGGGGGTCTGGAACATGATCTGGTCACTAAGACTAGGATCCTTGATCCTGAGCTGAGATTAGATTTTCTGATGAGCATAAGTGCGTCTCTGAAACAAACTGGGTATGTTTCCGGTCTTGAGCCGCGCCCGCCATATTGCTCTGCTGTCACTGGCTTTTGCGCTCCTCGGCACGCAGGACGGGATAATGTTGAGGTGTTGTGTATCTGGATGTTTCGGCTGCTCCACCAATCTTCAATGCATGGCGGAACGAATCATGCATTGGCTGTAGATTAAGAGGGCTCCGTCGAGAGGGGCTGCTTAATAACCGACCCTTGTTGCACCTAATTGATGCATCATGATGTACTATGCATCTACGCAACCCTTTGCCACGAAGCAAGGGGTCGACCAGAGCCAGGAGGTTCCCACTTTCAGCACCACGTCATTAGCACAAGTTCCGCGCTTGATCACCCTGGTGCGGGACCCAAGTTTCTTTTGCCCAGCAGCCTAGCAGCGCCCTCAACCACTGCTGAACTGCATTGCCACAGCCCGCCCAGGACAGCACTGGCACCCTCATGCGGGTGCGAAAGCCCATCGGGGACCTGTATGTCGACGCGCTCCGTAGGGTAAGACCTGACATTCAGGCGGGAATGATGCTCTCCGACAGTCGGCACCTATCGGAACTCTAAGTCCCTGAGCCTAAGCGTATAGTAACCTCGCCGCGCAGGTCTCTGCTTCCGAGATGACGCGGGCCTTCCCTATCGCCTTCTCTCGCCAGTCGTCGCTGTCCCCGAGCTTCGGAGCTGATGGCCCCGGCTGCCGGGAGTGGTGGCCCTTGGGCCGCCAGTAGCAGAGTAGACTTGTAGAAGGCTGTAGAAGTAGAGATTGTACAGTGTGAGGAATGCGAGGAACATGTGTAGTGAATTTCCATTCCAAGGCATATCAAGGGATCAGGCTCTATGTCTGGAGCGCATGTCCAGGCGGGCTGTCGTGGAAGGCACCATGGCAGGCTGTTGGCCCAGTGTTTGATAGTGTTTGTATGTGTGACCAGCTGCACCACCACCTGGTGTGTTGCGCCAGCCATGAGAAGACTGTGTTCATTCCAAGGGGCTGGAATTACTGTCTCGAATTTGGACGAATCCTTTGATGCGATCTTCGACGATTTGTATGGAAAAGTCTTCTCCGGAAAGGCCATGCAGGGCTTCATGTATTGCGAGCTGTGCAACCCTTTTGGTCCATATCCTTTTGTTGCCTGAAGGCAGCCTGGGAGCTCTTGCCGAACACCCTCAGATCGTTGGAGCCTCTTCTGTACTCAATTGTACTCATCTCATCCTTGCTCTGCCTTGCTCCTCAGTTGGTCCAGTGATGGCACGCCGAGGAATCGCTTCGCACGTGGTGCTCTGCAAACGACTGCCGCCTCGGGGTGATGTCGAACATGGATAGCAGGCACATGTGAAGAAACCAAAAGATGCAAGAAGTTGAAAGCATTTGAAAGCAGCCCCAAAGGTTAGTGTGCGCAGGCTTTCCCTGATTCTTCAAAATCTGGGCATCCTTCAGAACTTTGACTTCGTGCTGACATCCTACGACGCGAGAGCCGAGCCTCGGCTTGCAAGCTTGGCACAAGCGGCACAAGAGCCCGCATGTTAGGGTTTTACATGGAGGTTTGCATATGTTTGCATGGGTTTTAAAGTATTTTAAAGTTTAAAGCCTAGGGGTTTGGGTGCCTCTAAGCTGCTTGCACGTCTCGGAATGATCGCTGACAGCTGGACTGAAAGGAAAAGCCGTCACCCATCATCTTCCACAAGGCAAGTCTCAACCATCGCCAATGGTTGTGCCGCTATCTGTGTATTGGTTTACTTCTATGCCACGCATACACAGATACATGTATGTACATATCTATGTATGTTCCTTGCTCCCAGAGGGTTTCATCCAAAGGTCCAAGATCATGCAAAGTCACCAGGTTCATAAATCCATAAGGGTTGAGGAAGGCCCATGCTTGTTTATAGGAAGTTCATAAAATCTTCGTAGCCGCGCATGGGCGGGCCCATAGGGGGTTGATAGGGGGTCTGACCAGCAAGGAAAGGCTGTTCAGACAGGAAAATGCATGTAATGTATACATTGACCAACTCCAGGGGTCCAAGGCGGCCCTGTGCCCTCCTCGCCCTCACCACCTTCATCACCCTCACCACCCTCACCCTCCCCCGCCTACACAGCTTGAGCTCCGCATGGCTGGGGGTCATCGGATCATTCACTCAGTCACTGCATGTGCGGGAGTGGAAGGCACTGGAAGCTGCTGGTCTGGCACCGACGTCGCAGGCCCTACACTGCGGAGACAGCTTCAAGGCGAAACGAACAGAGGGTGCCATGTGCGAGTACACCGTAGGGATTTGTCTAGGGCAGCTTTTCAGAGCTTTGCAGAGCTTGCAGCTCAGTCATGACATGTATGCAAGCCACTCCCTGAAGCGCGATTTGCTTGGAGCGACTGCCGTGAACTGGATGGCAGCCTTGGTGGACGAATCCATTGACGAGGCGCCAAGCTGACGTGCTGGATTGTTCTTCCATGTTCGCGCGTGCGCAATCTTGGATATGATTGGACATTCCATCTTGGGCCAGATGCAATTTCAGGTGCAGCGGCTCGAACTGACGAAGGTCGAGTCATGTCGAGTCTTGGGTGGTGCGCCCCAGCTTTCGACTGGACACCTCGGCTGACCCCGCAAGGCGCCTTCTGCCATGGCATGGCGAATTCCTCACATCGGCTACATCGAAGGCCCGAAAATTCGTATGCCACTATGGGACACATAGGATTTTGAATAATGTCGGAAGGCTTGCTGCATGAGTGAGCTTCTGCCGAACGACCGTTTCCTGAGCCATGTGCTGGGCATGCTGGGCCAAAAAAGGTAGGCTCGCACCCGCTAGAGTTTTGTGCCGCTGCTGATGTCGGAGCCCTTGGCACGTAGAAGCCCCACGCATTTATAATTTATGTGTGATCCCGTTTGCCGTGTTCAGTGGGACTGTGAGTTGCTGAAGCTTTCAGACTACTTCCCAAGCCCCCTCTCACAATGCAGCGCCTCCTCTGTTTGGTGGCAGCATCTGCTGCTTTGGCGCCAGCTACTCAGAGCATCCCGTGGCATAACGCATGTTTCAGTGATTCGCTCCTTTCTCAGCTCAGGTCAGATGTGACCCCTGTCCAGAAGGTCGTCCAGATGCTGGAAGACATGAAGGATAAGGGTAAGAAAGAGATGGAAGCCGAGCAGGTTCAGTTCGGAAAGTTCGACCAGTTCTGTGAAATGACGCTGGCAGATAAGGGCCGCTCCATCAGCGATGCATCTGATAAGATCGAGACCTTGGAGGCTGACATCCAGCAGGCAATTTCCGAGGCGGAGCGTCTGACCAACGAGATCGCTGCTCATGAAGGCGACATCCAGTCTGCAACGACCGAGAAGACCGAGGCCACCGCCCTCCGTGAGAAGGAGCGTGGCGAGTTCCAAACCACTCTGCAGGACTACACGGAGTCGGTCGATGCGATCGGACGGGCATTGAAGGCCCTCAAGGAAGAGGACAAGAAAACGTCCTTTGTTCAACTGACGGCTGCCAAGAGCATGAAGCTGATGCCGAGCGAGGCTGTTGACAGCATTGATGCCTACCTGAATGCCAACAAGCCAAGCAAGCCGAGCTTCATCACGCAGAAAACAGCTGCCACGAAGCCCGAGCCGAAGACTTACGAGTTCCAGTCTGGTGCCGCAATCACAATGCTGGAGACCCTGGCAGACAAGTTCGTCGACGAGCGCAACAAGCTGGAGCAGGAGGAGCAGGCCGGAGACTGCATGGCCGCATAGCCATGCCTCGCCATTTCCCATGCATGTCTGGCGGGTGGCGCAGGGTTGAGAGGATTGGGCGGACTTCTACTGCCCCTATAAGCCTAGGATGCTCGGTTCAGTAGGGACTTAGTGAGGAACTTGCACCTTCAGAGGGAAATGAGTGAAAATGAGCGTGGAAAAGTCTCAGGCCAAGCGCCATGCCTTCGAGCTCCTCGCCCAGCAGCTGACGGCCCAGCTGGCGCAGTCCAAGAAGGAGAAAGCAGAGAAGGAGCAGTTCAAGGCCAAGAAGCTGCAGAGCAAGGCATCCTCCGAGGGAGACCTTGCAGAGACCAAGGCAGACAAGGAGGCCGACGAGAAGTACTCCGCAGACCTGAAGGCCACCTGCAAGAAGAAGGCCGCGGCCTTTCAGGAGCGCCAGAAGACGCGGCAGGAGGAGATCGAGGCCGTCAGCAAGGCACAGGAGATCATCTCCAGTGGCTCCGTCGCTGGTAAGGCCGAGAAGCATCTGCCGAGCCTTCTGCAGAAAGGTGCAGCGCTGGCCTTTTTGCGTTCTGAGAGCCACTCCCCGAAGCAGGACCAGGTGGCACGCTTCTTGCAACAGCGGGCCACCGCCTTGAACAGCCGCATGCTCTCTGCCCTGGCAGTGCGCGTGGGCGCCGATCCCTTGGCCAAGGTCAAGCAGATGATCCAGCAGCTCCTCACCAAGCTGAATGACCAGGCCAAGGAGGAGGCAACGAAGAACAACTGGTGTGTCACGGAGCTTTCCACTAACAAGGCCACGCGCGAGGAGAAGACGGACACCTCCGACTCACTGCAGTCGGAAATCGACACCTTGAAGGCCTCCATTGCGAAGCTTATGGATGAGAGCACCACGTTGAGCAAAGAAATCTCTGAGCTGGATTCAGCAATGGCCAGTGCCACGGACTTGCGCGAGAAGGAGGAAGCCAAGAACAAGGTTGCAGTCGCAGATGCCAAGGAAGCACAGGAAGCTGTGGCGCAGGCCCTGACAGTGCTCAAAGAGTTTTATGCCAAGGCAGCCGGTGCGACTTCCTTCGTCCAAGCCAGTTCCGCATCCACTGTAGCTCATGGCCAGCCGGAGATCTTCGGCGACGAGGCCTACACGGGCATGGGCGGAGACAGCGGTGGTGTGCTCGGCCTGCTGGAGGTCATCGAGAGCGACTTCGCGCGGCTGGAAGCAGAGACGACTGCGGCCGAGGAGGCAGGCAAGAAGGAGTACGAGGAGTTCATGGATGACTCTAAGGCTGACAAGGCCACCAAGGAGACGACCCTGAAGCAGAAGACCACAAAGAAGAACACCGCAGCACAGGAGCTGAGCACCCGCCAGAGTGACCTGGAGGGAACCCAGAAGGAGCTCGAGGCCGCCAATGCCTATCTCGAGAAGCTGAGGCCTGAGTGCATCGACACAGGCAAGTCCTATGCAGAGCGCAAGGCCCAGCGGGAACAAGAGATCAAGGACCTGAAGGAGGCTGTGGAAATGCTCGAGAACCTGTGAGACAGTTCTGAGACCCAGTACATTCTGAGACTTAATCCCAGAATTGCACCTGTTTTTCAGGGCCGCGAGCGACAACAAAAGGAGAGCAGGGTCGCGGAAGCATCATGAAGCATATGTGATGCAGCACATGCACTGGAAACAGAATAAACATGGCTAAGAACTTCAACTACATGTTGACGCGCTGGTCGCTTGGACTCTTGGACAGTACCTGGCAGCTTCGCTGTTCCTTGGAGCGCGGCTTGGGCCCAGGGCGGGAGTGCCTTGGGGGGGTCCCGGGGCGCGCGGCGCGGGGCAAGCGGGAGAGGCAGGCATGGTGCATGATGTGCATTGCGGTGTGTACTGGTGTGCTCTCCTTTGTTTCCCTTCGACGTTGCCTAAGCCTTATCATCTGCCCACTTGTCTCAGGCATTATGCAGCAGTCGGGGTGGCTCGATTGCAATCGATTGTAACTTTCTGGCCAGAGTGATGTTGAGTTCACCGACAAGGCATGTTCCTGGCTTGACGGACAGCGGGGCGCTTTTGCATGCCGTCCAGCCTGCATTCCATGCAAGATACCGTGTCTTTTCAGTTTAGTTTCGTCGCCAAAGTCGCTAAAGCTGGCAGGACCGGCGATACGAGGGCGTCATTGCAACGTACCGGGGCGACAAAGGCTTCGGATTTATCAGGCGAGGTAAACAGCATGTCGCGGCATGTCTTCCATGCGACTGGCGAGACTCAGCAGCTCTGTCACGTCCATGACTGAGCAACTTCCATTTCCTCCAACCCCCCCCCCCTGCTCTCGAAGTGGCTGAACCATTTAGCTCTTTGCGTATCAACCCACGACAAGTTTGTAACAGATGCCCGCCGCTCTCCTTTTGACATTTAAAAACTCTGCAATGCGAAGCCGTAGTTTTGGATCTTGCCCTGCCTTGCACTTTCCAGATCTCTGCAGTCTCAGCAGTCGATGTGTTGTGCTGACGTGACCAACCATTGCACACCTCGCCCCGGGTGTGCGACCATGGCACTCGAACAGCAACAGCAAAGGACCAGAACGAGCGAGAGATGGATCGCTGGCAATTTTGCTTTCTTGAAATGTAGGCAGCTATTGACCAGCATTGCCAGCCAAGCTGCCTTGAGGTCGACATGCTCTGTCGCGACATGTACACAAATATCTGGAAAGCAATGTGTGTGTGTGTGTGTCAGTTGTAACCTTTGCGTCTGTGACGGTTTGCGTATCGGGGTCGGCACTGGGCATGGTATCAAGAGTTCTCCTTGATGGAGTATTGCTGCAAGTGCCATATTCCTGCAAGAGTCCTGTGCAGGTGTTCAGAGCTTCGGCAAAAATTCCCAGAGAAGGCGCGCATGCTTCAAGTAGTCAGAGTCGCACGGCAATGTCTTAGTTCGGCCACTGTTCTTGTTATTGTAGGTCAGCATGCAACGCCATAGAATTTGCAGTACCCAGGCTAATGACAGACCAAGTCGATAGTCAGAGAGAGGTTCCAACCAGAATGTTTTAGCATGTTTTAGCAACGTGCAAAGGACACTCTGGAAAAAACATCTGGCAAATCTTTGAGGCCCATGTTGCTCGTATGGTTGCGACTCAAGCGTCCAGGAAACGTACTTGTAACAGGCCCCAGGCGCCTTTTTGTGACCTAGGGTTTGTAACAAAGCCGACAAGGCCTTCCCCCCGCCCCTCCCGCCCCCCCCCCCCACCCCCCCCAACAACTTTCTACAAGACAGGATACAGAAGACCAGGCAAACCCTTTTCCTCCCCAGTGAACCCTATGCGATACTCTTTCATGCTTTATTAAGAGGCAAACTGCTTTCAGGTGAGGAACATTTACAGATGCCTTATGCTCCTAGGCAGGCAAGAGTTTCATGACGAAAACAACTTAGAGCATCAACGGTTGATGGAGCACACCGTGTGTTGCCATGACAGGAAATTTTGGCATCCCCGAAAGCCCAGTCTCGTATTGAAAACGGGCATGTAACAGTTAAGCATTTCTCGCCACCAAGTCTGAGATTGTAGCTGCTGGCGGCCAATTCTGCCTGAGCAGCTGGCAACATCACAGCTGGCGAGGTGGTGGGGGTTGGGGTCGGTGGGGAAGTGGGAACAGGGTGCGATCCTGACCCTACATGACACGTGCGTCGAGTGATCAAGCAGGGAGATTGTAACCTGCATCACCATCCTCACACGTGGCACTCCATGGACTTGCCTTCGGGGTTGGCCCTGCTCTTGGTGCACCGTCCGCTCCTGCGGGGGTGCGAACCTGGGAGGAGGATTAGGCGCTGGGTACGTGCCTGAGAATGCTCCCCAGCCTCGGTGGATGTTTCCTTTGCCAGATGAATATGACGTCTGACGTGAACCACGATCTGTCTTGTTTTGGGGAAAGTTTCAAAAGGAAGGAGGAAGGAGGACGTCTGCCATGCATCTGCCGATAACATGGGTGGAAGGTCAACTACCATGAACAATGTCATAAGCGAGTGATTTTGAGAATAAGAATCTGCATGGGGATGGAGGAGGTGAGTCAACATGACCGATGGTAGGACGACCACTGCCTTAAAATCGAGTCATTAGTTGCCCACGTGTTTGGGGGAATCTTGATCCACCAAGAAATCAGGGGATTGCCTTCAGCAGCGGAGTTTTCAGAACATCTACGTTTTGATTGGCAAGGTTTCTTCATAAAATGCCTCTTCATTCCACTTCCAACATGTCCCCCCCCCCAAGAATGGTTGCCATTTTTGGCTCAATACAAAGGTTTGGTTTGATTGAGGGCCTGAGAGGTTGAGGTGTTGAGAGGTTGAGGGGTCAAGGGTTGAGGAGCTTAGCCTTTGGGGAGTAGACGGGTTGAGAGGCCGGCATGGCCAGCTTTGAAGCTGGCGGGCCCAAGGGCTCCAGTCCTCCTTCTTCATCACCGGTCCCCCGGGATCCCCGGCGCAAAAGGTGTTCGAATGCACATTTTTGGTGCTCCGAAGAAGGGAAACAGCTGGGAAGCGCTTGGAAAACGAGTGGGCTTTTGCTAAAAGACCTATATTTAATTTAAAATTATAGTCATTTTTGCAAGGGGGCTCTCACATACATGGTAGATTGTGAAGGTGCGCTGCATTTGGACCTACAGGTTTGCTGAGAGCACCTACATATACCTACATCGAATGGGGGTAATATTGGCACATGGCTGCGAAACTTTCTCAGTCACACAAAAATTTATGAATCTTGGGGTGGCGGGGCGGTTGCGGCAGCATGTAGAGATGTAGAGCGACATCTTTGAACCCTTTGCCTTCACTTGAACAGAGGACGTGTTCCTCCACGGGAAGCAGCTGGGCAACTTCAAGGAGGGCGACGCGGTCTCCTTCGCGGCGCCTTCGTGCGAGTTTCCGTGTTCTCTGTGAGAGTTTAGGTTTAGGTCATGTCGCTTCAAGAACAAAGAGTAGAATTTAGCAGTTTAAGACTTGAGGCTTAGGGGATGACGTCTTAGGGGCTAATTCGGGGTTTTTTGTCTAGGATGATGCATGGGAAGCTTGAAGGGACTAGAACCGGCAGAACAGCTGACTTCAGTCAAGTCCAGGGACAGGCGGTGAAGAAGCCTCTGCTAAAACATGCATCATCCTCCTGTGAAGGCAGTACCGTTGAGAGGTCTTTGGCCTGTCCCTGTCACAAATCGCTGATCTTTGCTGGGCGCGCCAGATATTTCTCAACAGAGATGGCAAGCCTCAGGCCACTGAGTCCCAGTCTCAGCTTTGGATAGGTGACTTTGATGCTTGGGTCTCAAAGTGTGAAGATGTGAGTCATTTTGGCGCCTTCCACTGCTGCTGTGGACTGGCCACCGATTTTGATGTATGTTGATCCTGCGTGACATGTGTCGTCTGGCTGAGTCTGGCGTACTTAAACGGCGATGGCATGCAGCAGCAGCAGCCGCAGCACCATCAGGGCATAATGCAGGGAATGCAATTCCAAAGCCAGGCGGGACTGGGCAGTGCTCAAACTTCTGCTTTATGAACTTGAGCTCTGCTTATTCGGTGAAAGGCAAATTTTCATCAGCATTGTTTGGAGGATCTGCAGCATCAGGGCATGCAGATGCATCAGGGCATGCAGCCTTGCATGGGCAGTGGGCTAAGTGTTGTGCTCAAGATTTTCAGACTCGCTGATATCGGTGCCCCTCTGCGCTTCGATTATCGCAGGCCATTCTGCGCAAGTGCGGACCCTTGTATTTGCTTGCATGATTGCATGATGTGTTCTTGCAGATCTTGCCTGAATTTCGGAGCCGACGCTTGACAAATGGAGCAAAATTCTTGCTCATTGTGCCACGACAGCTTGACAGTTCTGTGCTGAGGCAGGAAACATGATGGCTCCGATGCCACCGCCACCTCATCAGGCATGACCGTCTTCGCATACACTTTTGGTGCCAGAGATTGCTGAGAGCAGCGTGAGAGACAACCGAACAAAGCGCGTCACTTGTCAAAGCTGAAACAGCTCAAATCTTCGAGACGAAAAGGCACTTCCTGGAGGCTTTTCCCGGATGCCCTCCACAAGGAAATTGCTGTTTAGTCAGATTTAGCCCTGTGCTACGAGGTAATGCCCGACGAGGATGTGCAGGAGGTTCAGGCCAGCATGGAAGCTTGACTTGTGAAAGCGTCGACTGCTGCACTGCTGCTGCACTGCTGCTGCACTGCTGCTGCACTGCTGCTGCACTGCTGCTGCACTGCTGCACGTTACCTGAGCCGTTCTTGCCTAATCGTCCTTGGCTCTTGGACTTGTCGGCCTTGTCTCGCCGCGCTTCTATGTTAGCTACATGAGCTATGTGCACAGGTTCCCAAAGAGTTCGTCGCGAAGCTGACGGGCGAGGGAGGCAAAGCCACCTGCCAATGAAACCTACCAGTATGCCGTGAGGTTCTGGCGCGCATGCTGAGTTCGATTGCAGGACGATTGCACGAGCTGAAGCACATGGCTGGTTCAGATATCACCATCACCTTTCAGGAGCAGCTTACGACAGATTTGTAGGGCGTGCCGGTGTGCCACTGCAACGGATGCCAGACTCGACCCGAGCTGGTCAACAAAGCGGTGGCCGTCATCCGGGGTCCAAAGGCGTGGTTTTTTGGCATGTTCTTGGTTTTCAGCATATGTCGGCATCCGCCTTCGCGAGGTTAGCGCAAGCCTTGGGGCCATCCTTCTGATGCAGGAACTCAGCGAGCTGATTCAAATACCAGTTTGCCGCTTGACCTGTGCCGTTGTGGGCTGAAGCCTGAAAACAGAAGCAGCACACGCGAAGCACACGCGAAGCAGCACGCGAAGCACACGCGAAGCAGCTAAGGACTCGAGCTTGCTGCCCTCTGCTTCACTTTGCCTCACTTTGCCAGGAATGCAACCAGCTGCTGATCGTAAGACTTCTTGGGATTGCAATGCCTGCAAAGCATGCTTGGACTGGCAGCTCGTATGAAAATCACATCTCTACATGGTGGCCAATCCTTGTGGCATGTTGCAATCCTATGTGTTCATTTGATGTTTCTGGTGTCTGCCCATTTTGATCTGGGGCATTTCGCCAAGAAGTTGCGATAATGTGCTCCAACCTCCTAGTTTGTCAGTGGATTGCAGTTGCAGTGAATGTCTCGGCAATTGGAGCCAATGGACATCTTGCTGTGGCGAGGCTATCAAGCTGTCCCATTTGGATGAAGCTCTCGTACGTGTGACAATTCTCAAGTTTATCAATTAGCAATATCAAATAGGCCCCGTCTCCTCGAGCTGCTTCCCGTCTGTGCTCCAACGCCGTTGTAGCAGTGCTGACGGGCCGCCGGAGGAGAAGATTGAGTCAAAAAGACATGCGAAGACATGAGAAAGGGCCGCTGAAAGCTGTGGCTGATGCTTGCAGCTTGTGTGCACTCTGCGCCCTCCGAGACGTCAACAAGGCTGTCAGGTCTTTTACGTTCCCGAGGTGCTGGATCGAGACAAGGGAGAAGCGGAAACTGAGTCCGGCACGAGTGCAGAACCGACCACTCAGCTTCACCAGCACATCATGGACAGGATTCCATTGCTGTCGAAACCACTGATCATCCCCAACCTGACATGTGCGAAGCGGGAGCGATGGCATGAACGCAGGAGGCAGCTTTTTTCTGGCAAGCCAACTTCGCAGATCTTGCACACCTTTTCGTGACTTGTACGTGTGCATTGTGTGTGTGTGTGTGTGCGTGTGTGTTGTGCGTGTGTGTGTGTCTTGTTTGTGTGCGTGTGTGTGTGTGTGTGTCTTGTGTGCCCTGTGTCTTGTGTGTTTGCGAGTCGTGCGTTGCGTGCTTGTGCTGTGTGTTGTGTTTTGTATGTTGTGTGTGCTGTGTGCGTGTGGGTGTACGTGAACTTGTGCGTGTGTTCGTGCGTGCAAGACGCTAAAACATCAGTATGTCAGGAGTTCGCACAACGCGGACCTCCACGGCATCCTTTCCTTAAACTCTCAATCCTAGATATTTCCCAAATACCCCTAAAGGCCTAAGACCTGAAAGCCTAAACACTCACGATCCTGTGAGGCGGTGCCAGTCGCGGCTATGGTGGAGGGCAGGCTTCCCAGCTTGACAGATGAAGGGCCAGACGTGGACTTCGAGCCGTCAATCGCTTTTGGCTGCTATACGTGTAGCTGAGAGAAGACTTCAGATGTTTAAGTTGCACTTTCTGCGGCCACCCCCGCGTTCGCGAGGTTTTGTCTCGAAGGCACTAGAGGCGCTTAGAGCTGGGGCGCGCCATGGGATTACGTGTGAGAGCTGCAAGCGTCTTGCAGGCGCTGGATTTCAGGACTCACTCGTACTTAGTTGCTTCGTTACTGCACTTGGTCAAGATGCGCGTATAGTAGTTTCATGTCCACTCAGTCTTCGTCCTGGAGTATTGCAGGATATCTAGGATAAAGCAAAACATTCGATTTGGTCCTTGGAGGCATCTGATCTCATAGTGACTCGTAGTATCTGCATCAGAAAGTCACTTTGCCTAGGGTGCTTGCTGGCGACAACGAGGCTATATACAAAGTGCTCATGTTGGAAGCCGCTGATTGATCAGGACCTATGGTGCAACCAGGCATTTCTCACAGTCATCCACATTCGCGTCGGCGGCGTTGTCCAGGGTAAAGAGGAATCGGTAACTCGATTGGGATATGACTGCATCGTCACCTTGAAGCACTTCCACGATCGTGCATTCAGTGGTGCTGAAGTAGTGCTCAGGCTCCAAATGAATATGCAGCGGCAGGATCTTGTGGTGGACGAGGAGCCACCGGAGCAGTGTTCTTGCCCAACGCAGCAGGAGGCATTGGAGAAAATCAGAACTGCCAAGCATCTCGGCGCAGACACTGTGGTGGCTGTGCGCCGTTCTTGGTGACTATACACATCACATACTTTTCTGCAACATGCAACAAGACTTGAACAAGTGCATCAATCTAACCATAAACTGCAATAGTCCAGTATAGAATACCTGGATGGCGTTTTGGTTCCTAGAGCGAAGGAGGCAACCTAGTTCGGCTCGATTTTGACAAATATCGTTGACAACGAAAAAAGAGAAGTCACCAATAGAATTTGCTGATGCTGTACGAGCTTACAAGAAAAACTCCCGTGGTTGAAAGGATCTCACAGCGAAAGCTCGTCACCTAAGGCTCAACGAGAAAATGCAGTTTTCAACCTGAGCAACTCAAGTTTCCACCATTTGATGCTCCCGTCCCTGACACAAGCGACGTGATTGCATTGTCGCGCGTTTAGTTTCGCCCTACAAATCCAGTCCTTCCTTCCTAACAGGAGTAGTTGCGCTTGGATGCATGCGCGCAGCCTCGTGCCTGCGCACTGCGAACAACGCAAGGTGATTAGCGATGAGCGCGTTTTGTGTTTCAGTCAGGGTTTCCAAGACAGCATCGGACTCTGGATTCACATGATTCCGAAAAGCCCACGCCCTAAACCCTAAAGCGTTAACAGTTGTAGCAGCTGCAGCCGAGGGATTGGGACGCTGCAGCAGCTACCTTCCGACAGCTTTCTGTCCCAGAACTTCCCGTCTGGGCCTGATCGCTGAATACTAGAGCCCCTGCGTATGAACTTTCGGGCTTTATGTGGAGGGCAGCGGCTTTTTTTGTCTTGGACAGACAAGCCTAAAGCCTGTGGGGGGTTGTTCCAGTTCAGCCGTCCAACCATTTGAATCTGCAAGCCTTCTGGCCAAGGCCGAGACTTCCCGTTCAACTTGTCAAGCACCCTTTGTAGTTTCAACATATCTCAACCATTGTTGAAGACCTTGTTTGAAATGGTTGGGGCATGGGCCTGGACGGAAAATCCACGGCACCGGCCCAGGGTGTTCCCAGTTCTGGGGAAACTGCAGGCTTCTGGAGAGCCCTAAAACCTGGCCTTTTGGTGTTGAGGCTCGGCTTAGGCTAATTGTGGATGAATAGAAGCACATCGGCGAGATGTTCATGTGGGCCGTCAAGCACAAGAGGGGGGAGGAGCACACCAAAGACGTGGACACGTACGACAGACCAACAGAGGGGGGAGACAAGAAGCCACGCCAAGGATGCGAGGCTCCAGAGTCCCGGCAGAGCCTCCAGCGGGGTACGAGATCGAGGTCGAAGAGTCGGACATCAAGTAGTTGTAGGAGGGCGATGTGGAAGTGCGGACCCCGCCGATGATCAGGGATAAGGAGGAGGACGAGAGGGGACGCGCAGGCACTGCGTTTGAGACCCCAGCAGAGGAGCAGACCAAGGCACTGAACCGGTTGGAGGAGGCACTAGAAGTCGACACAAACGAGGGGGGGCCAGAGACACCCCACCGCCAGCAGGCAGCAATGTGGGTTATGTGGGCTACCAGCAACAGTGGTCGTCTGCGCATCGCAGACCAAGGAAAGCGCTGGCTTGGTGCAGCGCCGCAAGGAGGTAGGAGGGCTTCAGGGAAGTGAAGTCTTTCTTGGTGCGGTTTCTGTGAAAGCGACCCACAAGCGACCCACAAGCTGGGCCCCCTGCGGCTCCTCCAAGCAGTTGAAGTCCCACAGGGCCACAAATTTCCGGGGGCAAGGGTTGAGATCCTGGACTGCTTGTTCCAGACGCCTGTTCGCTTCACCGCACTTGCCAAGAAATGGAAGAGACGAAGGAACAGGAGAGAAGGCGTCGAGATATGGGGAGAGGGAGGGAGACAGCTTGGGAGTCGGGTTGGGAGGGTGAGGTGGGCTAGTGTTGGTGCACCTGTCTTCGGTATGCTAGTCAGCTAGTCGTGTAGAGTGCGAGTCGCCTCGTCGAAGCCTGTAAAGAGCCTTGAAATGTATGATATCCACCCATATCCAAGAAGGCCTAAGGCTTGACCATGACTTCCACAAATTGGTTTTGGAAAGGTGCCGGTGGTGCCCTTCAAACGTGGGGCTTGAGCTTAAAGGTTCGGAACTTAAGCTGGAGCTTCTTGGCATGACACCTGAGCGTAAACAGCGCTTGAGGGTATAGGACAGGGACAAAACCAAAAGACTCCTCGATTTCTTTCCGGTGCACAAGGTCACAGCTATCCACGCAAGTGCTGCGCTTCCTGCATGTCTGCCGGTTTGATCCGGGTTGTTTCGTAAAATGTGTCTCGCGTGCGTTCCCGAGACTTCAGGTCTGCAATGCGCTGCTCCACCGGGCACAGCGGGTTGGAAAAATGAATGAGGCCTTCGATCTGTATGTCGACATGCGGCAGCGCGGTCAGCTCTCAGAAGCTCGGCAGCTGACTCTTGGGTACCCTAACCTATGAGGGGAATCATTACCCAAAGTTCCCATCATTTTGACCAACCCCTTCTCTCTGCTGCGCAGCGAAGCTGGGCTCCTAGATGTTGCCATGCCAGGACAAACTAATCGTGCTCTTGGTGTTTGTAGAAGGGAGCGGGATGATGCCGTTGCCAAAGAAATGTCTAGAAATGTCCATCTGCTCGTTCCTTGGCTCTTGGCATGAAGCTGAGGCCCGCACGTACTCTCCACTTATCCGACTCGCCGGAAGAGCTCACCGAGTCCTGGCACATGCCTTGTCTCGTGGCGTCATCAGCGTGGGGCTTTAGGAGTCCACTTCCGGCAGTTCTTGCTTCGGCTTATCCTCAATGCTCAACATTGCTCAACACCCCAACACCTGACCAGTCTCTTCAAGTCTCTGCGACATCGCAAAGTGTGGCTCCGCTTAGCGACAGGCTGGGAGAGATGCGAGCAGCAGCTGTGGAGCCAAACGGTCACAACTACTTGGCGCTCTTTGACACATACAAGACTGCACGGGACGTGGATGGCGTGAAGCGCGCTTGGCAAGACATGCGCGCAGCTGGCACTCGACCCCTGTACCCTGCGGTCTCCACTGTCATGTCCACGCTGGCGAAAACAGGGGACATCTCGGGCACAGAGGCTGGGGAATGCTGGCTTGCCAAGGGTTTTTCGCAGAGCGTTTCGAACGTTTGGGGTTCTTGGATCTTGTGGGGGAGGCGCTGCTGCAAGAAGCCAGAGATCTGGGGCTTTCTCCGACGACGGTGTGTTACAACTCTATCTTGGATGCCTGTCAAAATGCAGGCCACAGGGGCGGATGTCTTTTCCAAGGCACATTGTAGAATCCCATCTGGCAAGGTTCGCGTTTAAGTAAAGCACGCTGCGCCTTGAAAAGGGCCCGACTCGTGGTTCGGTCTTTTCTCGGGTACATAGTGAGTAGTGCCCATGAGGTGATGCAGATGCAGCATTTCGTGGCTCAGCCGTTTTGAGTTACTCTGGATGTCCGAACCACCGAACTGGTTCCAAATTGAGTGTTATTCTGTTGTTTCTCGCTTTGACGGGTCTTGGAGTTCGGCGGTGATAAATCCAATCCTACTGCCCGCCATGCAGATTTGGGATCTCGGTTGCCAGAAGTGGGGGTTCGAAATTAAACGCCCCTCAACATCGCTAAACTCCAGAAACCCGAGTCAACACCTTTGTTGCACTCAGGCATTCTGTCGGAGATGAGGGCAGCTGGCATGGTCCCGGACGTCATTTCCTACAGCAGCGCCCTGGGAGCTTTGGCAGCTGCCCATCGCCCAGCAGCAGACCGGGCTGCTCGGACCAATCTGGGGGTCCAGAGTGTTGGAAGTGTCGGGAATCCATACGTGTTATGTCTGTTATGTGTTCTGTGTTTTTCCCAAGGCTCGGTGTGGCACTGTGGGGTTGCTAGATTTTTGGTCAACCTCCCGTGGTCCCTGGAGTTCCCACCCAGAGAAATCCGCGGAGAGTAAGCCCCGCCAGTATCCCTGAGTTGCCGCCCAGAGACGTCCGCGGAGAGTCCCGCCGATCATCCCTGCACCTGCAGAGAACTGCGCGGAGAGCCCTGCGAAGCCAATCGCGAAGTACACGCGGCAGATGGCTCCCGCATCATGTAGCTGTCGGGTGGGAATGATCGAAGTCAGGGAATATTAACGCTATTATGCGATGCACCGCAATCAAATGCGAGGTCACCGGTGTGAAGCCTGTTGCAACACACAGGCTCATGTATAAATCAGGCACCCCAAGTGTGGGAGTGGTAAACAGAAAAAAAGCCGAGGAGGGGGGGTGTCTGCCCCTATGGTCGGGTTTCAAAGCGACAAGCGTTGTTCAGGCTTCTTGCCGGGTGCAGTACTACAGGGGGGACAAGTTGCAGTTGCTCGGAGAAGCGATGCCTAATACCAAAACCGATGCCTCCATGTTGAACGTTTTACTCTTCATCAACGTGGATGTCGGATGAGACCAAACTGATGGGTACCCATTGCATGCAAAAATGTGCCACACAAATTCGCTACCCAGACACTTAGGTTCATATATATATATATAATGCATATATACGTTTTGTTTTGGGGGGGGGGGGTTTGGGCGGCTCTTACCCAGCATTCCTGGGCTTCGAAGGCAAGGCTGGTTCAGGAGATGAAGAAGGACGGCGTCAGCCAGAACTCTCTGTTCCTCGAGCGATACGTCTGCTACGCGCTGGGCATGCAGCTCGACCAGAGCAAGATCCTGGGTGCCGAAGCGCTGCGTGAACAGGTTCAGGGGCTCCCTGCAGAGGCTGGCTGCGGGAGGGGTTTCCGAACCTAAGGGGACGTAAAGTGCCCGTTTTGGTGTTGAACTTTTTCTACATTATGTGGCATTATGTGGAGGAAAAGCAGCGAATTATCACTTGCAGGACACCAGTGCGCAAGACCCCTCGCGACAAGCCATCTTTGACTCACGTGCGCTGTGTGCAAGACACGATATAGATCGCCCGGAAGACCTTGGCAACAAAAAACGTTTTGACAAATGCTTCTCTGCGATTAGGTAGGCAAGAATGCCTTGACGAGAGCAGCCCAAAACATCAACATCCCATAGTCCTCGCATCTGGATAGGCGCAATAAAGCATCTCTGCATTGCTATGGGTGTACTCCGCCGAATGCTTCGTCATGGAATGGGTCGTCAGCGAATGTGTGTTCACACCGAGAACGCCTTCATGAAACCGCCTCTACGTTGTGTTTACATTGCGTACATTCTCAGTTGGCTCGTTTCTATTACTTGAACAATTATATAATTGCCCAAATGCAAAAGGAAGGCACTTAATTGTTGGAGCTACAAACAGAGCTACAGTAATGGATTCATGCAGGGATTGCAGAAGCTGAGTGCCGTGATGCGTCGAGACTTCTTCGGGGCAGTACCTTCGAGTTGGATCTTGTGGTGAACTTGTGAAACTGGTGAGTATCTTGTGATTCTTGTGGTGAGCCAGAGCGTGCTCCCGCGCTCCTTTCGCAGATCTTGGCAGGCACGTCAAGAAGCAGTGGATGCCATTCAGGAAGGCAAGGCAACCCAAGTGGAATTGACGAAGCTGGTGAAAGCACTGTGCCTCGGCCCGTATATCTTGCCGATGAGAGCTGTGCGGAGGCCCATACTTGACCGATTTCTAGACATCATGTCGCTGGAAGAGATTCTGTTGAGTTTCTGAGATCTTCTTGCAGCCTAGGGAGGGCATTCTCGAGTCGCTTGGGGAGTCTCCGCGCGAAGCTGCCGTTTCAGATCAGCAGAACAGCGGCGACTGGGTGAAGGTGCTGGCCAAGGATGAGGTACTGCCCTGAGCGCAGGATCAGCCGTACACCATGCTGCATGTAACGTGCCTTAAACGATGATGGTGGCTTGACGAGGCCGGCTCGCAGATTGAGAGACTCGGCTGAATGAAGAAGCAGATGGATTGCCCATGAGGACAGCATGCCAATGCAAGGTACTTCTGGGACCGCATATCGGGCAAAACGCAATGGGAGCATCCGGGCTGCCAATTGGCGCTGACCATCCCATCTGCTTAGTCCACTTGCAGTGGAGAAAAAGAACATGCCGGCCGCCGAACCTTTGAATCCGAAAGGGTTGAGTCACGTTCCCTGCTTTGTCGTGCCATGTGGGCCCTCTGCGCAGTTCCTGTATGAGCTTGTGAGAGTTTCTTATGTTGAGGGGTGGGGGGGAGCAAGGTGCGAACTCCCAGAGGCGGGAAAGACTTGTTGACACTTTTTGCTTCGGGCTGGGCAGCACACCTCGGTGACTTTTAGTCCGTTGGAGGCCTTTGCCAGCCTCAAGGCAACGCACGTTGAAGAGCTTGCAGCAGCCGTCGGGCAGCCGGGCTCGGAGGCAGAACGTCGCCATGGCAGCTGCTCCAAGATTGCTATGCTTGGCTCCAGACTGATTTCAACCAGGTATGCCTGCAGTACCAGGCAGGCAGCACATTCCAGTGCAAAAAACAGTGGCACGGGCGATGGACATATTGGGCATGCAGATCGACTCTGGAGTAGCTGCAGCAATGGCTTCGGTCATGACGTCTGACACTTGGAACGGCAGTGCTGGGACGTACTCGTAGCAGGCCACTGCGGTGCTTGCACGGAGTGGCACGGAGCTTCGCTCCGAATAATCATGCAGGAGGCATGTTTAGCTCAGTCGAGGTGCGCCGTGATGATTGCACGGCAAGAGCCAAGGCGCCCAGATGCAGAGTTGAAGCTCCAATGTTGCGAAAGAGATGCGCCAGTGTGCAGGCCAGTGGCGCATCTGTGGCAGGTCGATTGGCAGGTTCGAAGAAGTTTTCGAGCGAGTCTGCCATGTCATGGCTGCGCTGTTTCTTCGAGGCGCTTGGAAAGGAGCTTCAGCCTTCTGAGGACTGAAAGTACATCTTCCCATAGCTTCCGTTGTGGCGAACGGTGCCCCCCGAAATATGTTAGCTATCACCACAGGGGGATTCCGACAGTAACCGCTTGGCCGGCACTTTAAGTGAGCAGGACTTCGCCAGACAACTCCAAAATGCTGCGCTCAAGTCGCATGCTTAGCCGCTTAGTCTGACTCTTATTGTTTAACTTCAAGGAGGCAAGCACCAGAAGCACCGCACTGAACGACACTGAGGCTTGTGAGAGGCGGCAAGCTTGAGGAGACCATGGTCTAGAGCCTGGCAGTGTTCGAGTCTTCGAGCGCAGGAGAGTGTCAGCGTGAGAGCAGAGTAAATGAATAAGTTTCAGCATGGTTTTGTGCCGCTTTTGCGTTTGCGTGCATTCCGAGGCATCCTCGTTGTGGCGCGAAATGAACCGCCTACCTCACGTCTGGTCTGGGCCTGGTAAGCTGGCGGTGCCCCCTGCATCCTATCCAGCCAAGGTCAAATCCAACGGCGAATGTGACGGGCTTGGGTGCCCTGGTGGCAAATTGTGGCAGACCGTATCAGCCAGTAACCGCACACCAAACCGTGTCTGGTCTTGACTGCGTACGTGGTCCTTTTGCGGTGCTCCCGACACATACCAAGGCCGCGACCGATGCAACCTCAGTGGGTTGGAACAGCTGCTGGCCAAGTGGAATCCAAGTAAGGCCACGGACAACTGTGGGAAGTGACGACAGACAGAGGGACTGCAGAGCGGTCGTGGGAAACTCGGGCTGAGGCTACGCCAGTGCGTCAAAGCCTACGCTCAACTGGCAGCACCGTGCAAGACCTGAGAATGCGGAGTAAACGGCTGAAGTTGAGTCAAGTGTAAGTGTATAGGTGCTGACACCGTCAGCTGGGTTTCTGCATACTGCCTCACAACCCCACCAAAGCCCATGGCCCAGCATGCCAATGGACTTGCACCGTCGACCTGCGTTGCCATATTTGTTGACGGAAAGACCTCGGGGGACCATGGGGGCGCCGCCTGCGCTGGATCGCTCCTGATGGACACCGGCGATGGGCGCCCCGACGCACAGGCCCACAACTGCCCACATTTGCAGGGAATCAAGGGATTCTGGCCAGGGACTCCGAAACCGATACTCAGAAGCCACTAGATCCTTGGGAGGACGGCGAGGGTGATGAGCCCGGCCACAGACCGGTGTCGCCTTCCTCAAAACAGGATGGATGGGAGATGATGGAAGTGTAGATTCTTGGAACCATTCACAAGTCGAATGAAATTCAGACGTGTCTTGCCAGGAGACTTGCTTCGTTTTTGATTGGGATGACACAATACTCCCTACGTGCCGAACTCAAGCTCCACGCAGCAATTGTGGAAAGTACCCAAGCCATCAGGTCGTGGCTCGAGCGGATCCACGCATTGGCAGGCTTTGCTGAGCACCCTTTTGAGAAGTTCGACCCATCGCAATGTCAGGTGGACCCCTGCGCCCTGAAGTGCAAAGACAGCACGGCACTCTGTGTGTTTTTTACTTGCAGGGGTCCAAGTATACATTTTCGCGCACTTCCACGGGCAGGCTTGCCAGTCTCTGCTCCGCTTGGCTCCGAGCATGTCTCTCCACATTGCAGACTGTTTCTATGCCACCTTGCCTTGTGCAAGACTGTATATTTAATGGCTACCGCCAGTGCCGCCGACCCCCAACAGGGGAAGCACAGCCGGGCGGACGGTGCGGGGTGTAGGGTCCAGGGCTAGGGGGCAGGGTGGAGGGGGGTCTGCAGGGTTCCGTCGGCAGGATGTCACGTGAACACGAGGCCGTCCGGGCTTGCGCTTTGGACGGCTTCGGGTGTCAGGGGTGCTTGTGTATTCCCTGCGCCTGTTCCTCGTGGAATCTTGCTGATGGAAGCCCCCGCAGGGGTCGCGTATCGGCGTATGTCGGGGGGGGGGGGGGGGGACTCGGCGTATTGGTGTATTTCGAGGGGAAGGCAGGGGGGGGAGGAGAACGGCTTATCGGCGCATGGGCATATTTCCCAGAGGCTTTGGGGGGGGGGGGGGGGGCGAATGGCGTACAATTTCCGGGGGGGAGGGGGGGGGGAAGCGGCGTATCGGCTTAGCGGCGTACTTTCCGGGAGGGGGGGGTTAGCGTATCGGCGTATTGGAGAGGGGGGGGGGGGGAAAACGCGTATCGGTGTACTTGGCTGGGAAGGGGGGGGGGGTTCCGGCACGCAAGATGCAATATGTAACATATGTATATGGGCGTTATCCGCAAACCCCTGTCTTTTTTTTTTACTGGGGAATATTTTAGATAGATTTCTGCTTGTTTTTTAGTATCCGCGAAAGGCCCGCGAATGCACGGCGGAAGGCGCCGCGAAAGGGATAATCTGGTTAATAGAATATCATGCCCCTTAACCCTTAAACCCCAAGCGAGTGCGTTTAGGGAGCGCCCCTAAACGCACCCGTGGTGCAGGTTTCAGCCTATTTGGGGTTCATACTGCTAGAATATCCTGCCCCTTAAGCCTCAGCAGCAAGGGTGAGCTGCCCAAGGAAGCACTTGCCAATGACATGGTCGTGTACTATGCACCGCGCGAGCTCTACGAATTCAACGTGACGATGATGGAGCTAGTGTGTGCAAGCCCGTGCATGACGAGCTTGATTTGCTTCAGTCTGGAAAAGAAGTACAGGGATCGACGAACGCTGGATGAGCGCGTGCACATGCAACGACATCGGCAAGGAGCGCGCGGAAACGCGACAACTTTCTTGCTGGACTGGGAAAGCCTGCTGGCTCAGTTCCGCGGCTACGAAGTGAATCTGGCACCACACGCCCGAGCCCCGTTGCCGCGCACAGGGGAGGACCTGCAGAAATTTGTGTCTGTGATATTGAAGACCAACGATGCGGAGCTGACGCCGGAGGAGCTTAGCAAGCTGATCCACCAGGCCCGGGTTCGGCGTCGCGTTGTTGTCATGCTGATTGAAAAAGCATGCGAGAGAGAGCATCCGGCGTTCCGCCACCTGGACCTTGCTCAGGTGCGGCTACGAGCGGAACGAGAGCTGCCCGAGGATGGTGTCCCGCCCGAAGTCGTAGCCGTTCTCCCGTGCGACGACAACCTGCAACTGATCGAGAAACAAAAAGTTGCTGCGCCGGTGGCAGTGCCGGCAACGGTGCAAGAAGCAGCGCGGGACTTGGCCCTGAAGCGCCCCAACGCGGTGGTCATGGAAAGGACGGGTTTGGAAGCTATCGACTACGAGGCCCAGCGTTTAGAGGCTGTGCGTGCGCTGGCGGAGATTGCCGAAGAGGACTTGCGAGACGTGGGTAGCGAGCAAGAGGACGGACCGGCTCCGGAGATGGATGTGGTATCACGGTCCACGCCCATGAACCAGTTCGCGCCGTGGTACTTCGGTGTCGCGTTCGCGTATATGTTCCAGTACTGCACAGCTATGCCTGATCCGCCAGGCTGGGGAGAGTTCCGAGACAAACGGTGGCGTCGCGCGCCAGAGGCCCCACACATCGGGCTTGCCGACTGGGTTCGGACAATGTCCCGGCGCGTTGAAAGCCAATTGGTCCGAGATTGGACATTCGGCTACACGACGTGGAATGTGTTATTTCGTTCCGCTGTGAACTTGTCGCGCAGTGTCTACTCCTACGATACGCCAGTTCTGCAGGATTCCGGTGAGTGGGGTAAGCTGACAGCCGCAGCGCTCGAAGGCGCTGCCCTGGAGATCCTGCGAGCCTTGCAAGGGACGTACGCAACGCCGGACGGACGGCGGCTCCCCGTCAAAGGAAGCCTCACGCTCGCCAAGTACGCGACGGGGTTGTCCGCGACGGCCCGCCGCATCCTGGCAAACATGCACCACACGGCACGTGTCATTCCTGGCACGCAAGAAGCACGCCGACAAATGCGCTTTGAAATTCAAGGACTGCGAGTGCGATACGGAACCCCAATTTTCGTTACCGTAACTCCGGACGAAGGTCATCAGCTTTTGTACATTCGCTTGTCGCGTCATCGCCGGAGCGACCCGATTCGACTGTCGGAAGTTGGCGCGGCGGCCGCCGCAGGAGATCGGACGTGGCCCGCGCTTGACGCCGACTTCACATGCTCCTTGCCAGTGGAGTGTCTGCAGCCGCGCGTGCCGAACTGGGAGGAAAGACGCCGCATTCTCGCACGGGATCCGCTCGCGACCGTGGATGG